CTCAGGAAGACAGCACAGTGGCATTAGGAATATTCCCGAATGCCACTTGGAGCACCTAGCAATAATATAACTGTACTCGCAAGGGGCCAGAATCCCATAAATATACTCACCCCCAGCCCTAAACCCAAATCAGCCTCTCCCCAGCCGGATTTCAAAACACCTGTGGCCACCTGCTATAAAGTGAGGTGTGATGAAGAACAGTTTGGGAGTGGAAAGAGAAAAAAAGTCTGAACTAACTATGGTTAAAATATCTTATGTTTACAAAATTTTTATTTTAATATTTTATTTTATTTTAATTAACTTATTTTTATTTTTTTGAGACGGAGTCTCACTCTGTCACCCAGGCTGGAGTGCAATGGCGCAACCTTGGCTCACTGCAACCTCTGCCTCCTGGGTTCAATTCTTCTGCCTTCAAGCAATTCTCCTGCCTCAGCCTCCCAAGTAGCTGGGAATCCACACGCACACCCCTACACCTGCTAATTTTTGTATTTTTAGTGGAGATGGGGTTTTACCACATTGGCCAGGCTTGTCTCAAACTCCTGACCTCAGGTGATCTGCTTGTCTCGGCCTCCCAAAGTGCTGGGTTTACACGTGTGAGCCACCGCACATGGCCTATTTTTATTTTTTAAATTTTTTTTTTTTTTTGAGACGGAGTCTCGCTCTGTCACCCAGGCTGGAGTGCAATGGCGCTATCTTGGCTCACTGCAACCTCCGCCTCCTGGGTTCAAGTGATTCTCCTGCCTCAGCCTCCCAAGTAGCTGGGATTACAGGCACCTGCCACCACACCCAGTTAAAATTTTTTTTTTTTTGAGATGGAGTCTCATTCTATCACCCAGGTTGGAGTGCAATGGCCCAGTCTCAGCTCACTGCAACCTCCGCCTCCCAGGTTCAAGCAATTCTCCTGCCTCAGCCTCCCAAGTAGCTGGGATTACAGGCGCCCACTACCATGCCTGGCTAATTTTTGTATTTTTAGTAGAGACAAGGTTTCATCATGTTGGTCAGGCTGGTCTCGAACTCCTGATCTCAGGCAATCTGCCTGCCTTGGCTTCCCAAAGTTCTGGGATTACAGGCGTGAGCCACCGTGCCCGGCCATGCCCAGCTGATTTTTGTATTTTTAGTAGAGATGCGGTTTCACCAGGTTGGCCAGGCTGGTCTTGAATTCCTGACCTCAAGTGATCCACCCACTTTGGCCTCCCTAAAGTCCTGGGATTACAGGAGTGAGCCACCACTCCTGACCCTATTTTTATTTTTAAAAAATTTTAATTGGCTTGAGGCACAGTATCAAGAGGTCCTGAGAACATGTACCCCTTATGTTTGCAAAATTTTAAAAATTATGGCAAGAAAATACATAACAAAACTTAACTATCTGAACCATTTTTTTTGAGATAGGGTCTGCTCTGTTGCCTAGGTTGGAGTGCAGTGTCATGATCATAGCTCACTGTAACCTCAAGCTTCTGGGCTCAAGTGATCCTTCTGCCTTAGCCTCCTGACTAACTATAGTACAGCTAGGAGTATAGGTACCACCTAATTTTTAAATTTTAACTTTAATGTTTTGTAGAGACAAGGTTTCGTTATGTTGCCGCGGTTGGTCTTTTTTTGTTTTTGTTTTTGAGATGGAGTCTCACTCTGTCGCCCAGGCTGGAGTGCAGTGGCTCGATCTTGGCTCACTGCAACCTCTGCCTCCTGGGTTCAAGGAATTCTCCTGCCTCAGCCTCCTGAGTAGCTGGGATTACAGCTGGGCACGGTGGCTCACGCCTGTAATCCCAGCACTTTGGGAGGCCGAGGCGGACAGATCACGAAGTCAGGAGATCGAGACCATCCTGGCTAACACGGTGAAACCCCGTCTCTACTAAAAATACAAAAAATTAGCCAGGCATGGTGGTGCGTGCCTGTAGTCCCAGCTACTCGGAGGCTGAGGCAGGAGAATGGCGTGAACCCAGGAGGCAGAGCTTGCAGTGAGCCGAGATGGTGCCACTGCACTCCAGCCTGGGCGACAAAGTGAGACTCCGTCTCAAAAAAAAAAAAAAAAAAAAAAAAAAATGCTGGGATTACAGGCCCAGGTTGGTCTTGAACTCCTGGTTTCAAGTGATCCTCTCGCCTCAGGCTCCCAAGGTGTTGAGATTAAAGGTGTGAGCCTTGCACCTGGCTTGTCTTAGCCATTCTAAGTGTACAGTTCAGTAGTGTTAAGTATTTTCACATTACCGTGCAACAGATCTCTAAAACATTTTCTTTTTTTTTTTTTTTTTTTTTTTTTTTTGAGACGGAGTCTCGCTCTGCCGCCCACGCTGGAGTGCAGTGGCCAGATCTCAGCTCACTGCAAGCTCCGCCTCCCAGGTTCACGCCATTCTCCTGCCTCAGCCTCCCGAGTAGCTGGGACTACAGGCGCCCGCCACCGCGCCCGGCTAGTTTTTTGTATTTTTTTAGTAGAGACGGGGTTTCACCGTGTTAGCCAGGATGGTCTCGATCTCCCGACCTCGTGATCCGCCCGTCTCGGCCTCCCAAAGTGCTGGGATTACAGGCTTGAGCCACCGCGCCCGGCCAACATTTTCATCTTGCAAAACTGAAAGTTTATAACCATTCTTACTTTTGCAAATTTTATAAAAACATATAATCCCGGCCAGGCATGGTGGCTCACTCCTGTAATCCCAGCACTCCGGGACGCCGAGGTGGGCGAATCACCTGAGGTCCGGAGTTCGAGACCAGCCTGACCAACATGATGAAACCCCGTCTCTACTAAAAATAAAAAATTAGCTGGGTGTGGTGGCGCACGCCTGTACTCCCAGCTACTCAGGAAGCTGAGGCAGGAGAATCTCTTGAACCCGGGAAGCGGAGGTTGCAGTGAGCTGATACTGTGCCACCGCACTCTAGCCTGGGAGGTAGGAGTGAGCTGATATCACACCACTGCACTCCAGCCTGGGAGGTTGAAGTGAGCTGAGATCATGCCACTGCATTCCAGCCTGGGTGACAGAGTGAGACTCCATCTCAAAAAACAAAAAAACAAACAAACAAAACATATAATCCCATGCAAGTGATGAGTTCTAAAGTTTAAACTTCAGTGGGCTTCATGATAAATTCATTCTTGCTGAGGGAAGATTTGAGTCTTCTCGGAGTCCCCCAGGGGCACAGATTTGGACATCATGCACCGTAGGAAATCAAGGTTGCATCAAATGACCGCTCCAGGAGGGAGAGCTGTTAGGGAATAATAGGTCCAGAGGTGTTTTTTTTTTTTTTTCCTTTATTGCCCAGGCTGGAGTGCAGTGGTGCAATCTCGGCTCACCGCAACCTCCGCCTCCTGGGTTCAAGCGATTCTTGTGCCTCAGCCTCCTGAGTAGCTAGGATTACTGGCATGTGCCACAACACCCGGCTGATATTTGTATTTATAGTAGCGATGGGGTTTCACCATGTTGGCTAGGCTGGTCTCGAATTCCCAACCTCAGGTGATCCGCCTGCCTTGGCCTCCCAAAGTGATGGGATTATGGGTGGGAGCCACTGTGCCCGGCCAGGTCCAGAGGTTTTAACCTTCTCATGGATTCCTGGGATTTTGAGGTGGTGTCTCAGGCACTGCCAATTTGGGCTGCTTAGCTCCTCCCCTCGCCCACACTTGAAACCTCTGTTTAAATAATAATGATGACATTAATGATCATCATTCAAGCTGACATACATTGAATACTTTACTACATGATAGACACTATCCCAAGTACCCAACTTGTATTAAGTTACTTAATTCTTTTTTTTTTTTTTTGAGATGAAGTCTCACTCTGTTGCCCAAGCTGGAGTGCAATGGCACAATCTCGGCTCACTGCAACCTCTGCCTCCCGGATTCAAGCGATTCTCCTGCCTCAGCCTCCCGAGTAGCTGGGACTACAGGCATGTGCCACCATGCCCAGCTAATTTTTTTTGTATTTTTAGTAGAGATGGGGTTTCGCTATGTTGGCCAGGCTGGCCTTGAACTCCTGACCTTGTGATCCACCCACCTCGGCCTCCCAAAGTGCTGGGATTACAGACATGAGCCACCACGCTGGGCCAAGTTACTTAATTCTTACAATGTAAGTATGTGGTTGGAATTGTCATTATCCCATTTTCCAGAGAAGGATGCCAGGGCTCGAAAAGCTTCAGTTTTTAGATTAAGGTTCCTTGTAAGATACCTTTTGAAAAAAAATTGTTCTACTAATAACACGTTTTGAAAAAGTCTGAATTAGTCCAGGGTATTAATTTTACACATGGGGAAGTAAAATCCAGAAAAAAGGGTCATTTGTTTAATGTCACACACTTATTCCTTCATTATTTCCTGGGTGCCTGCTTTGTGCCAGTGGCTGTGCTATGACATAGGGGTTCAGAGGTAAACAAGATACTCATGGAATATAATTTATTGGAGGCCAGTGGGCAATATATACAACAAGAAATGAATAAGCAAAATAATTCCAGAGAGTGCTGGGATGATACATTTGAGATGTGACTGAGTGACAAGGAGAGAGAGTGTGTTAATTTAGATGGAGAGGTGGTCAGGAGAGTGTGGTCTGTGGAGGTGTCATATAAGCCACAACCTGATGACCTGAAGAAGTCAACCGTGCACTGCTATGGGGGGAAAACACTCCAGACAGAGGGATCTATGAGTGCAAAGGCCCTGAGGCAGGAATGGCTTGTTGGTAATAGAGCAGACTCCTGGTCCAGTACTCCTTTGCTGCCTGCTGCTCTCTAGGCCCTCGGAGAGGCTCCTTTGGTGTCCTGGACCTCCCTGAAGCTCAGTCCCTAAGGTGACAACTGATCTAGGAAGGTAGCATATCTGGCTTCCTGCAGGTCCTCCTCCCAGAAACCCTGTGGCTGAACCGGATCTGAGTTTCCTGATTCCTGTCTGGCAGAAGGGGAGCAGATCTCCTCCCTGCCTCCTCTCCCCAGGCTCTAGCCCTGGCCCCAAATCTCCATGGCAACCCCTGGACACAGTTCTGAACCAAAGGAGGAGGATCTGGAAGGCGGAGCACAAAGATCATACTGAAGAGACCAGGGGGCTGGAGGACTTGTCTCCTTCTTCTCCTTGTGTCCCACCAGCCTCCCTGCTGGCCTGACCAGGCCCCATACCCCAGTCTCCCCAGAAACCCCAAGCTGAAGATTCTGTGGGTCTGCCCCATTGCTGGGCACAGCAGAGCCTGGATGGAGGCTTGTCTTCTGCAGTTGCCCCAAAGGTTGCTCTTGCTGGGGGCAGCCGCCCTGACTGCAACTGCTTTGGAGACAGGTAAGTATGAGGGGGCTTGGTTGGGGTACCCAGAAGACTTGGGCCCCCACCATCCTTAGAGAATATGTCTCCCCAGTCAGCACTCGTCTTGCTGGGCTGAGACCTTTTGAGTTGGAGGAGGCTGGGAAACTGTGTTTCCAGTTTGCTTGGCATCCCCAAGTCCAACCCTAAGCCTTCTGGAAGGCTGGACCTCCCACTCACCTAGAAGCAGGAGTCTGGGAGCGGGCAGGACAGCCCTCAGGGCCTGCTTTGCAAAACTCTGTAGGCTTTGGATTCAGAGAAGCTGCATTTACACACTCTGCCACTTCTTCTGTTTGTACCTTTGAGATCATTGTTTCAACTCTCTGTCTGAATTTCTTTGGCAGTAAAATGAAAATAATAGGCCCTTGCCCCTTAAAGGCAATGATTATTGTGCATATAAGATGAGATAAGCCACGCAAGACACTTCACAATGCCTGGCACATAAAAGGTGCCCAATTCCTGGCCGGGCATGGTGGCTCACACCTGTAATCCCAGCACTTTGTGATGCTGAGGTGGGCGGATCAGGAGGTCAGGAGATCGAGACCAGCCTGGCCAACATGGTGAAACCCCATCTCTACTAAAAATACAAAAATTAGCTGGGCATGGTGGCATCTGCCTGTAATCCCAGCTACTTGGGAGGCTGAGGCAGGAGAATCGCTTGAACCAGGGAGTCGGAGGCTGCAGTGAGCCGAGATTGCACCACTGCACTCCAGCCTGGCAACAGAGAGAGACTCTGTCTCAAAAAAAAAAAAAAAAAAAAAAAAAAGGGGTGCCCAATTTGCTTACTCTCTAAACTCCATGCCTGCTCTATGTACCTTCACGGTGGGCTCTGGCTTTAGCAGAGAAATACCAAATATTGGAAAGTGCTTCATATCCTGAGCTCTGATGAAGGATTTTTTTCCTCAAAGACCCTCATCCTGACTGGTCCTCAAGCACCCACTGGTCCCTATCTTGCACCAGAAAACCCACCTACTCTTTTCTCTCTGTCTTTACAGAAATCAGGGCTACTTTGAGTACTCACACATCATCTCATTTAATCCTCACAACAACCCTGTACCAGTGAGGATATTTTGGGCTGTAAGTAACAGACAACAAACTAAATGGGGCTTAAATGGTAGGATATTTGCTGTTTCACTTAAGAGTGGTCATAGGTAATTCCAGAGATGGTTAACTCAACGGCTCAACAATGTCACTGTTCCTCTGAAATGCTCTGACCTCATCTTTGCAAAATGGCTGCTGCAGCTCTGGACATCCCGTCCTCATCCTCAGTCAGCAACTTTCAAAAGCAGGAAGAAAAGGGGCTCCTTATCACACAGCTCTCCTTTTTTTTTTTTTGTGATGGAGTCTTGCTGTGTTGCCCAGGCTAGAGTGCAGTGGCGCGATCTCGGCTTGCTGCAACCTCCGCCTCCCGAGTTCAAGAAATTCTCCTGCCTCAGCCTCTCAAATAGTTGGGATTACAGGTGCGTGCCACCACGCCCAGCTAATTTTTTGTAGAAACGGGGTTTCACCATGTTGGCCAGGCTGGTCTCAAACTCCTGACCTCAGGTGATCCACCCGCCGTGGCCTCCAAAGTGCTGGGATTACTGGCGTGAGCCACCGTGCTTGGCCCCGCATCTTAGGGTTTTGAATAAGGGATTGTAGATTTGAATTAAATTAAATTAAATCATTTAGTCCTCACAATCATTCTGAGATTGCTTAATCATCCCCATCTTACCGATAAGGAAACTGAGGCTCAGAGAGGGCTAGTGGATCACACAGCCGGCAGGGGGCAGAGTCGAGTTCGGGGTCGCGCCGCGCGGCTCCAGGGTCCGTGCCTTCCGCTGCAGCCGACCTGGCGGACCTGTGCGGGCAGACGTGGCAGGGGGACGGGCTGCTGCTGCGCTCGCATGCCGCCTCGCTCAGGTTCTACTTCGTGGCTCCGGACACGGACTGCTGGCTCTGGATGCAGGCGGCGGCCCCCGGCGACCGGATCCGCTTCCAGTTCCGCTTCTTCCTGGTCTACAGCCTGACCCCCGCGCCCCCGGCGCTCAACACCTCCTCCCCGGCCCCGGCCGGCCCGTGCGCCCCCGGCTCCTACCTGCAGTTCTACGAGGGCCCGCCGGGGGCGCCCCGGCCCCTGGGGTCCGCCCTCTGCGGCCTGACCATCCCGGTCCCCGTGGCATCCTCCGGCCCCTTCCTAGGCCTGCGCCTGGTTACGAGAGGCCGCCAGCCCCGCGTGGACTTCGTGGGCGAAGGCACCTCTTTCCGTCTGGGTGAGCTGGGGCTGAAGGCCGGGACGGGGCCCTATGCAGAGGCCATGCGGGACTGGGGCCACAGTGGGGGCCCCGGGGAGGGCTGCTGCCAACAGGGGAATGGCGCGGGCGCCCGAAGCACAAGGTGGCAGGGACTGGGTCTAAAGGGAGGGAAGAAGGTAGTGGCTAGTGGCAGGGTCACAATAAGGGACCTCCCGGATCTTAAGAGTCAACCATATAAATCTGGCTACCGTGGATGTGTGTGCCAGACTGTCCTACCAGCCCCAGTGCACACACACATACACACACACACACACACAACTTCCTCCCCACACACATTCACACAGAACTCCCACACATGTACACACCTCACACTCTGACATCCACACACACGACACATGCAACCCACACACCTCATCGCCCCCACACACTCCACACTCATGCCTTTCACTCACTGCAGCACACGCCTCACGGTGCACACTCACCATTATCACACACCTCATATGCACACAGTACCACCTTGCATGCTTACACACAGCTCCCACGCTCTCATGCCACATGCTGGCTGCTCCGCGCTGGGTCAGCCCTTCAGATGTTTGAGAAGGGTGTGGTCAGGACTCTCCAGGCCTGTAGGCAGCAGAAACCAACTCAAGCCAGGAAAGGGGCCTCTTGGAACTGCAATTAATAATACTCACCCGACTGGGCGCCCTGGCTTACACCTGTAATCCCAGCACTTTGGGAGGCCAAGGCATGAGGATCACTTGAGTTCAGGAATTCAAGACCAGCCTGGGTGACAGAGAGAGACCTGCCTAAAACAACAACAACAAATTTTTAAAATACAATAATTAAAAAATAATAAAATTAATAACAGTACTTGCCCCATAAGGGTATTGTGGGGCCTCAATGGGCCAGGATGTGAAGTATTTACAGCTGTGCCTGGAAGTCAGTACGTGTTAGCTGCTGTCCTCCACCCTCCTCCCCCTGAAACACTCACCCACGCTCTCATCCGCATCCTCAACAGCAGCTATCTCCTGCCCACACCCCCACATTGTCACCATGGGACCACACACCCTGCTGTGTCGTGGGCCGGACCAGGATCCTCACCTCAGGCTTCCGCTTCTGGCCTCAGGACCTTGTGGTGCCTACTTCCGCTGCCAGAATGGCAGGTGCATCCCCTCAAGCCTCGTGTGTGACCCCTGGGGCATGGACAACTGTGGCGACGGCAGTGACCAGGGCTCCTGGCCACCAGCTGACTGCAGAGGTCAGTGCGGGGTACGGACTGGGCCCTACCGAACAGCTGGAAGGAAGCCTGGCCGGCTGTAACTCCCCTTCCCTAGGGCAGGGCCCGGGTGGGGAGGCAGGAGAGAGGAAAGCGGAAGTGTGGAATCGGCTTAGGCCAAGGGCTGGAGGGGCAGAGCAGTCAGGCAGAGAGCTACGCTGCAGATGTATCGCATCCGGCAGATTCCAAATGATGCTTTAGTGGTGGAAACTTTTGCTAAATGGGACCTGGCTAAATGAGGCCCAAGACGTTCAAAGGAGATACCCTCTCCTTAACTGGATGGTGGTCCTGGGGCTCTGGCTGCCTGATGTCTCTCTGAGGGCCCTGAGTGTCACCCTCAAGACATAATTTGAAAACCATCAATCCAGTCTGACTCCCACACTTTACAGATCGGGAAACTGAGGCCTAGAGAGAAGTGACTTGCCCAAGGTCATAAAGCCAGTGAGTAAAATGAGCAGGAATGATCTCTGTAGACAGGGGAGTGGGATAGGAGGGCTAGGGTTGGTGGAAGGGACCAGAATAAATCACCCAGGAATAACCTTCCTGGGGATCTAGAGATGTTCCACCTGCCCACCACACCCAATTAGGAGTGGGATGGAGGTAGGGCTGCCAGGTACAGTTGAACAGGGGTGAAACACAGTTTCCCAGAACCCCCCATACTTAGCTTCCCCATCCCCCGCTCAGCCATCTTTGCAGGTTCCTGGTCATTTCCCTGATGCTGTCTGCTTTGTGCCTGAGACCCAGGTCCTATGTCCCATTGTCCTCCATCCAGGCTCATTCCCTTGTGGATCTCATTTATACTGTATCACCAGTGGGACTTGTCTTTGAACTTCAGCTACATAACCTTCTCCCTGCTCAGCATCTCTGCGTGGATGTATAGGTGAAATCTCAAACTTAACTTGCCCCACACTGGACTCCTGGTCCACAGCCCTCCCTGCATCCTGCTTCCCTCTCACTGAGCAGCAGCTTCACATTCCAGATGCCCAGGCCTCACACTGAGTCATCTTTTACTTCCCGCTCAACCCATAGCCTATAACCCATAACCAAGCCAGCGACAAGTCCTTCGAAAGCTCTCCAGACTCTGACCCTTCTCACACTTGCTCTGCCATCACCTGGTTTGAGCCACCACCAGTTCTCGTCTGGGTTGTTCTAATAACTTCTGAACTGGTCTCCCTCCTTCTGTCCTTTGCCTCTGACAGCATGTTCTTCCCGTGGAAGCCTGGGGGAGGCTTCTTTTTCTTTCAAATGAACTTGTTTGTTTATTTAGTTGTTTGGTGTTTTGAGATAGGGTCTCATTCTGTTATCCAGGCTGGAGTGCAGTGGCACCATCTCGGCTCACTGCAACCTCTGCTTCCTGGGCTCAGGTGTTCCTCCCACCTCAGCCTCCAGAGCAGCTGGGACTACACCGTGCGCTGCCATGCCCAGCTAATTTTTGTGTTTTTTGTAGAGATGAGGTCTCACTATATTGCAAGGGCTAGTCTCAAACTCCTGGGCTCAAGTGATCTTCCCGCCTTGGCCTCCCAAAGTGCTGGGATTGCATGAACTTCATTTCTCAGGGCAGTGTTAGATTTACAAAAAAATTGAGAAGATAGTACAGAAAATTCTCATATACCCAGCACTCAGTTTGGGTGCTATTATTGACATTTTACATTAGTATGAGACATTTGTTTTAATTAATGAAGCAATATTAACTAAAGTCCACAGTGTATTCAGTTTTCCCTAGTTTTTGCCTAATGTCCTTTTTCTGTCCCAGGATCCCATTCAGCATCTCATGTTACACTTATTTATTTATTTATTTTATTACTTTTTTTCAGATAGAGTCTTGCTGTGTTGCCTAGGCTAGATAGACTGCAGTGGCATGATCTCGGCTCACTGCAACCTCCGCCTCCCGGGTTCAAGCAATTCTCCTGCCTCAGCCTCCTGTGTAGCTGGGATTACAGGTGCACACCACCACACCCAGCTAATTTTTGTATTTTTAATAGAGACGGGGTTTCGCCATGTTGGCCAGACTGGTCTAACTCCTGACCTCAAGTGATCCACCCGCCTTGGCCTCCCAAAGTGCTGGGATTACAGGCGTGAGCCTACGCGCCCAGCCTCATGTTACATTCATTAATCGTCATCATGCCTCTTTAGGCTCCCCTTGGCAGTGGCAGTTTCTCAGGATTTCCTTGTTTTTGATGACCTTGACAGTTGCGAGTACTGCTCAGGATTTTGTAGGATGCCCCACTATTGGGATTTATTTGGTACTTTTCTCATAATAAGACTGGAGTTACAGTTCACAGAAGTGAAATGCCATCTTTATCACATCATATCAAAGGCACACATGCCCAACATGACTTTGGTGTTGGGGTGTTGGGTGGTGGTTGACGCTGACCTTGACCGCCTGGCTGAAGTCGTGTCTGCTTGATTTCTCCACTGTTGCTTTTGGCCCCATCTTTCCCCACTGTATTCTTGGGAATTCACTATGTGTAGCCCACTTGAGTGGGGATTTATGCTTTCCCGCCAGAGGAACCTTTTAAAGCAGTAACTCAGGTTATGTCACTCTCCTGCTCAAAATCCTCATCTCGCTCATCGAAGGCAAAGCCTCCCTCGGGCTGGAAAGCCCTGCACGATCTGGCCCCGCCCCTTATTTCCTGGCCCCGCCTCTTCTTTCCCGACCCTGCCTCCTCCCTGGCCCCACCTCCTCCCTGGCCCTGCCTCCCCTCCACACTCCGGCCTTGTTCTGGCCTTTGTAGTAGCTGTGTCCTCTACCACTTTTCTTCTGAGATCTGCATTGCAAGCTCATTCCTTTGCTTCCCGGTGGGTCTCTAGTTAAGTTCTTCCCTGACTCCTTTATATAAAAATAGCAACCCTGGCCAAGTGCAGTGGCTTGCGCCTGTAATCCCAGCACTTTGGGAGGCCAAGACGGACGGATCACCTGTAGTCGGGAGTTAGAGACCAACCTGACCAACATGGAGAAACCCCATTTGTACTAAAAATACAAAATTAGCCGGGCGTGGTGGCATATGCCTGTAGTCCCAGCTACTCGGGAGGCTGAGGCAGGAGAATCGCTTGAACCCAGGAGGCATAGGTTTTGGTGAGCCAAGATTACTCCATTGCACTCCAGCCTGGGCAACAAGAGCAAAACTCCTCCTCAAAAAAAAAAAAAAAAAAAAAAGAAGTCATATTATTAATAACGTTAATATATTATATTCTAATATGCATATTAGAATAGTCAAAATCACAGAGACAGGAAGTAGAGCCATGGTCACCAGGGGCTGGGGAGGTGGGGACAAGGAGGATATGGAGTTAATGGAATTGATGGAGTTTCAGTTCAGGCAGATGCAAAGTTCTGGAGATGGACGGCAGTGATGGCTGCCCAGTGTGAATGTGTATTAGTCCGTCCTCGCATTGCTATAAAAAAACACCGAAGACTGGGTAATTTATAAAGAAAAGAGGTTTAATTGTCTCACAGTTCTGCAGGTTGTACAGGAAGCATGATGCAGGCATCTGCTCAGCATCTGGAGATGCCTCAGGAAACTTACGCCTCAGGAAACTTACAATCTTGGCAGAAGGCGAGGGGAGCAGGTGCAGCCAGAGTAGGAGAGAGAGTGGGGAGGCACTGCACACTTTAAACAACCAGATCTTGCAAGAACTCACTATCATGAGAACAGCACTAAGGGGTTGGTGCTAAACTATTCATGAGAAATCCACCCCCATGATCCAATCACCTCCCACCAGGCCCCACCTCCAACACTGGGAATTACAATTTGACCTGTGATTAGGGTGGGAACACAGATCCAAACCCTATCAGAATATATTTAATGCCACTGAACTGTACCCCTAACCATGGTTAAATGGTAAATGTTATGTGCTTTGCCACAGTAAGAAAAGCAGCAGCCCTGCCCCCACCAACATGAGTAATTTTTCTCACTAGCACGTGTCTCCTTGGGACCGAAATTCTATTCACGTGTTTTGTTTCTCCCCACACTAAACTCCCAGTTCCATGAAGACATATTTGTCATGTGCTTATGGTTGTATCCCCCAGTTGCTAAAGCCATGCCTGGGGCATAGGAGATGCTCAAGGAATACTAGTCAAATGAATGGAAGAATGAACCTCTATGGCTCAGTTTCCTTATCTGTGAAATGCGGATAAACCTCACCCTTCAGAATTGTCGTAAACTGTAAGCTGGATAAATAGGTAAAGGGCCCAGCACAGAGTGTGGTGCTTGATGTACAGAAAATGCTCATGGCTGGGCACGGTGGCTCACGCCTGTAATCCCAGCATTTTGGGAGGCTAAGGCAGGTGGATCGCTTGAGCTCAGGAGTCAAGACCAGCTTGGGCAACATAGTGAGATCCTGTCTCTACAAAAAATAAAAAAATTAGCTAGGTGTGGTGGCGTGTGCTGGTAGTCCCAGCTACTCAGGAGGCTGAGCTGGGAGGATCGCTTGAGCCTGGGAGGCAGAAGTTGCAGTGAGTGGTGACTGCGCCACTGGATTCCAGCCTGGGCGACAGAGTGAGACCCTGCCTCAATGCTCAGTACATGTACACCCTCTTCCTTGAGAAGTAGCTCCACTCATAGACCGTAGGCCCTGGAGCCAGACCGTGTGAATTCAGGTCCTCCTATCACTTCCAGCTAAGTGACCTTGGCAAGTGACAACCTCTCTGTAAAATGGAAACACAAAGAGTGACAAACTAGGGAAGTCTTGTGAGGACTGAATGAAACACGCAAGTGCCCCAGAAAGGGCAGTTCTCAGTGTGCTAGTTCTGTTCTTTCCCATGTAGGTCCCTCTCCAGTGCCCAGCGAGACAGGAAGTACAGACCACCACACCTCCAGCTCTCCGACTCCCTCTCCAGCTCTTGGGTCCGCAGGATCCCTCCAGATTGCAGCTGAGAGGAGTCCCCCAGCAGGCAGGGACCCCACGAGACAGGACACAGCTTTGGAAGGTTACACCCTGCTCCTACTCTCCCTGCCAAAATCACACCTGTCCCTCTCCAGGTGATGGAGACAGGGGCAGTGGGCCCAGGCCAAGGCCTGAGTGGACTTTCTCCTCCCACAGGCCCCCAGCTCCAAGGGGTGGTGCTGGCCTCCTCGATGCTCCTGGCTTCTGCTGGCCTCCTCATGGGCCTCCTCTGGTGCTGGTGCTCTCCTAGCTGGCTGGCCTGGCAACCTGGCGCCTGTGGCCTCTGCCTCCGCTGCAGCACATCTGCCATTTGCTACCCATGTCCCAGCCAGGTCTCCCCAGGGGGCTGCAGCTGAGTGGCCCAGCCTTCCAGGGTCAGGGAGGCCATCCCTAGAGGGCTTTGGGCACATGGGAATGAGACTAGGCTCTGGGGTCAGACAGACTCTTCGGGTTCTAACCTGGCTCTGTGTCTGATGTTGGACAGGCCTCTTGACCCTCTGAGACTCAGCTGCCCCTCCAGAAAATAGGACGATTCCTGCCTCACAGGGTTGGGGGTCTGGGAGCCTCACTGATCCAAAAACACCTTGCTTCACCCCCAGATCTCACCTGCCCCGCTCTGCCCCACCCACAGACTCCACTGAGTGAAGCCCTCATCAAAGACACGGGAGGCCCCTGGCGGGGATAGCACCGTTTATTAAGAAAAATCAAGACAAAGACCACAGGAGGGTCCCTTCTAGGACACAGAGGCCAGGCGTCCCAACCCCACAGTCTGGGAGCCACTGGCAGGATGGCACTCGAGCTGGATCTTCAGGCTCCCGCAGATGGGGCAGGGTGGTCGGTGGTCATATCCCCCTCCTCTCTCTCCCAGTTGTGAGTTCTGCCTTCCCCCACCCAAGGCACTAGCTCTTCCTGGGCACCAGCGGCATCTGAGGAGTCCCTGGGCCTTCACTTCCAGATGAGTGGGGATGTGGCCTGGGGTGGGCAAGGCCCAGTGGGCGGGGCCTTCTCAGTGCTGGGCTCTGCCTGTAGCAGCTCCTGGTAAGAGTTGGGGTGGGTTTTCCCTTACAGCCCCTGAGGGAGGAACCCCGGGCTGTGTGCTGGCAGAAGGGGGTGGGAATGCAGGCCAGGAGGAGGGCGTGGTAGGAAGGGGAGGCTGCCAGAGGAGGTGCCAGGGGCTGGGTGGAGGTGGGTGGGGGTGCTGAAAAACGAGCTGGTGGGGATGGGGACCGCCTGCCCAGCGGTGAGCTGCCTTTTGCTCCACAGCCGGCACTAAAGACAATTCCCAATCCTGAGTGGGTGGCAGAGGTTCCTGCGATGCCCGTCTCAGGTAGCTGTGGGGCACCAGCCTACAAGCCGAGGCTGGCTCTCCTAGGAGTGAGAACTGCCCAAGGGCTGCAGAAACAGGCCACCCAGCTCTATCTTGGGGGCTCCATTGGTGGGTAGGGGGAGAGTGGGGGCAGTTCTGGGCCCACCCAGCCACCATTCCTGACCCCAAGTCCTGGTGGCTTTCTGAGGCGCCTACTCCCATCAAACCTGCCTTGCCCGCCAGCCTTGTGGCTTTGCCCAGCTGTGTGGGTGGGGGTGGCGTGCCCACCTCCAGTCCAGCCCAGGGCGGTAGCAGCAAAGCGTGGCATCGCCTCAGTTTCTTACAAAAATTCATAATAATATTAATAATAATATACTCGACGTTGTCGGGCTGGGGCGCGGCCCGGGAGTCCGTGTGGGGCTGGCAGGTGCCTACGAGGGGCAGGGGCGTGTGTTGGCCCCGGCCTGGGCGCGGTGCTGCAGGTCCAGGGGCTGTGGGGGCGGGGCGCCGGGTCGGGCCGAGTGCAGCACCAGGTTCTTGACACAGCCTGTGATGCCCGAGGAGAACCTGCCCCCGGTCAGAATGGTCACGTCGGGGGCTCCGCCTGCCAGGAGGTGAGAGGACAGGGCTTGTGGGCTCCAGCAGCCCAGGAGGCGAGGAAGGCCGGGTGAGCTCCAGCCCCAAGGGAGTGCTGTTCCTGCCCTTGCCCTGAGAAGGAGCCCCAGACTTACCGATGTAGACGCTGCCCTTGGCGTTGACTGCCACGTTGGGACCTGGGGACCGGCCGCTGACCAGCTCCTCACCGTCGACCTGGATGGAACCTCTGCGGCCCTCCCTGCAATGGACCTGGGTCAGGCCCCTTCCCACAAACTCCCCGGTCCTCCCCAGCGCCACGACAGAGTCCCCTCCCTCTGGCACCGAGATTCCAGACTCAGAAGTCTGTCCCTGTTCCCCAAGCTCTCTTTCCCCCGCTGAACAAGAGATCGGCCCCACGAAGGCAGCTTCCTCGTTTCTGCGCCCAGGTTTCCTCCTGCCCCGAGGGCGCTCGCTTGCCCCCAGCGGCGTGCAGTCCGAGATAGAAGCTTGAGCCCTGGCTGGTGGGTTCTCCCCTCCCCTGGCTTTAAGTTCTGTCTCCACAGAGCTCAATGCCTGCCTCTCTGCCCATGGTCGGGGGCGTCCTGCCCCACTCCAGAACACTGGGTCCCGTCCCGAGTGCCCGGCAGGGTCCCTTACCGCAGTGCTGTCACTCGGTGCCACTCGCCGTCATTGATGGGGTCCTCAGAGACCAGGCGGGCCTCCCCACTACCCAGCTGGTACCTGTAGTCATCCAGGCCCAAGAAGTGTGAGCTGGGGCAGGATGGGGGGGTGGGGTGCTGGGACCAGGGAAGGGAGAGGAAGGGCCAGGTGCCAGGACCCACCTGAAGACAAGGTGCCCATCTTGAAGCCCGAGACTGATGAAGTCCTTGCCTCGGCCGGCCTCTCCCACCTCCTGCCAGGGAAGCACAGGGTCTCTGGGGTCCCCAGCCTGGAGAGCGGAGGCTGCCGAGGCCAGGAGGCTCCGCTTTCCCCTCTCCCCACCACTCTGGCCACCAGGAAACCAGCTTCCTGCCCCAGGAGCCCCAAGAGTCTGGCCGGATGCCCACACTCACCACACCCTGCCAGAGCAGGAGGCCATTGGCCGTGCTGGTCCGAACCTCCAGCTCGATGGTCTCGGGCACCTCGGGCAGGCTGCGAAGGAAGAGTGGGTGAGGGGACAGAAGTCCCAGATTCCCGTCCTCCCCATTAGGCCCACGGGCTCTCCCAACGCCAGTCTCACCTCCTGGAGAAGATACGGCCAGGGAAGGCAAGGAAGCCATCATCGTGGAAATATGCTCCGTATTGCCCAGGGGCATCTGTGGGAGAGAGGGAGATGGTGCCACACCTGCCACATCAGGCATCAATCTCCAGTCAGTTCCACTGACCCCCACCTCCACGCCAACATGAAGGACTAGGGGGCTCTGAGCCTGCAGTCCCTGGGGACCCAAGGGAGTTGTCGACAGAATTCAGGGGGCCTGTGACTTTGGATGGGAAAGCATTACACCTCAATTTCACTCACTTCTCACTGAAATTGAGCAGTTCTTTCAATGAGATGTAGGCAAGAAACCAAAGTAGTAGTGGTAGGACCTGCAACTTTGTTACTAGTATTTGCTTATCACATTACAGTAGCTGCAAATATTTCAAAATATCATTTACACATATTGCTGCTTTGAAACTGTGGTAGTAGGCCGGGCGCGGTGGCTCAAGCCTGTAATCCCAGCACTTTGTGAGGCCGAGACGGGCGGATCACGAGGTCAGGAGATCGAGACCATCCTGGCTGACACAGTGAAACCCCATCTCTACTAAAAAATACAAAAAAACTAGCCGGGCGAGGTGGCGGGCGCCTGTAGTCCCAGCTACTCGGGAGGCTGAGCCAGGAGAATGGCGTGAACCCGAGAGGCGGAGCTTGCAGTGAGCCAAGATCACGCCACTGCACTCCAGCCTGGGCGGCAGAGCGAGACTCTGTCTCAAAAAAAAAAAAAAAAAAAAAAGACACTGTGGTAGCTACTGAGACCACCGGATCTTGTTATTTGATGTATTAATAAAGAAGCACACATAGAGCAAGTCAGAAAACTTAAAAAATGTTTTGATTACTTTACTTCAGCATAATTGCTTTCCTTAAATCAATGCATTTTATTTTATTTTGTGCAGTCAACAGGATCCATGTCGGGTGATGCGCCATTCTACTTGCCAAGTTCTGTCTGTCTTTAGCCCTGAAAGTCCCACATCCCAAGAAACCCCTCAGTCTGGAGCTACTGGGACGGTTGGTCACCTTGGACCATGGCAATAAATGATTCAGAGCCTTGGTGTTCTCTCCATCTTACAGATGGGCAGGCAGGCTCAGGCGAGTGACTGGCCCAGGATGTGGGGGGAACTAAGATTGCAACCTGGACCTTTTAGCCCTGATGTCCATACTGTGTGTGGCTCTACCACCCCCAGCCCTATCTGTTCACGACCCATCCTACAGGCTGGCAGTGGCCATAGTAGCTCTGGCAGGGGGCAAGAGCAGGGGACCCTCTCCTACCCTCTGCCAAATGATGAGGAGAACGGCTGACATTTACCAAGCACCTACGATGTGCCTGTGCGGTGAGTGTCCCATCCAGCCACAGATACCATTGCATTTAACTCAATCCTTACGACAACCCTATGAATGAAGATTATATGTAGATATGTCTTATTTTATTTATTGTTTTGAGATGGAGTCTTGCTCTGTGGCCCAGGCTGGAGTGCAGTGGCACAATCTTGGTTCACTACAACGTCCACCTCCCAGGTTCAAGCAATTCTTCTGCCTTGGCCTCCCAAGTAGCTGGGACTACAGGTGCACACCACCATGCCCGGCTAATTTTTGTACTTTTAGTAGAGATGTTGGCCAGGCTAGTCTCGAACCCCTGATCTCAGGTGATCCACCCACCTTGGCTTCCCAAAGTGTTGGGATGACAGGTGTGAGCCACCGCACCCAGTCTTATTTTTTATTTTTTTGAGACAGGGTCTTGGTCTGTTGCCCAGGCTGGAGTGCAGTGACACAATCTTAGCTCACTACAGCCTCGACCTCCTGGGCTCAAGTGATCCTTCTGCCTCGGCTGGGACCACAGCCATGTGCACCACACCCAGCTAATTCTTAAATTTTTTGTAGAGATGAGGTCTCCCTGTGTTGCCCAGGTTGATCTTGAACTCCTGGGCTCATGTGATCCTCCTGCCTGTCTCTCGAGTAGCTGGGACCATAGATGAGCGCCACCATGCCCAGCTACTTTTTGTATTTTTTTGTAGAGACAGGATTTCGCCTTGTTGCCCAGGCTGGTATAGAACTCCTGGGCTCAAGTAATCTGCCCGCCACAGCCTCCCAAACTGCTGGGATTATAGGCGTCAGTCACCACGCCCAGCTGAATATAGTATTTTTTTTTTTTTTTGAGAGGGAGTTTCACTCTTGTTGCCCAGGCTGGAGTGCAGTGGTGGGATCTCGGCTCACTGCAACCTCTACCTCCCAGGTTCGAGCGATTCTCCTGCCTCAGCCTCCGGAGTAGCTGGGATTACAGGCATGTGCCACCACGCCCAGCTAATTTTGTATTTTTAGTAGAGATGGGGTTTCTCCATGTTGGTCAGGCTGGTGTCAAATTCCCGACCTCAGGTGATCTGCCCGCTTCAGCATCCCAAAGTGCTGGGATTACAGGCATGAGCCACCACGCCCAGCCAGCTGAATATAATATTAACAACAGCTAACATTCTGTACTGACTCTGTACCAGACATTGTTCTAGGCATTTAAAGAGGACTAAGTGGCTAGGTGCGGTGGCTTATGCCCGTATTTCCAGCACTTTAGGGGGATGAGGGGGGCAGATCACCTGAGGTCAGGAGTTAGAGACCGGCCTGGCCAACATGGTGAAACCCCATCTCTACAAAAAATACAAAAATTAGCTGGGTGTGGTGGCAGGCACCTGTAATCCCAGCTACTTAGGAAGCTGAGGCAGCAGAATCACTTAAATCTGGGAGGCGGAGGTTGCAGTGAGCTGAGATTGTGCTACTGCACTCTGGCCTGGGTGACAGAGCCAGACTCCACCTTAAAAAAAATGCACTAAGTAATTTTACTCTCACATAAAAGTTTATCCAGATCATTAGGGAAAGATGTTACTCATCTTCATTTTATATGAGGCACAGAGAGGTTAAGTGACTCACCTGAAGTTCCACAGCTAGTAAGTGGGAGAGCTAGGATTTGAACCCAAGCAGGCTGGCTCCAAGTCTATACTCTTAACCACTATACCACTGCCTCGCCTATGATATTAGTGATACATAAGAAGGGATGTGTCTGTAAAGGGGTTAGCACAGTGCCCATAAACATTCAATCAGCATTCACTCTTGACTGTTTCCTTAGCTTTTCAGCAGACAGTGGAATTCTTGGGAAGGAGGGTCTTGCTTTATGCTTCTTTTATTTTATTTTTTTTGAGACGGAGTCTCGCTCTGTCGCCTAGGCTGGAGTGCAGTGGCGCGATCATGGCTCATTGCAAGCTCCACCTCCTGGCTTCACGCCATTCTCCTGCCTCAGCCTCTGAGTAGCTGGGACTATGGGCACCTGCCACCGCGCCTGGCTAATTTTTTGTATTTTTAGTAGAGACGGGTTTTCACCATGGTCTCCATCTCCTGACCTCGTGATCCGCCTGCCTTGGCCTCCCATATATTTACTGCTCCCAGAGCAAGGATGGACACACAATAGTTTGTTGACTGAATACATGAATACAGAGGAGGAAACTGAGGTCAGAGTGGTTTCAAAGGCCTGCCCAAGGTCACCCAGCCAGTTAAGTGTGGGGCAGGCCCCAGCTCCCCATGGCTGTGGTCTTCATTCTGTCTCTCTGCCCAGCAAGCTCCTCATATAGAGCTGTTTTGCGTACAGGCCAGAACTGAGGGTGTGGGGTAACTGGAAGAGTGAGTTGAGGCTGAAGCTGGGGAGGAGGCCATGGCAAGTACTCACCATTGCCCCCGCTGCCTTCAAGATGCCAGTCGGACTCCGCTATGCCATGTCCAGAGCCTATGGAGAAGGGCAGGGTCCAGTTGGTGGGCACAGACACCCGTGGGTACTATGTCGAGCCCCGGGGCCCCAAGACAGAGATGAAGTGGAGAGAAGCCAGGCCTGGGTACCTTGTTGGCAGCGTGGGCCAGAGAAGCCAGGGAGGCAGAGGCAGCGGGTGCCCTGGCAGGTGCCCCCATGCAAACAAGGTTCACGGAGCTGGCAGGGGTTCTCCTCGTGCTCACACAGGTCTCCTGTGGACCAGGGCAGAGGCGAGTGGGTGGGTGGGCATGGGCTGGAGGTGTTGCTGACCACCTGTGCCCCTCCCCTCCGGTGCCCTGGGCAGGCTTTCCCACCTTTGAATCCATCTCGACACAGGCACTGGAACTCATACTCGCCAGCGGGCATGCACGTGGCACCATGTTGGCATGGCTGGCGCTCACATGGGGAGCTGTCATAGCACTGCCCGATGCCCTGGCTGCCTAGGAAACTGTAGGTGAGGTCCAGCCGTTTGCCATTCACTGACACCTGTGGGGACAGGGACACTGAGGGACTAAAGGGACATGGGAGGCAGAGGCCCAGGTGTACCAGCAGGGAGAAGAATACAGCAGAAGGCAGCTGGGAGCCCACACTGGGCCCTGAGTGGCAGCATGGATTCTCGGTGTGGGGAGGGAGGCACAGGAGTTGAGTGCCTACTGTGTGCCAGAAACATTCATCCGTCAGTGCAGACAATCCTCTGCCCAACCCTTCAAGGTATGTGTGATCATGCCCATTTTACAGAGGAGGAAACTGAGGCTCAGAGGTATAGCATCCTGGCCCAGGGCCCATGGTGGTTACAGGTGGAGGGGCCCAGTGCCAAGGTGCTGGGAGAGCCGAGGGAGGCGCAAGGTTTGGCACCCCTCCCCTCCGCTTGTCCCGAGGAGGCTCCTCTTACCTCGCCCACACAGCCGCGGAAGTGAGCGCTCATGTTGGTGGCTGGGGACAGTGGCACGGAAGGCTCCACGCCCCCCAGGTAGAGCAGGGTGTGCAGGTTGAGGCCCTGGCTCTTGCCGGGCGAGGAGCGCAGCACAGGGTGTCCACCATTCACCCGCAGGCTGCCGTCCTTGTTGAGACGCTCTGCAGACACGCGGTGCCAGCGGCCCAGGGCCAGCGGCTCGGCGCTCCGCAGAACAGCCAGCCCTGGGGAGGATACCAGGCAGGGTTGGGCACATGGGGGCACACGGGGCTCCCTGCCCTCTCCACCACAAACAGGGCCCTGAGCAGATGGGGAATGCCCTACAGCCTTCTGTATTCCAGATGAGGAGCCCACGGCTCAGAGAGGGCTAGGGACTGGCCTCAAGTGACACAGAGACGAAAGGCATGGGAAGAGGGGACTCGGCCTGATCCCTGCATTTATCCCCCCACGCCTCCCTGGGGCTTGGAGAGTCGAGAGGGGGCACAAGGCTTGGAGTACAGAGCCCCGCATTTGGTGCTGGGTGCCTACCTGACCCTAGCTCGTAGCGGAATTCCAGGTGGCCGCCCACCATCGCCAGGGACACGAAGTCCTCCACAGGCCCGCTCTTCCCCCCGCTGAACAGCAGGACCCCGTCAGGGGCGAGTGGCTTGAACTCCACGTCCAGGCGTAGCTCATGGTGTGTGTTGGTGAGAGCGGGCAGCGCCAGGTAGGAGCCAGCACCCGACAGTGAGGGGGTGGTCACCGTCACACCTGCAGCAGCCACAGCTCAGCTAAGGAAGTGGGGATCCTGGACCCTTGGGTGGGGTCCAGGTACTCTGCCTTCCTCTGGGATCCCTGCCTGCCTCACTCCCCCGGCCCAGAGGCTCAGGACCAGCTGGCACTAGCTACAGCGGCATAGGAGCCCCCCTGCCCTTGCAGACTGGCCTGGGAGGAGCTCCAATATGACAGGGGTCCTCTTTGGGGGCCCTCACTCACTAAGGGATTCAGCCTGGGCAGACACGTGACCAGGTGACTTTGAGATCCTCTGGGTCGGGCATCGTTTTATCATCCGTAGGGGCCCATCACAGCTTCAGAGTGCCCCACCCAGCCTCCCCGGCTGACACTGGGACTCTGAGGGTCACTGGCCTGGCTCCACTCACCTTCCTCACACCGCAACCCCGAGCGGCCCAGATGGCAGCGGCAGGTGTAGCCTCGACCATCAGGCCGGTTCACACAGGTGGCGTCGGGCCCACAGGCCTCTGGGGGGCACACAGGCCAGTGAAAAGGACATGGAGGTGACTCTGGAGGGAGGGGGGCCCTGATGCCAGAGCCCTGCCCATCACACCCCGGGGGGCTCGGCTAGGGAGGGCCAGGCCAGCCTCCTGGGAGGCCTTGGAGGAGGGAACTGAGGAGAGTAAGGTGGGAGCCAAAAGAGGCCATGGGGAGGACTGCGGGGGAAGCAGTAGAGGGACTCTGTGTCTGCAGGTTCTTCAGAGACTGGACCTGGATAACAGTGTTGGGTTGGGGGGGCACCTGGTGGTGGGTAATGGGGTGGGCACCTCGGTATTAAGATGGGACTGGGGGCTGGGCATAGGGGCTTATGCCTGTAATCTCAGCACTTTGGGAGACCAAGGCAGGTGGATCACCTGAGGTCAGGAGTTCAAGACCAGCCATGGCCAACGTAGTGAAATCCCGCCTCTACTAAAAATACAAAAAACTAGCCAGGGGTGATGGTGGACACTTGTAATCGCAGCTACTCAGGAGGCTGAGGCAGGAGAATCACTTGAACCCAAGAGGCAGAAGTTGCAGTGAGCTGAGTTCGTGCCACTGCACTCCAGCCTGGGCAACAAGAGCGAAACTTCGTTTCAAAAAAAAAAAGAAGATGGGGCTAGGGGTGAGGGAGTGTCTGGGTGGCGGGGTAGTGGTAAGAATTTGGTCAGCAGGGATGGAGGAGGGGAAGCAGCCGTGATGGGACGAGGGCCCCTGGGTAGCAGAGATGGGGGATGGGTACATGGGAGGAGTGGTGAGTGCTCAGGTAAGAGTGGGGTGTGTGGAAGTGCCCCGGTGGTGGAGATGGTGGTGGGTATGGGGAGGCAGCAAAGGGAAGAGGCAGGCCCTGGGGTGACAGCGACTGGCGTTGGGGGGTGCGTACCTGGATGGCAGTGCAGGGCCTGTGAGTGCTCACAGCGGCTCCCGGTGAAGCCAGCTGGGCAGACGCACATGTAGCTGCTGCTCTCGGAGTCATGGCACTGACCACCATTCTGCAAAGCAGCCCCCAGAAATAAGGCCGAGAACATTCAGTCCTCCCCATAATCCCCACAGGGGCCAGCCATGGCTGGGGGCGGAGGCCACAGCAGCCAGGTGGTATGTGCGGTGTGGGGTCACCTGGCAGGGCCGGTCCCGACAGGTGGGGCAGTGGGAGATGCCGTGCGCCGTGAGGTTGAGGTCGTGGAAGATGATCTCCTCGCCCTGGATGCGCAGGTCCCGGACACAGCCTGGGAGGTGAGTGGGCAGGATGAGCACAGGGCAGGGTGTCCCAGCCCACACCTTCGGTGCCCTCCCAGGCTCTCCAGGGCTCTTCCAGCCAGCTAGGTAAGGCCTAGCCTCAGCTGGAGGTGGCGTGGGGGCTCACCTATGAAGCCGCTGCTCAGCCCCACCTTGGGGATGGCACCATAGTCAGGGTAGCCGCCCAGGTAGAGCTCCTCGTTCAGGTCCAGGCCCTGGAACTTGCCCTGGGGAGGTGGGGAAGTCAGGAATGGCAACAGAGGCTGGGCAGGGGCGGGATGAGGGCTGGAAGTAGTAGGATGGGGTTGGGTCTCACCTGGGAGGTCCCATTGACCGGGGCCAGGTCACCCACAATCAGGGAGCCCTGGGTGAGGCTGCGCAGCAGGGTCACGGTGTGGAAATGGCCCAGGGCCAGTGGCGTGGGGTGGCGGATGGTGGCCATGCCTGAGCCTGCATCGAACCTGCTCCGTGGGGCAGGCCAGGGCAGGAGAGATGGATAGGGGATTCGGAAGAAGGGCTAGGGGGGCCCAGTCGGACAGAGGGGCCCCAGAGGAGGGATGTCACCAATTCTTGCAGTCCCAGCCCTGGGGCTGTTCCAGTTCCTGTCCCTGTCTTGTCCTCCCACCCCAAGACTCACCCCCTAGATCTTCTCTCCCCACATCCTTTCGCTGGGAGCTTTTCCAGAGCAGCCCACAGGGACCCCAGGCTCAGGGCCCTGCAGCCTAGCACCTGGCCTCCCTGTTCCTCTGAGGACTCCTCTCTCCCTGAGATCACCTTGCTTCTCTGTTTATGGCTTGTTTACTCTTCCCCAACGAGAATACACCTTCCCACAAGAGCCAGAATTTGGTCTGTTTTGTTTTACCTGTATCAGTGCCTGGCACACATGGGGTGCTCAGCAAATAAGTGATGCATGCATGAATGAATGCATGAATGAATGAATGAATGAATCCTGGCCTGCAGCAGTCCCAAGCCTGAGGTTGCACCCTCCTCCACCTGACTGGCATACTATTCCTACTCCAGCAGACTGGGTGGTCACCAAGGGGAACGGCCACATTTTCTCCTTCCTCCAGATCTCCTTTGCATAATGGAGCCCAGGGTAGTGCTTGCCAGACCAAAGCCCTGTGTCCAGTCCCCCTATACATGGGGAGGCTGGGGGTCTCACCGGAACTCGGGCCTTCCCCCCACGAGGCCGAAGGAGATGAAGTCGGGCTGCCGGTTGGCCAGGTTGGTGGGGCTCCCTGGGACTCGCTTCTGCCCATTGTACAGCAGCATCCCTGGATGGGCACCACTGTGTAAGGGGCCTCCCATCCAGCCACAGGCTCCCCATCCTCCCCCACCCTAGAAATGACCCAAGCTCTTGAGCCTGTCCACTCTCGGAACCTGTCCCTCCCTCTGGCACTCCTCACACAGACAGGGCCGTCTCACTATCTCAGGGCTGGTGCCTCAAATGCAAGGGCCTTACTGAGCACCCCTAGAAAGAAACTGAATTTGCTTCACACACATTGGAGTCTCCCTCAAGCGGGAGAGGGAGGCAGAGACTCACCCGAGTAGAGAAGGAGGCCTGGACAGTGAAAGTCAGAGACCCGTAAGAGACGAGAGAAAGAGAGGAGGGAAGGGTGAGATGGAGGCAGGGGAAGGAGAAAGGAGCAGAGATGGGGAGAGGAAGCTGGGACAGGAGGACTGGGGGTGATGCCCTGGTGGCAGAGGAGCCACGGGGAGGCTGGAGATATCAAAGAGGCAGGGATGGAGAAGTGGGGAGGCGCGAGAGAAGGTATGCCAGGGCGGAGGCCCAGAGGTCTGGGGGCTTCTGGAGAGGGAGGGCTGAGGGATTGGGGCAGGACTGAGGGGCAGCCAGGGCTCAAGCCATGATGGCAGTTACTCCACGAGGTCCCTCAACCCAGGCCCGTCCACCCCGCAAAGGAACCCTCCTGCTCACCATCGGCTGAGTCGGGCCGGAAGGTGATCTTGATCTCGAACTTCCTGTAGGCATCCTTGATGGTGGGCAGCGGTAGGAAGGAGTAGGGGGTCTGTGTGAAGTAGGGCACCACCCGCTCTGCCGGCAGAGAGCACAGTTGGAGACCCTGCCAGTCAGGGAGTGGGCAGGGCACTGCCAATTCTTGGGGGTGGTATTTTACCTGGCACCTGCAGGTGGGCAAAGGCTTTGACCTTGCCCTGGCGGTTAGTGGCAGTGCAGACGTAGGTGCCCGCGTCCTGGGGTCGGACTGAGGGCAGTGTCAGCATGTTGTTCTCCAGACGGCTGTCAGGTGGCAGGCTGCCATCCAGCTGCAAACACACCAGCACTGAGGGCCCTGGCCTTGGCCCACAGCTCCAGGGGCCTGCCTCCCATCTGTGCCTCAGGCCCACCTTCCAACATTGTGCATTTACTCTTGGCCAAGCCTGTGCCACATCCTGGGGACACTGAGATGCTTCAGACCTGGTCCCAGCCCCCCAGGGATGCCTGCTGGTTCCCTCTCCAGTGCTTACCTTGCTCCAGCTGATGTCAGGAGTGGGGTAGCCTGAGGCTATGCAGGGGAAGACAGCTGCAGAACCAGCAGGCACACGGACTTCTTGGGGCATTGAGATCTGGGGCAAGGCTGAGAGGCATGGAAGAGACATAGGCCATCAACATGACAGTCACAGATGTGTGCCCAGCCTGCACCCTGATTCGTTTCATCCTCACACCACCCCTTGAAGGGAGCCACTACATTCCATTTCACAGATGAGGAAATTATGGCTTAGAGGGGGAAAAGTGGCTGTTTGCTCTTTGCTGGGCAGAGTCAGGGTTCAGGGCCAGATCCATGTCACTCCACAGCCTGAGACCTCTTCAACATGCCTGGGCAAAAAATTGTGCAGCCCTCTGGGGACCTGAGAAGTGCGTACTAGGGACAGTATAGGTAAGAAAGTTTGGAGGCAAGTCACAGGGCTTGGGGTAAAAAGGAATTGCCTTTAAAGAACACACAGTGTTTGTGTCTGCCCTGCATCTGTTGTCCTTGTTTTACACTCTATTAGGTCTGTTTGTTGTCTGGGTTATGTCTCTGCCCTCAGACCATGCTGCAAGTCTCTCCCAGCAGAGCAGGCACTCCCTGCCGATGAGGACAAGGTTTCTTTTTTCTTCTTGATGCTCTATGGCCTAGCTCTCTCCCTGTACATTCCAGGCTACCCTGGGGGAATCTCACTTTTATCCCCTGCTGCTGCCACCTGTTATGAAACCTGCCCCTTAAATACACACAATGGAAAATATCCCAAGCGAACAGAAAGGAAGAGCAGAGCGGGCAGGCAGAAGATGACGGCAGGAGAAGCCCCAGCCCCACTCACTGCCCCCCAACAAAAGTCCCCACCAGCCTTCACCTTGCACAAGCAGCAGCACGTGGGATTGTGTGGTGCCGGCTGCGTTGGTGGCAGTACAGCGATACTGTCCCGCATCAGCCAGCTCTACGTGGGCAATCCTGACGACGCCTCCGCTCTGCACAATGCCAGGCCGCAGGTGCCCTCCAACTTTGCTCCATGTCACTTGAGGCTTGGGGTCTCCCAGTGCTAGGCATTCGAACTCCACGGCGTGGCCGACCACCACGGTCTGCACAGATGTCCGGATGTTGATGAGCACCGAGGGCAGGGCTGGGGAGGAGGGAGGCGGAGGTCCAGTGAGATCAGTCACTGCAGACCCGGCCCGAGGGAGGCCATAGACTGCCCAAAGAAAGGTGAGCACTGAAGCTCCAGCATTCATTCGTTCCTCATTCGCTTTTTCATGCATTCACTCACAAACACACTCACTTGTCAGGTCTTATGCATTTACTCACTCACGTGTCCACTTATTCTTTTGTTTTTTTAGAGACAGGGTCTTGGCTGTATTCACAGGTGTGATCACAGCTCACTGCAACCTAGAACTCATGTGCTCAAGCAATGCTCCCAATTTAGCCTCCTGAGTAGCTGGGACCACAGGTGTGTTCCACCATGCCCAGTTCACACTGATTCAATCTTCATCAGTTCATCTGAGCACTCACACACTCCACCCATATCCTTCTTCCCTCCCTTGAAGTATTTATCAAGCCCCTTTTACTCTATGCTAGACACAAGCTAGGCAAAATAGAATATTTCTCTTTATTCTGACACATTTAGGGGGATTCCTGGGGAACAGGATCTGGGCTCTGTGCCTCTCTCCCTTTCTCATCTCTGTTCCCTACTCTTAGCAGAGGCCTGAAGCCACCCTCCTACCTTGGACAACCAGCTGAGCACTGGCCTGGGCCTGCCCCCAAGGTCCATGGGCCTGGCAAATATATGTCCCTTGACAGCTCTGGTCCAAGTTCTGGATTCTGTAAAGAAAAAATAATAAGACATCAGGAAAATGAAAACATTTGATAGAATGCTTTGCAATTGGGCTGGGCACAGTGGCTCATGCCTGTAATCCTAGCACTTTGGGAGGCTGAGGCAGGCGGATCACTTGAGATCAGGAGCTCGAGACCAACCTAGCCAACATGGTGAAACCCTGTTTCTACTAAAAATACAAAAATTAGCCAGGCGTAGTGGCGCATGCCTATAATCCCAGATACCTGGGAGACTGAGGCATGAGAATCACTTGAACCCGGGAGGCGGAGGTTGCGCCATTGCACTCTAGCCTGGGTGACATAGTGAGACTCTGTCTCAAAAAAAAAAAAAAAAAAAAGAATGCTTTGCAATTGTGTGGGCGTTAAAAACTGACGAAGAACAGCACAAAGTGTTGCATTCTAGTTTCCCAATAACCACTAGAGGTAGGCAGGCAGGTTGGGGGGCACCACACCCATTTTGGACAAAGACCTTATGGTCTAGGGCTCAAGATTACAATTATCAAGCAGCAGAGCTGAGATCTGGGGTCATTCGTACATTTCTGGCCCCAGGGTCTGTTCTCTTTCCTCCACTAATAATAAATATGAATGGGCCACTGTTTACTGAAGGCCTTCCAAGCACCAAGCACTGGGCAAGTGCTTTAGATAATCTTTCAGTCTTTTTTCTTTTTGAGATAGAGTTTTGCTCTTGTCGCCCAGGCTGAAGTGCAATGGTACGATCTCAGCTCACTGCAACTTCTGCCTCCTGGGTTCAAGCAATTATCCAGTCTCAGCCTCCCGAGTAGTTGGGATTACAGGTGACCGCTACCACGCCCAGCTAGTTTTTGTATTTTTAGTAGAGACAGGGTTTAGCCATGTTGGCCAGGCTGGTCTCAAACTCTTGACCTCAGGTGATCCACCAGCCTCGGCCTCCCAAAGTGCTGGGATTACAGGCGTGAGCCACCGTGCCTGGACCTCATCCAGTCTTTTTTTTTTTTTTTTTTTTTTTTTTTGAGACGGAGTTTCACTCTTGTTGCCTAGGCTGGAGTGCAATGGCACTATCTTGGTTCACTGCAACCTCCGCCTCCCAGGTTCAAGCGATTCTCCTGCCTCAGCCTCCCTAGTAGCTGGGATTACAGCCACGTGCCACCATGCCCGGCCAATTTTGTATTTTTAGTAGAGATGGGGTTTCTCCATGTTGGTCAGGCTGGTCTTGAACTCCTGACCTCAGGTGATCCACTCGCCTCGGCCTCCCAAAGTGCTGGGATTACAGGCGTGAGCCACTGCGCCCAGCCTCATTCAGTCTTATATAACCCATCGTACAGCTGAGAACACTGAGGCTCAGAGAGGTAAAGTGATGTGTCCAAGGACAGTGCTTCATGTTACGCCCCCTGGGGCAGGTGCTTTAACTCTGCTCACTGTGAGCTTTGGGCTGTGCTGCCCAAGTCCAGTCCTGCCCCCAGACCCACTTACCGGAGCACCCCATCCTGCACGCTGTGACCCGGAGGCAGCTGACCCCCTTCCTTGAACCAACGGAGCTGGGTACCCCGGTCGCTGGGCACAGCACAGTGGAATTCAACGCTGGCCCCGATGCTCTTGGTCTCTAGCTGAGGAGTGACCTGCACGGTGGGCGTGGACCCTGCTGGGATGGAGGTGGCAGGGAGAGAGCCGGGAGGGCCTGCGGGGACATGTATGAGGTTCTGCAGGTACATGTGTGTGATGTCCCTGATGTCCCTCCGGGGACCCAGGAAACCCCCAGCCCAACATTCAAGGAATGTTCTCCTGATAGCCTCTCTGACCAGGGAAAAAAAGCCCCTTCAGTGGCAGATTCATTCATCTGCACTCGCAGCCGCCATTCTGCCAACACAGATAAGGGCCTGTGGAGAGCTGGGCTCTGTTTCCACAGCTCTTCGCTTCTGGGTGGGGAGGGTAGGCCACGAAAAGAGTGGGAGGGACTCGGACTTTTTTTTTTTTGAGATGGAGTCTTGCTCTGTCCCCAGGCTGGAGTGCAGTGGCATGATCTCGGCTCACTGCAACCTCTGCCTCCCGGGTTCAAGCGATTCTCCTGCCTCAGCCTCCCGAGTAGCTGGGACTACAGGTGCCCGCCACCACGCCTGGCTAATTTTTTTTTTTTTTGTATTTTAGTAGAGACGGGGTTTCACCATGTTGCCCAGGCTGGTCTTGAACTCCTGAGCTCAGGCAATTCGTGAGCCTCGGCCTCCCAAAGTGCTAGGATTACAGGCATGAGCACCACGCCCGGCCAGACTCAGACATTTTAAGGAAGGACAGCAAAGCCTATTCTGCCTGCAGTTTAAATAAGAGAATCCAGGGACTTGGCCATGGCAAAGACACCTACACGTGCAGGGGACAGATGGGAGGCGGGGGCAGATGCATATTGTCCCCATTTACTAAGTGCCTACTGTGAACCACAGTTTTACATCTGTGTTTACCTCTGTGTACCTTTCCAACTCAGCCTACGTGGTTGGCATTGTTCTCTCCACTTTACAGATAAACTGAGGCTCAGGCCGAGCGTGGTGGCTCACTCTTATAATCCCAGCACTTTGGGAGGCTGAGGTGGGTGGATCACTTGAGGTCAGGAGTTCGAGACCAGCCTAGCCAACATGGCAAATCCTCTTCTCTACTACAAACACAAAAATTAGCCAAGCATGGTGGTGCATGCCTGTAGTCTCAGCTACTCAGGAGGCTGAGGCACGAAAATCGCTTGAACCCGGGAGATGGAGGTTGCAGTGAGCCGAGATCGTGCCATTGCACTCAAGCCTGGGTGACAGAGTGAGATTCTGTCTCAAAAAAAAAAAAAAAAGAAAAAAAAAAAAAAAAGAAACTGAGGCTCAAAAAGATTCAGTGACTTGGCCAAGGTTGCACAGCCAGCAAATGGCCAAGCTATGCTTTGAACCCAGGTCTGAGTCCACAGTCCAGGCCCGTGACCAGAGGGCTACATGCTGTGCTACTTTAAGAGTTTGGGCCCAAAAGCTCTCATTTGTATCATTGATGCAAGAGGCCATGGAAATGCTGGGCCTTCTGAAGATCCACTGAAGCCCTGGGCGTGCCGGGGGTGGGCGCTCCTGTCACTCATTCACTGTTGTCCCTGTCAAGCATTTACCCAGCCCATCCTGGGCCGTGTCGCCCTCAATTAAGCCCAGGGCTGCTGAGATGCCTGGGTCCAGGCCCTGCCCTGAGCATTCTCACTGCCTGGCAGGGGAGGCTGGCTGGGGTGCTTACGTATACAGAATGGTTTCCTTCGGCAGTGCCAGGGCTGTGCCAAAGGTGGGGAGCAGCCGTGAGAGCTAGAGGAGCTGAGCACACGTGATGGAGGGCTTCCTGGACCTGCCTTGGGCCCCGGAGAACAGGGGAGATGAGGGCATTCCAGGTGGGGTTATGGAGGGAGGCCTTCCCACCTGAGTCTGCCTAGCTGGGTCATCGAAGGGCCAAGAGGAAAGGTGACCCCCTTAAACCCTGAGCCGGGGCTGCTTACCTTGGACGAGCAGCTGGGCAAAGGCCTCGGCTGAGCCCACCTTGTTGGTGACCCGGCAGCGGTAGCGGCCTGAGTCCTCAGGGGCTGCACGCTCGAAGTGCAGCAGCTCGTTCCTGGCAGTAGCCCTCCCAGGAAGGCTGCTGCCCACGCGGCTCCACTGGAAGGTGAGTGGGGGTGTCCCGTGAGCCAGGCACTGGAGCTGTACCGTCTCCCCTGCCTGCACCGAAGCGTGCTCTGGGACCGTGGTGGCATACGGTGGGCCTGGGTAGGGGGACACAGAGGTCAGGATGGGGGAGGGCAAAGGTCAGAATGGCAGCAGGTCATTGGATCCAGGTGTCCAGGAAAACTGAATGATGAGCCCAGAGGACCGGGGATAAGGAAAGCAAAGGTCCCAGGTGGGGTGTCGGGCAAGGGCAGGCTCTGGGACCCTGCTGTGCCTGGAGACCTCTGGATGGGGTTCCTGGGGTTCTGTGTGGGGTGGAGCCTCATTGGGGGGCTCATATCTCCATTTGGTGCAGACAAAGAAGGGATGAGGCCTTACTCTCCACGTGCAGGATGATGGTGGCCTCAGCGTGCCCAGCAGGGCTAGTGGCATTGCAGATGTACTGGCCCGAGTCCTGCTGGGCTACCCGGGGTATGATGAGTGTGTCACCTTCCAGCCGGTGCTGCCAGGGTAGTGGGGAACGCAGCTTGGACCAGTGGATGGTGGGCGTGGGGCTGCCTGTGGAGTTGAATGGAAGATGACAGAAGTCACTGGGCTACCTCAGGGAGCCGCAGAGGGTGGCTGTGGTGAGGAAGGGCCCTGAGTGATCCTGTCCCTCTATGGGACCCCAGCTGGGTTCCTCAGCCATCACTGGGGGATGCTAGCAACACGGTCTCCCCGTACTCCCCACCCCTGGGCATGACATCATCTCTAGATCACATGTGCCTACATTTCAGACCCCAGGGCATCCCTGCCCTGCCAGCCCTATGTGCCAGTCCCTGGCCACACCTGTGGCCGAGCAGCGCAAGGTGGCCGTGTGTCCAGCCTCCACAGTCAGCTCAGCTTCTTCAGCTTGGACCTGAGGGGCCCCGGGGGCCATGGCGCCTGTGTCCACGATCACCTCCACCTGCTTCTGTGCTGTGCCCAGTGCATTCTGAGCAAGGCACACGTAAGTGCCCGCATCTGATGGTTTAGCTGATGAAATCTGGGAGAAAGCAAGGAGGCTGGTTATGTGGGTACTGAGTGGGGACTTTGATGTCAGCCCCAGCTCTGGCTTGGTTTTCCCTATTTCCTCTACCTGCCTTGGTATTTATTTATTTATTTATTTATTTTTGAGACAGGGTCTTACTCTGTTGCCCAGGTTGGAGTGTGGTGGCATCGCCCTGGCTCATTGCAACCTCTGCCTCCCGGGCTCAAGCAATCCTCTCGCCTCAGCCTCCTGAATAGCTGGGACTACAGCTGCCATACCTGGCTAATTTTTATGTGCTGCCATAAAAATTATGTGCTGCCATACCTGGCTAATTTTTAATTTTATTTTTATTTTTAATTTTTATTTATTTATTTATTTATTTTGAGATGGAGTCTTGCTCTGTCTGGTCCAGGCTGGAGTGCAGTGGCGTGATCTTGGCTCACTGCAGCCTCTGCCTCCCTGTTTCAAGCAATTCTCCTGCCTCAGCCTCCCGAGTAGCTGGGACTACGGGTGTGTGCCACCACACCCAGCTAATTTTGTACTTTTTTTTTTTTTTTTTGGGACAGGGTCTCACTCAGCTCTGTCACTCAGGCTGCAGTGCAGTGGCACAATCTCGGCTCACTGCAAGCTCCGCCTCCCAGGTTCACGCCATTCTCCCGCCTCAGCCTCCTGAGTAGCTGGGACTACAGGCACCCGCCACCATGCCCAGACTTTTTTTTTTTTTTTTTTGTATTTTTAGTAGAGACGGGGTTTCGCCATGTTAGCCAGGATGGTCTTGATCTCCTGACCTCGTGATCCACCCGCCTCAGCCTCCCAAATTGCTGGGATTACAGGCGTGAGCCACCGCGCCCCGCCTAATTTTGTATTTTTAGTAGAGATGGGGTTTCACCATGTTGGCCAGGCTGGTCTCGAACTCCCGACCTCAGGTGATCCACCCACCTCGGCCTCCCAGGCTGGTCTTGAACTCTTGGGCTCAAGTGATCTTCCTGCCTTGGCCTCCCAAAGTGCTGGGATTACAGGCACGTGCCACCATGCTTGGCCCTTTCCTTGGTTTTTAGCTCTCCCATCTGGTTGCTTGAGGGCTCATCCTCATGACACCCCATTAGTCCATCCATCCACTTGGCCTTCGACCCACCCTCCCATCCTTCCACTCATTCTTTCTTCCTTCTCCTACCTTCCTTCTCTCTACCCTCTCATCTTCCAGTCTATTCGCCATCCACCCATTCCATCCCATCCCATTCCTCCCTTCCTCTCTCCATCCACTCATCACCACCCGCCCATCTACTACTATCTCCTCCAAACACCTGCTCAAGGCTGGGCCCCTGGACTGGGCCTCAGACCCAGCGAGGCACCAGCCCCGGCTTCACCTGCAGCACTGCGCGGCTGTCCATGAGCCCATATGTCCGCTGCTCCAACTTGGCAGGGGCGCTGCTGATCCGGGTCCAACGAGCAGAGGAGCGGGGCTCCCCGGCACTGACACACTCCAGGGTGACAGCCTTTCCCACTTTCACCCACACGGGGCCCTCGGGGAGCACGGACACTGTAGGGGGCCCTGTGCGGAGGAATGACAACCACTGACACACAGGCAGGGCTCTGCTGGTCACCCACACTGCCATGGTCTCCAGCTTAGTAAGTGCTGGGTGGGCACCTGTCTCCACACCGCACTGAGGCGGAAACTGAGGCTCAGACAGGGAGAATGCCCAAGACAGAGTCAGTGGTAGAAGGAGGATTTAAACTTGGAGGCTCTGAGCTGAGAATCAGGGCTGGAAACAGGAGGGCAGAGCCCCACAGAGTCAACGTCCCCTCACCGTGCACACTGAGGTTCACCACACTCTGGGCCACGCCGTAGGCATTGGAGGCCACGCAGCGGTAGGTGCCATGGTTGCTGGGCCGGGTGCCCACGATGGTGATGATGGAGCCATTGGGACTGATGTGGACGTTGTCTGTAAGGTTGCATGGGGGAGGGTGAGAGAGGATTGACTTGGTCCTTCTCGTGTCTTGGTGCTGCCAGCCTGTGCCCCTGGGCCCACGCCTCCAACCCCTCCGGCCTGGGTGTGTCCAGCTCACAGAGTCCCAGAGAGCAGAAGGTAACAAAGGCCTTGGAAACTCCTGGGTCCAGCGCCCTCGCCATACAGAGATGGGAAGGGCCTTACTCAGGGCCACACCATGAATGTGGGGCGTCCAGACTTCCACCCCACCCTTGCACAGTGGGGATGACGGCACCCCCACACCTGCCCCCGGCTTGCCCACCTGCCTGCCAGCCTGGCTCACCCTCCAGCTCCTGGTTCCGGGTCTTCCACTCGAGGCTGATGGGGACTGCTCCATCATGGATGAGGCACTTGAAGCTGGCATCCTGGCCCTGCTGCACGGTGCTGCTGGGCGGGTCGATGGAGATGACCGGGCTCCTAAGGCCTGGGGCCAAAGGGGCAGAGGGCTGGGCTCAGCAGGGGTGGGCTCAGCTTCAGGGCCCTCCCCTTCCCCCCTTGCCCATGGCATCTGCCGTACTCACGGTAGGAAGACCCCTCGCTGGGTGGGACGGTGACTGTGAAGGAGGCTTCTTGCTCAGGGCCTGGGCCACCAGCTGCACGACACACATACTCGCCTGAGTCAGCAGGGGAGACCTGGTGGAGCCGCAGCTGGGAGCCATGGGTCTGTCAGAGCAGCGAGGGGACAGTTATCAGGGCAAAGTCCCTGGGACAAGAAATGTCCCCAAGCCCACCTGTGCCGGTGCCCAAGAGTTCTCTCGGGAGCCCAGGGCCCCAGCTGGCAGGGCTGACGGAAGCTTTGTTCCCAGAATCCTAGAAGTCCAACCCACTAACTTTACAGTGGCCCAGCAACTTAACTTAACTGAGGCCCAGGAAATGATTCAGCTGCAGAGCCAAGCGAAAAACCCAGGTCTCCTGATTTGCAGGCTGGTGAACTCGTCCCCCAAAAGTATTTTATCCCCCGGGGTACCCAAGCAGGCTGGTGTTTGCATGAGGTTTGGGTGCAGAAAGCAACTGCAGGTCTAACCTTGCCTGCCCTGGAATCCTCCCCATCCTGGCCCCTGTACCTGGTGCCGGGCGGGGAGGCTGCCCCCGCGCTTGTACCACGTGACCTGGGCATGGGCCTGCCCGGGCACCACACAGTTCAGATCCAGAGTCTGCCCTTCAGTCACGTGTGAAGAGGAAGCCTCGATGTAGATGGGCTGGGCCAGTCCTGGAGCTGTGGGCACAGGGGGTGGGTGAGAGAGGCCAGGCTCCCGGGATCAAGGCAGGGGCTGAAGGTGGTGGCAGTGAAGGCCAACTCCAGTTGGTCCTGGGGGTGCAGTGGCTTGAGAGAGGCTGATGTAACCTAAGAAGGGTCTCCTTTCCCTGGGGACTCAAGTGTCCTCCTGACACCCAGGGCTGGGGACCCCTGGTTGAGGGGACGGGACCATCGTCAGACTTGGGAACACCTGGGTTGGCTTGATCCTCTGTGGTACGAAACCCCGCCGGCAGGCAACAGTAAGCGCCTGGCTGGGAGAGAGGAGAGGAGCAGCGCTGGGAAGGGGCGCCGTGCCTGTGCATCGCCCACTGTTCCCTGTCACTCACCAGGAATGGGGCCTGGGCTGGAGGGCTCAATTGTGACCAGGACAGATGCCTCCAGGGTGCCTGAGCTTCCAGTCACTTGGCACGAGTACTCGCCAGAGTCGGCTGGGGACACCTGGTTCAGCCTCAGCAGTGGGCCGTGGACCTGGCCAAGGTGGGGTGAGAGTGGGGAGGGTGAGCTGGGAGCCTTCAGATGCCCAGGCCTCTGGCACCCACACCCGGGGACTGCCATGCACAGATATGTAGGTGCATCCTGTTGGCAGCGACCCCTTTGACAGCCTGCACTGTGGAGGGCATGTTTAGTAGGGTGGTTTTTCCGGTAGGAGGAAGTCAAGAGCCTTGAGTAACAGGTGCCCTTTTCTTTCTTTTTTGAGACAGTGTCTCGCTGTCATCCAGGCTGGAGTGCAGTGGTGCAATCTCAGCTCACCGCAACCTCTGCCTCCTGGGTTCAAGTGATTCTCCTGCCTCAGCCTCCCGAATAGCTGGGATTACAGGCGTCTGCCACCACGCCTGGCCAATTTTTGTATTTTTGGTTTAGTCATGATGGCCAGGCTGGCTTTGAACTCCTGACCTCAAGTGATCCACCTGCCTCGGCCTCCCAAAGTGCTGGGATTACAGGCATGAGCCACTGCACTTGGCCAGAGGTGTCCTTTTCTATTTTGCACCAAGATGGTGTGGGGCTGGTGGTGGCCCTGGTGTGCCCAGCCTGCTCTCAACCTCCTGACTCCAGTGGCCCCCTGCTGCCATTCCCCACAAGCCCCGGTTGCTGAGACCACTTTCCCTTCAGGGCTGGATTCAGGCAGGACCGCTGTGGGTGTGGAGGAGGCATGCCTCCTTCTCCAGCTCCTTTACCTGGTGCCGGGCAGGGAGGTTTCCTCCACGCTTGTGCCACGTGACCTGGGCGTGGGCCTGCCCGGGCACCACGCACTTCAGATCCAGGGTCTGCCCTTCGGCCACTCGGGAGGAGGAGGTCTCGATGCGGATAGGTGGGGCTCCACCTGGAGCTGGGGCACAGGGGAGAGGTCAGTGAGCTGAGATACCCACCCTGATGCCCTCAGCCCTTCCCCTGGGGCCCAGATGTTAGGACCAGAGGCCATTTGGGACATGGCTTCTTTCCCTTCCCATTCCATTGAGGCCTGGAGCAGCTGGGCTAGCCTGGGAGGTGGAGACACTTTTCATTCCCCCAGCCCCGCCCCCAGGCAGTAGCCCCACCATCTCCTCCTCCTCCCTCGCTCCCAGCGCCAGTGGGGCCAGGGCTCAGGTCTAGACACCTCCACACAGACCACAAGGCCCCTAATGTTTGGCAAACTTGGAGAGAATGTGGCTAAGAACCCAGACTCTGGGGCCAGACTGCCTGGATTCAAATCCTAGCTCTGCCATTGATTAGCGGTATGACCTTTGGAAAAGAACTTCACCTGAGTCTCAGTTTCCCCATCTGTAAACTGGAGAGAACAATGCCATCTACCTCAAAGGGCTGTTGTGAAGACAAAATGAACTAATATGTGTAAATATGACAGGGCCTAGCACCTAAGAGGTGCTGGATCATGTTTACTACTTAGCAATCCGTATCCCCTTATGATTTCTGCATAGCATGTGCCCCGTGTGCTATTAATTACTGGACATTTTCCTTTCAACTGATTCACTTTTAAAAAACCTTAACTACTTAGCCCCATCATAAACAAAGATTTCCAAGAAATAAGGACAAGCTTGATGTGTTTTTTTGTCCTTCATATGTCACCAGTACTAATAAAGGCATTTATTTATTTATTTATTTATTTATTTATTTTTGGAGACAAAGAGTCTCACTCTGTCACCCAGGCTGGAGTGCCGTGGTGCAATCTCGGCTCACTGCACCCTCCGCCTCCTGGGTTCAAGTGATTCTCGTGCTTCAGCCTCCCGAGTAGCTAGGACTAATGGCATGTGCCACCACGCCCAGGTAACTTTTGTATTTTTAGTAGAGGTGCGGTTTCACTATGTGGTCCAGACTGGTCTCGAACTCTGAGACCAGACTGCTCATGAGCTCAGGCAATCCGCCCACCTCGGCCTCCCAAAGTGCTGGGATTACAGGTGTGAGTTACCACACCGGCCCTAATAAAGATGTATAAATCACCTTTCAATCCTCGCAGAGGTGCAGTCCCAGGCTTTTGGGAACTCTGTAATTAGATAGTAGAATACAAGAGCGCTACTACCCCTTCTTTACAGATAAGGGACAGTGACACGTGGAAAGCTGAAGTCCCTTGTGCCACATCTCCAAGTGTGGCCAGAGGAGCCGGGACTCATGCACAGATGCCAGACTCCAAAGCCTGTGCTCGCAAGCTGTGGAGAGGGATAGGAGCCACTCCACTTACGCTGGCTCCTCGGTCCTGGGACCATGTGGGTGGTGGGAGGTAGAGTCTGGAATCAGAGCGGCCGTTCTCGCCAAGTGCTAGAAAGTGTTTCCTTCTCCCAGTTCTGCCCACTGGCTCTCTGTCCCTTCCTCCCTCCTCTGTCCTCCCAGTCCCGCCGCAGGGACCCTCACCGGGAACGTGGACAGCACTTGAGCCAGAGGCTTCAATGGTGACCAGGACTGAGGCCTCCAGGGGGCCAGAGCTGCCCATCACCCGGCACACGTATTCACCCGAGTCGGCCGGGGACACCTGGTGCAGCCGCAGTCGTGAGCCGTGGGCCTGAACAGGGGACAGGACAGAGGAACAGAGTCAGGTGCCAGTCTGGAATCTCTGAAAGCCTGGGGCCAGGGTCTAACCTCTGACACAGGTGGGTACTGCACCCCACAGGGGCTCCTAGTCTCCCTCCTAGCAGAGCTAGCCAGGGCCCCCACATCCAGCGGCCCTCCCACCATTTCCTGCCGGCTGCGTACCTGATGGTGACTGGGGAGGCTGCCCCCACGCTTGTGCCAAGTGACCTGGGCATGGGCCTGCCCGGGGACCACGCAGTTCAGATCCAGGGTCTGCCCTTCGGCCACGTGTGAGGATGATGACTCAATCCTGATGGGCATGGAACTGCCAGGGGCTGGGTGAACAGAGACCATTGTCAGATTTGGGAACAGGGTTGGTGGGAGCCTCTGCCATGGAAAATCTCACCCCCCCAGAGTAATAATAATAGTTAACACTTGGCCGGGCATGGTGGTTCATGCCTGTAATCCCAGCACTCTGGGAGGCCAAGGTGGGTGGATGACCTGAGGTCAGGAGTTTGAGACCAGCCTGACCAATATGGTGAAACCCTGTCTCTACTAAAAATACAAAAATTAGTGGGGCATGGTGGCATGTGCCTGGAGTCCCAGCTACTCGGAGGCTGACACAGGAGAAACGCTTTAACCTGGAAAGCGGAAGCTGCAGTGAGTTGAGACTGCGCCACTGCATTCCAGCCTGGGTGACAGAGAGAGACTCCCTCTCAAAAAAATAATAATAATAATAATAATAGTCAACACTTAGAAAGCACTTATGGCATGCCAGGCACTGCTCTAAGCACATTAAATGCACTAACTCACTTAACCCTCACAAAGTCCATAAACTTCCTGCCATGATGGAAATGTTTTTTATCTGCACAGGCCAAGACAGTGGCTGCAAGCCACATGTGGCTATTGAGAACTTGAAATGTTAGAAATGGGGTAGCCGTAGCCACTGTATTCAACAGTGTACTTCTGAGAGGTTGGAAAGGTCAATGCCCCCATTTCACTGGTGGAAACTGAGGCTGAGAGGGAAAGGTAACTCTTTAAGTCCCTTAGTGGTACAAGCAGGATTTGAACCCAGGGTTTTTTTTTTGAGATGGTGTTTCACTCCTGTTGCCTAGGCTGGAGCACAGTGAATCACAGCTCACTGCAGCCTCAACCTCCTGGGCTCAAGCAAGTCTTCCACTTCAGCCTCCCAAGTAGCTGGGACTATAGGTAACAACGCTGGACTAATTTTTGTATTTTTAGTAGAGATGGATTTTACCATGTTGTCCAGGGCTCCTAGGCTCAAGCGATCCACTCACCTTAGCCTCCCAAAGTGCTGGGATTTCAGGCATGAGCCACCGCGCCCGGCCTTTGAACCCACACGTCTTTCCACTGGCCCTTGCCTGAGTACCACCAGGTCTGAGGACTCTGACCCGAAAGTTCCTTCCTCCCCAGGGAACACTGTTGCCTGCATCCCTTGTCCCTTTCCTGGGCAGACTCACCGGAGGGGCTGCCAGCTCTAGGGGAGACGGAGATCACGATGGAGGCCTCCAGGGCATCAATGTTGTTGTTGGCCCGGCACACATACTCGCCCGAGTCAGCCACAGACATTTGGTGCAACCGCAGGTGGGAGCCATGGGTCTGGGCGTGCGGATGGGGAAGGAGAGGAAGAGGGAGTGGAGGGCTCAGGCCTTCCTGCTCAGCCTGTCGAGGCTGCTGTCTGTCTACCCAGGGCCCAGTCCATGAGACAGGGAGCCTGCTCTGCTCACCCCAGGAGACCAGGGTTCCACCCCTGCTGCCGTGGCTCCACTCTGTACCTGGTGTCGGGAGGGAAGGCTGCCTCCACGCTTGTACCATGTGATGATAGCCTGGGGCTGCCTGGCGACCACACAGTTCAGATCCAAGGTCTGCCCTTCTACCACCGTAGGGGAAGAGGACTCGATCCTGATTGGTGGGGAGACGCTGGGCACTGGGGACAGAGGGGTGTGGACCACGCCGCCAGAGTGAGGTAACAGTGATGGCACTGGGGACCTCTCTGCCACCCCCTGTACCACTTGTCTTGACCCCCGCCCTCTCTGCTCTCACCGTGGGAGGAGCCGCTGCCCTGGATGGTGACGATAAGCGAGGTCTCCCGAGAGCCTGCACCGTTACTGACATGACACACGTACTCGCCCGAGTCCGCCGGAGTCACCTGAGGGATCCTCAGCCGGGAGCCCACGATCTGCAGGAAGCAGGTGGCAGGAGGTGTAGGTGTGGGCAGCACCTCTACGTCTTGGGCACTGCTGCCACTGCCCCCTGGACTCTGGGAGCCCCCCTGCCTTGCCTCCTCAGTGGCCTTCCTGAAGCTCCCAGCATAGCACGTGGCCTGTCTCTGGGCTGGGGTGGACTAGTCTTTTGTCACCCCTCCAGAAAGCCTGTTAAGGCCCTCCGCAGGGTTGACCGAGTATCCTGCTGGGGCTCCCACGGCCTGCGAGCTGCCTGAGAGCAGGCAGCTGTCTCATTCCATCCAGAATCTTCAGTGCCAGGCACAGGACATGGCCCGGAGCAGCTTTTCAGTGAGATTTGGCGCATAAGTGGATCTCCCTGAGGTCAGGGAGCCTTATTTCTGTATTCTCAGCACCAGTCTAGGACCCATCCAGCAAGGATACTCAATGTATGTTGAATGACTGAATGAGCACAGAGTGAGGTTCTGAGAGTTCCCTCTCTTCCCACTGGGGGCTGGTGTGCCCTGCTTTTGCCCTCCCCACCTGCTGGCCCTGTACCTGGTGCCGGCTGGGTAAGCTGCCTCCACGCTTATACCAGGTGATGGTATGGGGAGCCTGGCTGGCAACCAGGCAGTTGAGGTCCAGGGTGTGTCCATTGGCCAGGGAGGCTGAGGAGGACTCGATGCGGACAGGGTATGCCACGCCCTGGGCTGGGAGGGCAAGATGGAAGGCAGGGTGTGGGAGCTGCTGAGGCTGCAGTGGGGGCCCCCCAGCCCTCTACCATTTGCGTGACCCCCTAGACACTCACAGTGGGAGCCGCTAAGGCGCTGCTGGATGGTGACAAGGACCGAGGCTTCCTGGGTGCCCGAGCTGCCAACCACACGGCACACGTACTCCCCTGAGTCAGCTGGGGTCACCTGGAGCAGCCGTAGCCTCGAGCCATGCACCTAGGAGGGTCAGGAGGGAGGAGGCAGGCTCAGAACCGGTCACTGCGGCTCACGCCAAGCTCCTGTTCCCTTCCCGGGTGGCACTCCCAGCCCAGCCAGCTGGAACTTCATGGAAGCTCTTCCAGGGGAAACTACCTTGTGCCTTCCTATCTCCCGCCCCAGTGTCAGGACTGGGTCTAGCCTCCCACCTCACCCATGCCAGGGACGCCTGACACTTGGCACCAGAGAAAAGTGGGGACCAGTGTTTGTTGACATGCTACAGGGGAGATGAGGTAGGCAGCATGAGCCCATTTGGCAGACGAGGACACTGAGGATCAGGGAATCAAGTGACAAGTGACTGGCCTAAAGTCACACAGCATGCAAGTGGCGGAACAGTGTCTGAACTTGAATGTGCCTGAGTTCAAATCCTATGGTTTTTTTTTTTGAGACGGAGTCTTGCTCTGTCGCCCATGCTGGAGTGCAATGGCACAATCTTGGCTCACTGAAACCTCTGCCTCCTGGGTTCAAGCGATTCTCCTGCCTCAGCCTCCTGAGAAGCTGCAATTATAGGCACGTACCACTACGCCCGGCTAATTTGTGTATTTTTAGTAGAGATGGGGTTTCATTATGTCCGACAAGCTGGTCTCGAACTCCTGACCTCGTGATCCTCCCACCTTGGCCTCCCAAAGTGCTGGGATTACAGGCGTGAGCCACTGCGCCCGGTCAAGCCTATGCTCTTGTACTGCAGCTACAGGGTCCTTCAGGCTTCCTTAGCTCCTGCCTCCTACCTGGTGCCGGGCCGGGAGGCTGCCCCCGCGCTTGTGCCATGTAACCTGGGCATGGGCCTGACCGGCAACGAGGCAGTTCAGATCCAGGGTCTGCCCTTCAGCCACATGCGAAGATGATGACTCGATCCGGACTGTGGGGGTGACCCCAAGTGCTGGGGACAGAGGGCAAAGGGTCAATAGCTGGCTGGGAGGTGAGATGAGATGGGGCTCCTGGTCTCACGGCAGGTGCAGTCTGTGGCTTGGCCTCCTGATCCTGCCATTGCAAGAGTGGGGAACCTTCTACCTTGGGCCTCCAGCCCTGCCCTCCCTGAGAGCTACTCACCCGGCACTGAGCCCGCAGGCTCAATGGTGACCAGGACGGAGGCCTCTAGAGGCACGGAGCTGCCTGCCACTCGGCACACGTACTCGCCTGAGTCGGCGGGGGACACTTGGTAGAGTCTCAGCAGGGAGCCGTGGGTCTGGTCAGAATGGGGGTGAGTCAGAGAGAGTCCTCAGGACACCCCTGCTCCTATAACCTGCAATCCTGCCTCACTCTGACCCCCAAGACCTGGCCACCAGCTCTGGATCACTTTCCCTGTCCTTCACATGGGGAAGGGGGACTCTTGTCCAGGAGCCGGGTGGTCGACCCCAGGAGCCCCAGTGAGCTGGGTACATACTCATACCACATCTCATCAATTCTAGACACACATTTCAATACCTCTAAAATCAAGATGCATCTAAAATGAATAACCTTACAAATGGAAGCTTTTTCTTAGAGGTACATAAAATCATAGTGGATCTTGCAATCAGTGGTATCCTAAATTCTACAAATTACAGTAACAACAATAGCTAATGGTATTATAGTAATATTAACAGCTTAGAGTACTTTCTGTGAGCCTAAGCTCTGAGGATTTTGCATATATATAAATATTTAAGATAATTCTGTAAAGTACATACTATTCTTACCATTTTATAGGCCCTGAAACTATAGCACAGAGAGGTTAAGTAATTTGTCCGAGGTCACAAGCTAAGTGGTGGGGCCAGAATTCACACCCAGGTTGGTCAGTCCCGATTCTGGGTTCTAACCACTGCACTATACATCTCTGCAATGGGGTCCAGGGCTTCCCGATCTGAGGGGAGCCTCTAGCCCTCCCCCCAATAACCTCCGCCACCCAGGGACCCTGCTTCCTCTTCGTGGCCTGTCTGTCCTCCAGTCCTATACCTGGTGCCGGACAGGGAGGCTGCCCCCACGCTTGTGCCATGTGACCTGGGCATGGGACTGCCCAGGCACCACGCAGTTCAGATCCAGGGTCTGCCCTTCAGCCACCTGTGAGGAGGAGGGCTCGATGCGGACGGGCTGGGTGCTGCCGGCAGCTGAGGGATAAGATGGTCACCGGTCACTCCTGTTCTCTGAAGCTGACCCAGCCTGTTCTCTGCATCCCAGCCCAGCCTAGTGGCCCCACTCACGGTAGGCTAAGTTGGCCCCCTGGGTCCCAGTTACTGTGACCGTGATGGAGGCCTCCATGCCGTTGCTGGCCCGGCAGACGTACTGTCCCGCGTCGGCAGGTGAGGCCTGGAAGATGTACAGGCGGGAGCCACGAACCTGGGCAGCCGTGGAGAGAAGTGTGAGAGTGGAGCTTCCTGGAGGCAAGCAGATGCCCCACCCCTTCTCCCTGATCTAGGAAGGGCTGGCCCCTCAGCTAGGGGCTAGGACCCTACAATCCACTACCCATGGCCCCATCCCACATTCCTGGTGCCCTGTACCTGGTGCCGGGCAGGGAGGCTGCCCCCGCGCTTGTACCATGTGACCTGGGCATGGGCCTGCCCTGCTACCACACAGCTCAGATCCAGAGTCTGCCCCTCGGCCACTGTGGAGGATGAAGACTCGATCCTGACAGGTGGGACGCGTCCTGCGGCAGTGGAGATGGGAGTGAGAGTCGTAGATGCTCCTGAGATGAGAGGGCAGGGGTCGCCCACCCTGCAGCTAGCTTAGCCCAGGGTTCCAAGGCCAGGTCCAGGTTTTCAGGCACCTGGGGGCCTGGGCTTGATGCCCTCAGCTCAGCAACCCCAATGGGAGGACCAGGGCATGGACCACGCCTTGCAGAGGGGAGTGAAGAAGTGAGAGAGATGAGGGTAGTGGAGGCTTGGAGAGAGGAAGAGGAGGTGGGAAGGGATGCCTGAGGAGTCATGTGGCCAAAGCGAAGTGTGATGGGAAGGCAGTGGTTACTCTGACGGGTGGGGTCTGCCTGGGCAGGGCCCTGCAGCCAGCTCCAGTGTGGGCCTCCTGCCCTGTTGGCAACAGGGGTCACTGGGATCTCACCACCCTGGAGGGCTGTCTGCCTCCTCCAGCTTTCCACATCACTGGGAGTCACTCACCAGGGATGACAGAGGCCTCGATGGTGACCAGGACTGAGGCCTCCAGGGGGCCGGAGGTGCCCACCACACGGCACACGTACTCGCCTGAGTCGGCCGGGGTCACCTGGTGCAGCCGCAGCAGCGAGCCGTGGGTCTGTGTGTAAATGGGGTGGGTTGGGAGGGGGTCGGAACAGTCCCATCCAGCCCCTCCAGCAAGGTGGTTCCGAGGGCTGCCATACCTGGTGCCGGGCAGGGAGGCTGCCCCCACGCTTGTGCCATGTGACCTGGGCGTGGGCCTGCCCAGGTACCACGCAGTTCAGATCCAGGGTCTGCCCTTCAGCCACGTGTGAGGAGGAGGGCTCGATGCGGATGGGCTGGGTGCTGCCGGGCGCTGGACACAGAGGGGCTGCTCAGAGGCCTGGACTCTTGGGCTGTAACCTGTAGCCCTGGGGCAGAGGGCTCTGGGCTGTGACCAGGCCCTAGTGGGGACGGCCGACAGGTAGCCTTTCTGGGACTAGGGCCACACCCTTCTGCCTCCACATGGCCAGTTGAGTATGGCTTCTTCCCTCCCCAACCTCTAACCACAAGCTGGAGCCCCACTGACCCAACCATGACTTCTTGATGATGAGCTTCTCTGGTCTGTAGGGAACCAGCAAGCTTTACTACCCAGGCTGCGCCCCAGGATGCAGATGACAATGAGACACCTCCCTTCTACAGGGCGTCTTCTGTGTGCTCACAAGTACTTTGCACAGACACCGTCTCCTTTAAACCACACCATGACCAAGCAGGTGGGTGGTAACTGCTCCATTTCATAGATGAATCTGAGGCCCCAAAAGGTAAAAGCTAGCTCAAGGCTGCTAAGGGACAGATCTGGGATTTGAACCAGGTCAGCCAGTTCCCCGCTTAGTGTTCAACCCGGACACTGCTGCTTCCTGTCAAATTCTGAAACAGTCCCTCACAGCGAGCCCAGGTAAGCTGGATCAGCCTTAGACCCCCTCCCATCCATTTAGCCCCCTCCTCTCTCTGAGCAGGCACTGAAGGGTCAAAGCCTGCCTCGAACAACCCCTCTGTCCTGGTGCCACTGAAGAAGCCACCGGCATCTTCCCTGGGAGCGCCTAGGGCTCAGCCATGGCCCAGCTGCACCTGGCTCCTCACCTGGGGTGTAGCTGGGGCCAGAATGGGTGCCGTGGAGGACAGAGACAGTAATGGAGGCCTCCTTGGGGCCCGATCCATTCTCCACGCGACACACATATTCTCCAGAATCAGCTGGTGAGACCTGGGGGAGCCGCAGTCGGGAGCCGTGGACCTGGGCCAGGAGGAGGCAGAGGTATGTGAGGACAGGGATGGGGGCTGTCGTCACCACTCCCTCAGCCTCAGTGATTCATTCAAACTCTCACTGGCTCTGCTCTGAGCCATCCCATGCTGGAAGCTGGCGGGGTGGGAGATGAGGCCTGGCTTCTGCTATTGGAACGTGTGGGACAGTGTGCCGCCTCCCCCGCCCCGCGTACAGGTCCCCGCCTCCGCCACAGCCCCTGCACCCTGGTACCCTGCCATAGGCTCAGGGCCCACATACCTAGGTGTGGGGAGGGCCCACATACCTGGGTGTGGGGAGGCAGGCTGCCCCCTCGCCTGTACCAGGTGACTTGGGCGTGGGCCGACCCTGCCACCACACAGTTGAGGTCGAGCGTCTGCCCTTCTGTCACGGAAGGTGATGAGGACTCAATCTTGACTGGTGGTGGGCTGGCATCTGAGGCTGGGGACAGAGTAGGGGTCAGCAGGCCCCAGGGGAGCCCTGGCTTGCCCTCCCCAGCCCTCTGTTCCCAGAGGGCCCGCACCTGAAAGGACAACCACTTGGATCCGGGCCTGGGCGGTGCCTGCGGGGCTAGTGGCCACACAGAGGTAGAAGCCGGCGTCAGCAGTTGTGATGGCTGGGATGAGCAGTGTGGCGATGTCTGTGCGCTCCGACCGGGCCTGCCACGGACGAGAAGGGTCAGCTGCCCCAGAGGCGGCTGGGCAACGGCTCGCCAGGGGGACAGACAGGGCATAAAAGGTGCAAGGCCAATATTAGGGCCCAGTGGGGCATGAAGGAGGACAAACGCCAGGCAGCCAGGAGGACGCCAGGGGCTCCCTGCTGATGCAGGGGCAGGAGGCCACCGTCTTGGAGATGAAGGGAGCCACAGAGGAGGAGGTGGGGTGGGGCGTGGGGTGGGGCGTGGAGGGGGAGGAAGGGTGGCTGGGACTCTCTACAGAGCCAGTGGGCCTCCTGGGTGGGTCCATCTCCTCACCTGTGGTGGGAGGCTGCCCCCTTCCTTCCTCCAGGTGATGGTGGTGCTGGGCACGCCTGCAGCCCTGCAGTACAGCCTGACGGTGCGGCCTTCGTGGACCTGGGTCCTCTCTGGGCTCACTTGGACTCTGGGTCCACTGCCCCCTGCAGACAGAGTGCTGTGAGAACACGCCCTGGGCTGAGCACACTCCCGGCCCCCACCCTGAGCCCGGCCTCTCACCATGCACGTGGAGCACAGCCCTGGCCACCTGCTGCCCAGCGCTGCTGTGGGCTCGGCACAGGTACTGGGCCTGATCTGTGGGCTCGACGGCTGGCAGGCGCAGGATACCACCACGGATTTGTGCCTTTGCAGGGAGCTGGCCGCCAGGACCCCCTGACGAGCAGATGCGGGGTCAGCACCCACCAAGCCTGCTCAGAGTCCTGCCTCTCTCCTCCCACACCCAGGAGAGTCAGGCCCTGAATGTCATTCCCATCACGGCCTCACCTGTCCACTCGAGGGTGGGCGTGGGGCTCCCTGTGGCGCTGCAGCGGAACTCCGCCAGTTGCCCGGGTTGCACTGTGAGCTGTGGCGGGTGGATGGAGACCACAGGGGCGGACGAGGTGCCCGAGGCTGACGAGGGAGGAAAAGGAACATGCAGTCAGGGTGGGGGGTGTCATCTGACTCACACAAGAGCCTCGCTGCCATTCTCTCTGCTTCCAGGCTAGCTCTCCACGGCCATCTGTGCACATAGGAGCCAGAGGGAGCTCTGGAAATGTCAATAGGACCTTGTGGCCTCCCCCCTTGACACCTGTCCATGACTCCCTGTTGCTTTTAGAATAAAATCCAAAATTCCTACCGTCATCCACCACATACTTCATGCTCTCCACTCTGCCCACACCCGTCCTCCCTTCCACAGCCCCAGCCCCAGAGTCTCTGCTGTTCCTCAAACTCAGCAATGTGCTCCTGCCTCAGGGCCTTGCCATGTACTGCTCCCTCTGCCAAGCACACTCTGCCAGCTCTCTAACTCACTCAATGCCTACCTTTCCTTCAGGTCTCAGCTTAGGTGTCACCTCCTCAGAGAGGCCCTCCCTGACTGCCCTGTCTAGAGTAGCCCCTGCCTCTCCCATCTTGTTTTATTTTATTTTTCTGAGACAGATTCTCGCTCTGTTGCCCAGGATGGAGTGCAATGGTGTAATCTCGGCTCACTGCAACCTCTGCCTCCCTGGTTCAAGTGATTCTCCTGCCTCAGCCTCACGAGTAGCTGGGATTAAAGGCACCTGCCACCACGCCCAGCTAGTTTTTGTATTTTTAGTAGACAGGGTTTCACCATGTTGGCCAGGTTGGTCTGGAACTCCTGACCTCCAGTGATCCACCTGCCTCAGCTTCCCAAAGTGCTGGGCTTACAGGTGTGAGCCACCGCGCCTGGCCTTCTCCCACCTCGTTTCTTGCTTTCTCGTCACTCTGTTATTCCTAGCCTGGCACTCATCACCATGTGTAGTTATCTTGCTTGTTCATTTATTCCCATGCTTATGGTCTCCCTGCCTAGAACCTGTACTTCAGGAGGGACGAGATACTGTACATGCTTCTCTCCCCTGCTTCTGCAAAGCCTAGGCCAGGACCAAGCGTGCAGCAGTGCTCAGAAATGATCGGCTGAATGAAGAAATGCTGTGCTAATCCCGGTGGGCATGCGGGGAGAGCTGGGGTGGGAGAATCAGGTATAGGTGGGAGGTGTACCCTGCACATGTAGAGTGGCTGTGCCCTGGTCCATGGCAAACATGTTGGAGCCGGTGCACACATAGGTGCCCGCATCGCTCAGCTGGACATTGCGAATGGTCAGGATGCCGTTGAAATCCATGGCTCGGGTGGGCAGCTTCCCGTTGTGGAGGCGGGTCCACACCAGGGTATAGGCTGGGGACTAGCAGGGCAAGGTGAAAGGGGGTCATGGGTGGGGCTCAGAGACCCCAGAAGACAGACTTCCCTCATCCCCACTCCCTGCCCTGCACACCTTGCTTTTGGCTGTGCAGATGAAGGTGACATCGGTTCCGGGGCGCACGCTCTGGCTCCGCTGCTCCTCCACTGTCACTGTGATGGGCTTGCTTGGAGCCTCTGCAGGGACGGGAAGCCCCCTGTGAGCCGGTGCTGGCTAGGCCCTGGTCCTGTGGCCACTTTGTCTTTCTCCATAACCTCCTCTAGGCATCACTTCCTTCCTGGTCCAGCCTAACTCTCATTCCACTCCCTGGCGCCTCCCTCCCCCATTCCGGCTGAACCCCACCATGCCCGCCCTCCTTGCCCACACAGAGCGGCCACGGCTGTGGTTAGGGAACACCACGCCATGAGTCCACTTGGCTCCAGTTTCCGATCACAAACCACAATAAGCTCCTGACACATCACACTTCACTCCAACTGGGTTTCTCCGTCTGGTTTGAGTTTCTATCCCCCAAAAACAACTATTTCACACCTCCTCCCATCTCCTCCAGCCTCTCCAACCACCCTTGCACTTTCTTAGCTAGTGGTACTGACACACACTTGTTGGGAAAATAGAAACAGCTAGTCAGGACTTTTCCCAGCCTCCCAAACCCACCGGCTCTCTAGGTACTGGTCCCTGAAGGACAGGCCCCTTCTCCTGCCCCCACCCCATCCCACCACTGCGCCTGAGTGCCACCCCTCCCCAATGCTTCCTTCGCTCTCACGACATCAGTGTCTCCTTCTCATGAGATCACTTCAGTCCAGAGTGCATTCTAGGATTTCCCATTTCTGAAAACTCCCCCTTGACCTCATGCTCTCGTGGTCAATGACCCATTTCCTGGCCTCCCTTCAGAGCCAAGACTCTTGCAGGAGTTGTCCACACTCGCCACCTTCCCACCCATGCGTCGCCTCCTTCCAATCTGGCTTCTATCCCTTCTCTCCACTGAAAACCGCTCTTGTCAAAGCGCGACCTCCAAGGGCCATTTCTCTGCCCTTATCTGACTTCCCAGTGGAGAGGCTGCCCTGGAAGCCCTTTTCCCTCTGATTCCCATGATGCCCCCTGTCTTCTCCTGCCTCATGGCTGCACTGTCTCAGGCTCTTCCTGCCCTTCCTCTTCCATTTGACATGTTCATGCTGGAGCTCCTTGGGACTCTGGGCTTGGGCCCTGTCCTCGGGCCACATTCTCCCTAGGTGACTTCATCCTGACGCATAGCTTTGAACACCATCCCTGTGCCAACAGCAACCAGACTCATTTCTCTGGCTGGGGCCTCTTACCGGAGTTCAGACTCACATACCCAAATGCCTGCCTGGTGGACTCAATGAGATGTCTTCCCAAACATCTCAGACTCTAACACGTCCAAAGCAAACTTATGATTCTCTCTGACCTGTTTGTAGCCTGTGCTGCTGGTGGCCTAGCCATGCCCCACCCCGTGCCCACCTGCCTGACTTCGCCAACCACTGCACTTTGCATTGAGGGCTTTCTTAGGCCACTGGAGCCCACAGTGCACACCTATGGGTGGGACAGACGTGCAGGGGACTTGATGCTCCCAGAATAGGTCTCAGTCAGTGACTGACAGGAGCTGGCCTAGACATACTGCAGCTCCCTGGACGCCAGGGCAGGGTGACTCCGAGATGCATCATCATCATCATTATTATTATTATTATTATTATTATTATTTTAAGATAGAGTCTTGCTCTGTTGCCCAGGCTGGAGTACAGGGGCGCGATCTCGGCTCACTGCAACCTCCACCTCCTGGGTTGAAGCAATAATTCTGCCTCAGTGCTCCCAAGTAGCTGGGATTATACGTGTGTACCACCATGACCAGTTAATTTTTTCATTTGTACTAGAGACGGGGTTTTACCATGTTGGCCAGGCTGGTTTCAAACTCCTGACCTCATGATCTGCCCACCTTGGCCTCCCAAAGTGCTGGGATTACAGGCGTGAGCTACTGTGCCCGGCCCACCCTTTTCTTTTGGCTTCACTGACCAGTCAAGTCCTGCCGATCCTACCTCTAAAATGAGTCTTGAATCTGCCATCTCTCCTCATCTCCATGGCCGCTGACCTTGTCCAGGCCACCACTGCCCCCTCCCAGCAGGTGAATGTACCATCTGCTGAATCTGCCGCCTGCAGCCCAGCCCAGGACAGGCGGTCTTGGTTACACGGGGCGCAGGGACTCACCAGTGACCAGCAGCTCTGCCCGGCTGGTATTGGCATGGTGGAGATTACGGCAGGTGCAAATGTAGACCCCGGCGTCCGAGGGCTGGACGCTGGGGAAGTGGAGCTCAGAGCCTGGTGGGGAGGAGAAAGGAGTTTGTTGGTGCAGATACACTCTTTCTCACATCCAGCCCCATGCACAAGGACAGGACCCCACTAGGGCAGGGACAGGCCCCTGCCTCCCCTCCCACTGGGATGGCTCTTGGGGCTGAGGAGCCTAGGGCCATGGGTACCTTGATGTCGCTGCTGGGTGCTGCTGGGCACAGGCCGCCCATCCTCACGGGACCAATAGAAGTAGTGGGGTGGGCTCCCACTGACCTGGCACCGCAGGGAGTGGGAGCCACCTTGGGGCACTACACTTCGAGCAGGATGGACCTCGACCACCAGTGGGGCTTGGTTTGCTGGGGGTAGGGGCCAGGACAGGAGGGGCCTTTCAACATTGCCTTCGATATTTGTGCTCTCCCAAAAGCTAGGGTACCCCACCCTCAGCCCTGTCCCCCAGACCCAATATCCCCCAAATTCCCAGGGCTCCCTGCCTTGCCCATCGTCCCCATCCTGGGCCATGGTCCCACTTACTCTCTGGCAGGCACCGGCCCCCTTGCACGCTGGGGTTACCCACGTAACCTGGGGCACACCTGTAAGGGGGAACAAGGACCGGCAATGTCAGGCCTCAAGGGCCCCAGTGCCTCATGCTGGACTTGGGGAGCCAGAAGCTCAGCAGGCTGCCCAATGTCAGGTGAGGGGGCTCAGAGCTCTCGAAGCACTTTGGGGACCAGACAGGTCCCAACACAGGGCGCTGGTGAACTGAGAAAGGGGAGTGTAAGGGAGTGTTAGCAGGCTGGGTGATGAGGGAGGTAAGGTCTTTATTCTCCAGAGAAATTCATTCAGAAAACATCCATTTTTTTTTTTTCTGAGATGCAGTCTCGCTCTGTCGTCCAGGCTTGAGTGCAGTGGCGTGACCTTGGCTCACTGCAAGCTGTGCCTCCCGGGTTCACGCCACTCTCCTGCCTCAGCCTCCTGATTAGCTGGGACTATAGGCGCCCGCCACCACGCCCAGCTAATTTTTTGTATTTTTAGTAGAGATGGGGTTTCACCATGTTAGCCAGGATGGTCTCGATCTCCTGGCCTCGTGATCCGCCCGTCTCGGCCTCCCAAAGTGCTGGGATTATAGGTGTGAGCCACCGCGCCCGGCCAGCAAACGTCCATTAAGCAATGACTGCATGCCAGGCATGTGCTATAGGTGTTGTTGGAAATATAACGATGAACATGATGAAGTCCCTGGTCTGTGGAACTTACTAGCCGGGAACCCAACATGGAAATTCTATGTGAAAATGAGAATGCAGGAAGTGTATCAGGGCTGTGCAGGTACAGAGGAGGGCACTGGCCCAGCCTGGAGAGCCAGGGAGGCTTCCAAGAGGATCGGACTTCTTGTATTACCTCAGAGCAGGCTGTACTCTTCTTTCAGATAACTTATCATGGTTTTTAAAAATTTTATTTATTTATTTATTTATTTTTTTTGAGACAGAGTCTTGCTGTGTCACCCAGGCTGGAGTACAGTGGCGCGATCTCAGCTCACTGTAAGCTCCGCCTCCCGGGTTCACGCCATTCTCCTGCCTCAGCCTCCCGAGTAGCTGGGACTACAGGTGCCCACCACCACGCCCGGCTAATTTTTTGTGTTTTTAGTAGAGATGGGGTTTCACTGTGTTAGCCAGGATGGTCTTGATCTCCTGACCCTGTGATCCGCCTGCCTCGGCCTCCCGAAGTGCTGGGATTACAGGCATGAGCCACCGCACCCAGCCTATGGTTTGTAAATATACATTTGCACAATTACTTTTTTCCTGTCTTATCTCCCATTAGGGCTGATCTCTTATTAGATGGCAGACTCCGTAAGGGCCGGGGTGGAATCTGTTCTGTTCGCTCCATTATCTCCAACACCTCAGCACACAGTATGGTACACAGGAGCTGCTTGATAAAAATTTGCTGAATGACTGAATGAAGCTGGGTCTGAAGGCTAAGTGGAAGTTAGCCAGGAAGAGGTGGTTTAGGGGTGAAGACTGTTCCTGCAGAGGGAACAGCATATGCAAAGCCTGAACATCAAGAATTCAAAAAGTGGCTGGGCGTGGTGGCTTACGCCTGTAATCCTAGCACTTTGAGAGGCTGAGGTAGGAGGACTGCTTGAGCCCAGGAAGACCAGCCTAGGCAACACAGTGAGACCCTGTCTCAGTTTAAAAAAAAAGAAAAAGAAAAATAATTTAAAAAGTCAAGCCCAGCTAAAGTACAGAGTTGGGTGTCAGAAGTGGGATGAAGCTGCTATAGTAAACCTGCCTAAGGAGGTTGGGCTTGTCCCAAGGGCAATGGGGCAACTTAGAAGGGTTTGGGGCAGGGAAGGAGCATAATCCTGGAAAAGACTCTTCTGAGCAACACCCTTTAAGGCTCTCACTTGGGAGTCCACCATTTGTCCTCCATCCTTCCCCCACTTCTGTTTACAAACTTACTGCTCACAGTACTGGCCAGTGTAGCCGGGTTCGCAGGCTGTGCAGCGGTACCCACCGGCTCCCAGGCTCTCACAGGTGCGGGAGAACCTGGAATTGGGGAGGCAAAGGTCAGGTCACGAGAAGCCCACTCTCCATCTTGCTCCCTTCACTTCTGCCCCAAAAGACAATGCAGCACCTTCCATTCACTCCCCAGTAGAAGTGTGTCCTTGGGCCTTGAGCTAGGGCACTCACATGTTCTCTGGGTTGGTCAGTGGGCAGGCACAGGGCTGGCAGTCCTCAGGCGTCCCGGCTGTGGCATCTCCGTAGTAGCCAGGGGCACACAGCTCGCAGAACTCCCCTGCAGCATTGTGCTGGCATTGCTGCAGGGCACAAGGGGGGCAAGCACCAGCCATTAGGCCAAATCTACCAGAAACCTTTCGGGGTTGTAATCCCTTGATCTAGAAATTCCAAGTTTGTAAACTCATCATAAAGAAAGAATCATGGAAGGGCACAAAGATTTCATTACAAGGACACTCATTTCTGTCGTGTTTATAAAAAGCAAAATGGGTCGGGAGCAGTGGCTCACACCTGTAATCCCAGCACTCTGGGAGGCCGAGGCGGGTGGATCACCTGAGGTCAGGAGTTCAAGGCCAACTGGCCAATATGGTGAAACTCCATCTCTACTAACAAATACAAAAATTAGCTGGGTGGGGTGGTGTGCATCTGTAGTCCTAGTTACTCGGGAGGCTGAGGCAGGAGAGTTGCTTGAACCCAGGACGTGGAGGTCGAAGTGAGCCAAGATTGTGCCACTGCACTCCAGCCTGGGCAACAGAGCGAGACTCCATCTCAGAAAAAAAAAAAAAAAAAAAGGTGGAAACAAACCTAAACATCCACGAATACGGAATTGGATAAATTAAAAAGTACATCCATTCAAATAGCTGTCAAAAAGGGTGATGCTGATTCTATTTTCTCCATAAGTACCTGTGATAGCAAAGGAAAGGTATACACTCAGGTATTTGGGTGCAGAGCATTAACAATATGTGCATTATCAGCTGGGCACAGTGGCTCACGCCTGTAATCCCAGCCCTTTGGGAGGTCGAGGTGGGTGGATCACCTGAGGTCAGGAGTTCAAGACCAGCCTGCCAACATGGTGAAACCCCATCTCTACTGAAAATACAAAAATTCGCCAGGCATGGTTGCAGGTGTCTGTAACCCCAGCTACTCGGGAGGCTGAGGCAGGAGAATCACTTGAACTGGGGAGGCGGAGATTGCAGTGAGCCGAGATTGTGCCATTGCACTCCAGACTGGGTGACAAAAGCGAGACTCCATGTCAAAAAAAAAAAAGTAAAAGAAAATATGTGCATCCTCATAAAAACATGTGGGTTACAGATTCTCCTCCAAAGAGATTCTTGTTTGTTGTATCAACATAAGGTGTTCCTTGCTCCAAGTTCAGCTTATGGCTGTCAACCAGCTGCCCCTTCACCGCGTACCCTGGGGGGCTATATACATGCTACTCTGAAAAGTCCAGGTATAAAAAAATATACATAATGAGGCCAGGCGCAGTGGTTCATGTCTGTAGTCCCAGCTACTCGGGAGGCTGAGGCATGAGAATCACTTGAACCCAGGAGGCAGAGGTTGCAGTGAGCCAATATTAGGCCACTGCACTCCAGCCTGGGCAACAGAACGAGACTGAGACCCTGTCTCAAAAAAAAGTAAAAAGGCCAGGTGTGGTGGCTCACGCCTGTAATCCCGGCACTTTGGAAGGCCAAGGCAGGTGGATTGCTTGAGCTCAGCAGTTCAAGACCTTCTGAACAACAAAGGGAGACCCCATCGCTATTAGATAATTTATTTTTTTTTTTAAGAAAAAGAGAAAAATAGTAAGGAACCAAAGTTTTTTCTTTACACAGAAGGATGTTACTCCATAGCTCTGGCCACCCCACCATGCCCAGTGACCTGGTCTGCTGACCCAGGTGCTTCGAACCACAGGCCATGCCCCATGACCCTGATCCCCGGGATTGATGCCTGCCTTGTCCAGCCTGGTCCCCCACCCAGGCCCAGCTGAGCTGACCCCCTGTCCTGGCCTCGCTTGCAGCTCACCGAGCAGGCCCCGGTCTCCGGGTGGCACAGGTCTGAGTGACCATTGCATTCACACAGCTCGCAGTGGCCAAGGTAGAGTCCACTCCCGGTGCGCGTGTAGCCGGCGGCGCAGTCCTGGGGGCAGAGAGGAAGGTCGGCCTCTGTTCCCAATGCGCCCCAGCCACAGCCAGCAGACCCAGAACCCCTCCCTCCAGTGTCCTCCCGGGGTGACGCTGGTACATCACAGGCTGGCGCTCCTCCTTCCCCACTTCTGCTCAGTGTGTCCTCCTGTCCACGGCCCTCTCCCAGTCCACACTGTTCACCTCTTGGAGGCATCTCCGTGCTGTTCTTTGGGCTGGAGTAATCTGTGATTCTGAATTGGCTCCCTGTCTCTGGTGGGCCCCCTCACGGGCATGAACTGGGTTTTAACCTCCAGAGAGCGTGGCCCATGCTTGAGGTTGCACTGCCCAGCGGTTAGGACATGCTAGGCTTTGGAGTCAATCACACCCAGGTTCAAATTAGTTTCTGCCACACATTAGCCATGTGCCCTCAGGACACACTCGCCCCTCAGCACCTCTATTTTTTTACCCATTAAAGGGGATAATGATACGTATCCCAGGGCTGTCGGGAGGAACACATGCAGGGCCCAGATGCCGGGGTCATTATAGTTATGATGGTAATCAAGGCTGTGGTGATGCTGGCTGAGTTGCTTGCTGATGCCTCTGTGCCCGTGCAGAGGTGGTGGAGCCGACCACACGCTTACCTGGCAGGACAGACCGATGTAGCCTGGGGGGCAGCGGCACTCCTCCACCTCGAGGGCCCGGGGTCCGCTGGAGGGCCCGGGCTGGGCGACCTCCAGGCTGACTGCGCTGATGCTGGCCGCCAGCGGCACGGAGGAGAATGTGGCCCGGATCAGGAGCTCATCCAGGTCAGCCAGTGCCATCAGGAGGTGCTCGCGTGTGGCTGGCTGCCCATCGGGACGGCGCCAGAATTCCTGGGTTGGGGGGTGGCAACGTGGGCGGGGGCACTGGGCTTTGTGGGCTGCTCCTGCAGTTACCACCCCCCAACTCCTGCCTTGCAGGCACTGACTGAGGGCTGCGAGGTGAAGGTTGGGGAGCGAGAGGCAGGGTGGGCATCAAAGCCAGGCTCCGAGTCAGGGTGGAGGGTGGGGTGGGGTGAGACACAGCGTGGTCAGGTGCCCCTTACCTCTCGCAACACGATCTCGTAGCTCCTCCTCTCGGTGCCCTGGAGCGCTGGCTGGGAGGCCACTAGCATGATGTTGTTGCCCTGGGAAGAACACCAGCAGGATTGGAAGGGGAGCTGAGGGGTCCCTGGGGTGCCAGGGTGTCCTCCACCAGTCCTAGATTCTCTGTAACCCCCAATCTCCCACCTCTCTGCTCTCCCAAGCTCACGTGCCCAAAGGAGTCAGGCACATGCCCACTGCCCCCTTCTCCCAGCAGCAGGATCCTCTGCTTGGGTCGTGTCCAACCAGGCAGGGATGTGGGGGCACAGGCCTAACTCTTCCAGCCTGTGCCAGGAAACTGAGTGCTGGATGGAAAGGACAAAGGACAAATGCCGAGGGTGCCCCGGGCTTCAATCCTGCCCTTCTGCCCACCCAGCATGGCATCCAAATGCTCACCGTGATCTGCACGTCGGGGTCAGAGAGTGGGCTGCCCTGTGGGCCTGCCGTGTAGGAGAGGGTGTATCGCAGCTTCCCACCATAGGCCGCCACCTGCAAAGAGGCAAGTCCAAAGGTCACAGACTGACCTTGGGGTGTGAGTGTTGGACCATACAGGTGAGGGATGGAGCATCTGGCGGCCTTGGGGTGTGAGTGTGCCACACTCCCTCACTCCCTCCCTGCCCAAACCAATAGGTCAGGGTGCATGGCCCACGGTTGCCTGGGAAACAGGACATTTCTCAGTTCCTCTGCAGCCCCAGACATGGTGGTGATGATGCTGAGCAGCCTCTTCGCTCTGCAAGGTTCTCTATTCCCCATTGCCTGACGGTGCCAGTGAACAAACTCCAGGTCTGCTTTCATTGACAGTAATTTCCCATAAGGCAGACAAGGGTAATGACAATGACCACCAAGGGGAGGCTGCGGAAGCTTCAAAAGTTCTCAGCCAGGGAGGTGAGGCTGAGGGCAGCCCCTCGGAAACCTTGCCTCCTAGGCAGGTGGTTTCTGTTTGCCCAGAATCCAGTTCCTCCCTTCTAGAAGCTAAACCCTGGTTTTCTATAAAGAACAACTCTCTCCGCACAGGAAGAGCATGTGGTCTGAGGGCCCTGATCCCCTCCTCCTCTATAGTGGAGACATGAGTCAGGCCTGGTCAATCTGCATAACCTACCACTGCCCTTCGCCACCCCATCAGGAATAGACAAGTAACCCGGGTACTTCTGCTCTTTCTACCAGGCCAGAGAAAGTCCCTTCCGCAGTCAGATGAGAAGCTGGAGAACCAAGATAAAGCCCTAATGAGCCCCTGGATAAGGCCATGCCTGATACCAGACATGCTTAGACTCCGCAGTTGCATGAACCAATAGATTCTTTGTTGCAGACAAGCCCACTGGACTTAGGTACTGTGTTGCTCATGACCAGAGAGTCCTTACTCTTGCTGCACGGGACCTTCACACGGACAGCTGAGGCCCCCCAGCTCTGCCCCACAGGACTTTCCCTTTTCTCCTCTGCCACCAGGGTAGACGTTCATCTCAATACCAAACTGCATCAAGTCTACCCCTTTGTTCGTTTGTGTGTTCACTCAGCTAACCAGCATTCATCAAACACCTACTGACTACACACTGGCCCCGGGCTACAAGGGCCCCAGGGATGTTCTCCATGAGCTCAAGGCGTGGTAAGGAATTTTAGAGTGTAACCAAATAACCACAAAAGAACTGGTTTCCTGTTTGCTTTGAATGCCAGCAAGTTCACAGCCGTTTCTGGGACTGACTTTCTAGCAAGTTGTGGGTGTGTATAGCACAAGTGATTTTTTAAGAGAATTTATTTATTTTTTCAATTTTTTTTTTTTTAATAGAGATGGGATTGCCCTATGTTGCTCAGGCTGGTCTCAAACTGCTGACTCAAGTGATTGTCCTGCCTCAGCCTCCCAAAATGCTTTGATTACAGGCATGAGCCACCATGCCTGGCCTATTTAATTTTTTAGAGACAGGATTTTGCTATGTTGCTTAAACTGGTCTCAACTCCTGGCCTGAAGCGATCCTCCAGCCTCAGTCTCCAAAGTGCTGGGATTACAGGTGTGAGCCATTGTGCCCAGATCCAGCATAGTGATTAAAAGGGCAGACTCCACAGTCTGAATGACCTGGGTTCAGACTCTAGCTCTACTGGCTATACAGCCTTGGACAGGTCGCTTAACCTCTCCGAGCCCTACTTTCCTGATGGACATGGAAGTAAAAGTAACACCCACTTTGAAGGGTATCATGAGGATTACGTAATACAGGACACAAACGGTGATGCACTCTGCACAGCTTGAGAACGCACATCACGCTCGATAACCCTGCAGTACTCCAGCTCCACCCTCAGCTCCAGCAGATCGCTTCTTATCCTCACCCCTCAACCTCCCTGTCACACTTCTCTGAATGTACCTTGTGACATGTCATGCCTATTGTTTTGTTTGTTTGTTTGTTAAGATGGAGTTTCACTCTTGTTGCCCAGGCTGGAGTACAGTGGTGCAATCTCAGCTCACTGTAACCTCCACCTCCCGGGTTCAAGCAATTCTCCCACTTCAGCCTCCCAAGTAGTGGGATTACAGGCGCCCGCCACCACGCCCAGCTAGTTTTTGTATTTTTAGCAGAGACAGGGTTTCACCATGTTGGCCAGGCTGGTCTCGAACTCTTGATCTCAGGTGATCCACCTGCCTCGGTCTCCCAAAGTGCTGTGATTACAGGCATGAGCCACCGCGCCCAGCCAGGAAGCTGAATTTTTTTTTTTTTTTTTTGAGATGGAGTCTTGCTCTGTTGCCCAGGCTGGAATGAAGTGGCACGATCTTGGCTCACTGAAACCTCCGCCTCCCAGGTTCAAGCGATTCTACAGCCTCAGCCCCCTAAGTAGCTGAGATTACAGGCGCCCGCCACCATGCCCTGCTAATTTTTGTTTTTTCAGTAGAGACAGGGTTTCACCATGTTGGCCAGGCTGGTCTCAGACCTCACGTGATCCACCCGACTCGGCCTTCCAAAGTGCTGGGATTACAGGTGTGAGCCACCACGCCCAGCCTGTTATGTGTATTCTTAAGAGGTACTTGAAATTGTTGGAACAAAATAGAGGCAATATTAATACTCATCTAAGGCCAATGCCAGCACTCATGATGATAATAATAATGATACCAATGGTGATAGGAATGATAATCGGATGGACTACGGGAGGGCAGGGCCCACTCTGCCTGCTCTGCCTGTACATGACGCAGCACACAGTAAATACTTAATTAATGCTTCTTGAATGACTGAGTGCAGTACCAAAAACTAGGCGTCTCGACACAAGGTCAAGAAAGCCCAGAGAAAAGGCACTAGAGGAACCCTCCCAGGCGAGACAGCTCCTCTGACAGGGGTCAGGGGCCAGGGGTCAGGGGTCAGGGCCCGCTGAAGGACACGGGCAGGCTGACTTCAGTCTCAGCTGTGCTTTGACCTGAACGTCCCAGGCAAGTCTCTACCCACCATGGGCCTCGGTCTCCCTCTGTGTGTCATAAGGGCCTTGACAAAGGGCCCTCTGATATTTTAGGATTCCATGATACCCCTATAATCCCCCCAAATCCTTGTTACCTTGTTCCCCAGGAAGGCCCGGGGCAGCTGCCAGTAATAGAGGCTTCCAGGGAGCAGAGAGAAGCCTTCGTAGGAGAGAGAGAACTAGGAGGGAAGGGCAGGTGGTGAGAGCCGAGGGGAGCGGGGGTGGGGGTGGGAGGGCGGAGGTGGTCCCGGCAGGGGTGGACCGTCATGGGAGAGAGGCCCAGTGGCAGGGCAGAGACAGAGCCAGCCCCCCACCCCCACCTGACAGTGCAGGTCCTGGCCCTGCTCTTTGGACGACTTTCTTTCCAATCCCGGCCCAGGTCCCCAGCTGATGTCTCTGGGCGTGGCCTGGGTCCGCCTCTCCTCCCATCTGGTGGGTCTCTTGTGGACCCCAACGTTTACACAGCACATCAGTGAACAGTTCCAATGGGGTGGCTCCTTTCATATGTATTTGAAAGCAAGTAACCAGCCTAACTGAGTTGGTATATGATTGAGTTAAAGGAAAATTTGAAAGAAATAATAGTCCAAGTAGTTCACAGAAATTGGTGAAGTTGGTTCAGAAATGACTGAAGTCTAGAAAGCATGGTGGGCGGGGATCCCTTGATGGGCACCTTGGCACATACCTGAGAGCCTGGTGGGAAAGACAGAGAGGCTGAAGAAGAGGTGGAGGAGGAGGAGAACGTGGAGGAGGAGGAGGAGGAGGAGGAGGAAGAAGGGGGTGCTGCTCGCAGAGCAGCTGCAGGCTGGGGATGAGGAGAGAGCCCCTGGGGAGGGGGTTGCGGGTGGGCAGCAAAGCTGGACAGAAGCTGCCAGATCTCAGCATCCATCCGTCTCTGAGCCTCGTCCACCTGGGGGACCAGGAGCCGAAGAGCGGTGAAAGGGAGCAGAGAGGGACAGAAAGGACGTCCATGAGGCTTTACCTCCCTGCGGGCCCAGCCAGCCACCCGCTATGCACTGTTAGCTCACAAGTGCTGATACTTGGCACTCTGGCCCTTGTACCCACTGCCCTCTTGTTCCTCCTGAGCCAGGCGGGGATATCCTGGGATGGGCTTGGCTGCCTATGGGCCGTGACTGATGGGAGAAGCCCTACAAAGGGTGCCCAGCAAGGGACGGGCAGAAGTGCTGGAGGCAGCCCCAGGGGCATCTGGAGGGGGTTGTTGCTCCTCGGCCTGACTCTCTGTGTGTGCCCTGGCACCCGCCCAAGCCACTCATGGTTCTGGAATGTTTCCCAAGGGTGACACCAGAGCAGACCAGGCATCAGGTTGGGGTCTGGCCTGGCATAGGGGAAATGGCCCGGGAAGGCTGGGGTCTTTGCTCAGGTGCCTGCCTGGACTCAGCTCTTTGGTCTCCTACAACCTGTCCTAGCCAGGTCCTCAGTTACCTGTGATGCCTGCTGTGCCTGGTCCCTGCCCTCTGGGGGCCCTGGGATCCTCCCAGCTGTCATGGCTGCCCGCAACTGCTCCTCTGAGAGGGACGTGCGGTTCTGATGAAATGGAGGGAGCAGGCCAGCTAAGACCTCCCAAGGTCCCGGAGCTGGAGCCATGGGCAGGGTCCTCTACCCATGGACGTGGTAGTTAGAAAGGCCCACACTAATTAGGAAGAAAGATGCATGCCCCCCCTCTCCAGGCTGGCACCCCGGGGTTAACTCCAGGTCGCCCACGTGCACACAGAGGGTTAACAGTGGTTGCTTGACAGGCAGGGCCAGGAGAACCTGGGGGGCTAGATACAGTCACGTGGATTAGCATCGGGTTAGTCTCCCTGCTACCTCAGTTGCCATTCTGACTTCAGACGGTTGGCACCAGGACCAGAACACAGCAGGTGAGGCAAGGTGGGGCACACACCCTCCTGACTACCAACCCTGGGGCCATGGGACACTGCCTGGGTTCACGCAGACCCCCAATGCCTTGGGCACTGCGCATCTCCCCACACAGGGCTGGGAGCACCCAAGAAGGCGCCACACCCCATCACACCAACTTCACAGCACGCACATCCTGGGCCTACCTGGTGAGCCCGGCGCATCCGCGCAAAGTATGCCTCTCCCTATGGGGCACAGGGAAATGCCAGGACAGGAGACAGAGATAGGTCTGAGAATTGCAGGACAGAGCAGCAGAGAGGCCAAGAGATAGCGAACCCCAGAAGGGAGAGGGGAGAAGGGACCAGAAGGCAGCCAGCCCTGGGAGAAGCCCGGAGTACCTGGCTCTGTCCAAGGAACAGGGATGGGGCAACCCCAGAGCTCCCCCTCCCAGGTGTCCCTGGCCCCCTCACTCCTTGCCTGGGGGCACATCTGCTGCAATACTGGCCTCGACCAGCAGTGGACTCCTGTGCCAAGACCCACTTGCCCTGGGTGCGACCAGATGCCTGTGCTGCTCAAGGAACACATTTGGGCAGGCTGTCCCAGAGCCCAGCCCTGAGTCCCTGCCCCCCACAACACCATCGCCACCACCATCACCACCTTCCCACCAGACCCTGTTCTGGAGTAGCAAAGACAGGTTCACCTCTGACTGGCAGAGTATTTGTTTGTTCGTTTTTTGAGACAGTGTCTTACTCTGTCACCCAGGCTGGAGTGCAATGGTGCAATTATGGCTCACTGCAACCTCCCCCTCCCGGGCACCAGTGATCCTCCCACCTCAGCCTCCCTAACTAGCCGGGACTACAGGCATGCACCAACACGCCCAGCTAATTTTTTGTATTTTTTTGTAGAGACGGGGTTTCGTCACATTGCCCAGGCTGGTCTCAAACTCCTGAGCTCAAGTGGTCCTCCCGCCTCTTGTCTTCCAAAGTGCTGGGATTACAGGCATGGGATCTGGCCTTCAGCAGAGCATTTGAAGGGCAGCCTCTGACCTGGGTTTGGATTCCAGCATTCCCACCTCCCAGCTGCGGGGCTTTGGGTAAGGTACCGAGCCCCATTGCCTTAGTTTCCTCATTTATGAAATGGGGCAGTAGCAGGACCTGGCTCACACAGTTGTGATTTGTGACTTGTAAAGGACGCTGCCTAGCACAGAGTGAGAGCTCAACACACATGACCTATGATGAGAATTACTGTGTCCAACACAAGCACAGAGCCAGCAGCGCGGATGAGTGAAGTTGGAGTGGGCATGTGAATGACGCTGAAACTGTGTCTCACTCGTCTTTGCATTTCCCAGCCTCTCCTAGGACCTGTCTGTTGAATAACTGCATGAAAGCTAAAAGTCATGAACAGCTGAGCACTTATTATGTGCCAGGCGTGATCTCCAATCCCCTCAGCCACCATGAAGTTGAGGTTTATCAAATGGTGTCTGGCTGGCAAGCAGCAGAGCTGGGGTTTAGACCAATGTCTATGGGACAGCAAAAGCCACGTGGCTAACCACGATATGGCCATGCAGGTGGCAGGTGCCTGCCTGCTGAGAGACGGCGCAGAGGTGAACTCATGTCTGAGTCACCACTGACCCTGGTGCCAGGCTGGGGCCCACCTTGTCTCCCTGGTATGTCTCCGGCAGCTGCCAGTAGAAGGATTCGTGGCCAAGGTGGGCGAAGTTGCCAAAAGAGAGCTGGGCACCCTCGGGCACCGGTTCCACAGTGAATTCTCCAGTCAGGCGGCTGTTCCGCTGTGGGTTCACTAGGGCAAAGCCTTGGAAGTCCCCAGGGGCAAAGTGGGTGGAGATCTGGCAGGGGAAAAAGAAGGAGGCGTCAGCCTGGGCACTGGGGTGCCTTGGTGGGAGATGGGGTGCCTTGGTGGGGGATGGGGCACGGGAGGGTGTTAAGGCGGGGAATGGGGTCCTGCTGAGATCAGGGCTGGGAGAGAAATAATGGGGGCATGTGACGGTATTGAGGCAGGGATGAGGGTCACTGGGCTCAGTGCTGAGATGGACAATACCAGGCAGCAGGTGGCAACCCCGCCTGGGGCTGGGCGGCACAGGCTCTTACCAGGTGGCGCGTGTAGGCGGAGCTGGCGCACTGCTGGGTGATGCCCATACAGAAGCAGGGCAGGCAGCCCTCGGGGTTGCTGGCATTCAGGTGGAAGTGGTGGGGCCGGCAGTGGCTGCAGGTGAGGCCTTCCACCTGGGCCTGGGTAGGTGGATGGAAGGAGGCAGGCAGGGGACTCAGTGGGTCTCCTGCACCCCCAGCAGCCTGAGGCCAGCTTCCCCGGCCGCTTCCAGCAGCCCTGGGCAGCCCCTGCCCCATTCCCCATGCTCTGCCCCCATGCCCAGGTCTCGGCTTCCACCAGATGCTGCCTGATTTCCCCGAAGGCTCCAGGCAGTGGGGCAGAGCGTGTCCCTCGGGGCAGGGATTCGGACTGACCTTGCACTGGCACTGACCAGCAGTGTCACACTGGCTGCTGACACTGCCTTGGGGGTCACAGTTGCAGCCTATGGGCCCTGGCACCTGGCCGTCTCCTGAGGTGGAAGAAAGCCATGGCTGGAGCCCCAAAGCCACCACCCAGCACCCCTCTCCCTCCACTCTGCTCACCGAGAGGGAGCTCTGATTTCTGACGTGAGCACTCAACACTCTCACGACAGCCCTTGGAAGTGGTGGGGCCTGCTCCTATCCCCATTTTACAAATGAAGAAACTGAGGCTTGGACAGGCAAAGCCAAAAGGGAGTAAAGGCTTCTGTCCTAGCTCCACCTGGGGACACTGGGTAACCCGACCCCAACGACCTCCCCAATCTTACTCACTCCGGCATGGCTGGCCCTGGCTGGGGTTGCCATAGTAGCCAGGGGCACACCTGCAGAGAGAGAAAGCCTCTGATGAATTTTGGATGAACGCAAGCAGAACCCCAGGGCTGGGCTGGGGATCTCATACTGAATTCAATGGTCTCGTGCACTACAAGAAACCAACAGCCTGACTCGCCCATGTTACGGGGAAACTGGGCAGAGAAGAGCAGGGATGCGCCCTGGACCACACAGCCAGTGAATCGGGGCAGTCAGGAACCCAGGAGCTTCAGGAAGAAGCAGGGGTTTTGTGGGAAGACTGGCCTGGCTGGGGCAGGGGACCAGGGGGCTGAAGGTGAACCGCAGGCTAGGATGTATGTCTGAGGGTCTTGAATTCTGGGCTAGAGGTTGAGGCTCCCGAGGAGGGGAGCTGACTGTCTTCTGGGGCCTGTGCAAGGTTAAGAGTGAGAGGCATCCCTGACTCCTCTGGGTTGGGAGGGCTGGGCCCTGCCCGAGGACCCCAGGGACACCCCCTGTGTGCCCCCGTGTGCATTCCCCCACCCTCTCCACCCCCTGCCTCACCTCTCGCAGTGACGCCCGCTGTGGCCTGGGGAGCACGCATCACAGGTGGGGTGGCCGTCTGTGTCCAGAAAACAAGTGTGGGCAGCCCTGAGTATAGGGGGCAGATTTCTAGTCAGTAATGCAGTGGCTCCTACCTCTCCCCTTATTCTCCTTCAGGACCAGGGAAGAGGGGAGGGGAAGAACAGGCATGTGAACTCATGTGTCCTGAGTGCCACTGCATGCCTGGCACTGTGCTAAGAGTTCCACATGCATCACCTCACTCAACTCTCACACAAGGGGCTGAGGAGGGTGGACTACCCCATTTCACAGATGAGGCAGCTGAGGCCCTGAAAGTGAAGTGTATTTCACACCAAGTGACACTGAGGAGGCGGCAAGGCCAGGGTTTAACCACTGCCTCTCAGAAGGGCCCTGGAGGAAGGGTGTGTGGGAGTGGGTGGTAGACATTTCAGGGCAGGGCAGGTGCGGGCGGGGACCGGACGCACTGGCCGGCAGCAGGGTCTCCGTAGCAGGGGCACAGCTGGCAGTCCTGTGGTGTCCCCCGCTGGGCGTCCCCGTAGTATCCTGGCTGGCACTGCTCACACCGAGGGCCCTCTGTGTGATGCTGGCAGCCCTGGAGGAGCAGGATGTGAGTTGAGGCTGGGCCCCCAGAGGCCACAGATCGCTGGGGTGGGGGGAAGGAGGGCAGGACTCACCTGGCAGGCACCTGTTTCGGGCTCGCAGGCCTCTGAGTGACCATGGCAGCTGCAGCGTTCGCAGGTACCCAGGTAGAGGCCACTGGGTGTGCGTGTGTAGCCTGTGTCACAGTCCTGGGGGCAGAAAGATGGCAGTGGGAGGGCCTTCTGAACATGGCCCATTCGGGTAGGGGCACTGGATGGCCAGGGCTGGGGAAGTGGGGAGGGCTCGTGGAGAAGGGGTGGGGAGCACCATAGAGGGGCTGGCTGGGTCGGCGTGGGGCCCAGGACTCACCTGGCAGGACGGGCCACGGTACCCGGGTGGGCAGGAGCACTGCTCCACTTCCAGCGCGGGGTCCTGGCCGGTTTCCTCAGGCACAGCCACGTCCATGCTGATCCCAGAGACCCTGGCGTGACAAGACCCCGCATGAATAGGACCGCTGGCCCTGTGCCAGGCACGCCTGGAGTCCTCCACTCGGAGGGTGTGGTCAGTCCTCCCGACAGCCCTGTCACAGCACTGCTGGGGCCCTGTCCAGCTCTCCAGAGGCTGTGAGGGCCGTGGCAAACAGCCGTTACCTGCAACTTACTCCAAACCATCACCCTTCCTCACCTGGAGAGGTTATACCCCCCCGTCCCCCTGGGGTACCCAATGACAGGCTGATACAGGCTACAAGAGCCTTCGTGCCTGAAAGTAAGACCACTTTCCGGTGAGTGACTCTCCAGAGCTCCCCGTGGGCTGAGGCTGGGGCTAGACTTGACCTGTGACCACATCCCTGCGTGGCCCTCCCCACTCCTGCGTCCCTCTCCTTGTGAATCACGTGCACCCCAATCCCCGTCTCAGGCTTCCTTCTAGGGAGCCTGGCCCCAGACCAGCCTGTAACAGAGACATTGTTAGACTCTCCATTTCACAGACAGGGAAAGTGAGGCACAAAAGGGTCACACAGTCTGTAAGTGGCTGTGCCGCACTGCACCGTGTAGACAGAGTCCCTTCCCCAAGCCCATGCTGGTCCTCCCGCCCCGCTCCAGACACCTGCTCTCAGTGGGCTGCTGGGCGTAGGACGCTCGGACCAGGAGGGTGTCGATGCCTGCCAGCGCCATCAGCAGGTGCTCCCGTGTGGCTGGCTGCCCATCGGGCCGCTGCCAGGCTTGCTGCCAAGGAAAGGACATGTGTGCTCAGCCCCGGATGTCCTGGAGTATTGATGCTGGAGAGGCGGGAGCAAGGGCCTGCCCGCACCCCTGTGCCCGGGGGACAGAACTGCTCACCTCCCGGAAGGGCACAGTGAAGGTGCTGGGCTGGCCGGGGCTGGGCTCCTGGGCCGGGTGGTGCTCTAGGATGATGTTGTTACCTTGCAGCACCACCAATGGCTGCCCGTGCAGGGGTGTGGAGCCTGGCTGGGAACGCTGGGTCACTGTGAAGCGCAGCTCTCCTCCATAGGAGGTCACCTGGGACCAGGGTTAGATAGGAGCTTAGCAGAGGCCTGAATTCAGTCACTGCTCCAGCCACCTTTTCCATGCGACGTATCTCACTGTTCTCCCAAGGCACCACGACCCTCCTGCCTCCAAGCCTTTGCCTGTGCTGTTCCTGCTGCCTGGAGTTTCCTTTCCCTTCCCACCCACTACCCACCTTGTCCCCCAGGAAGCGTGAAGGGAGGCTCCAGAAGTAGGGTCCAGATAGGAGTCTGTGGAAGGAGGAGAATCCCAGTTCCCCGGGCGTGGGGGAGAAGATGCCCTCGTTGGTGGTGTGGGTGCTTGCAGCGTTGGTCAGGCTGAAGTGACCAGGCTCCTCAGACGCCCCATGCACCTGGGAGGAGGAGAGAGGGCTGGGATAGGGGCCATGGCCTGGGACTGGCACTTGGTCTCCCAGCCCAGGGCTTGGTGGTCCTGCCCGCCCACCTTGCAGAGGTACCTGGGCACGGCTCCAGGAAGAGCTGGTACACTGGCGACTGACACCCATGCAGAAGCACTTGAGGCAGCCATCGGGGTTTTGGGTACTCAGATGGAAAGAGCCGTCAGCACATTCGTTGCACAAGCGCCCCACCACATTGTTCTGCAGGCACAGAGTTGGAGCTGAAGGACAGCCCAGGGGAGAGGCTGCCTGGAGCTCAGGCCGAATCCACCCTCAGTCCAGATAAGAACCTGAGACCCAGGGGAGCCACTGAAAGAGTACACGTGGCTGGGCGCAGTGGCTCATGCCTGTAATCCCAGCACTTTGGGAGGCCAAGGCAGCTGGATCACCACAGGTCAGACGAGTTTGAGACCAGCCTGGCCAACGTGGCAAAACCCTGTCTCTACTAAAAATACAAAAATTAGCCCAGCATGGTGGCACACAGCTGTAATTCCAGCTACTCAGGAGGCTGAGGAAGGAGAATCGTTTGAATCTGGGAGGTGGAGGTTGCAGTGAGCCGAGATCGCACCACTGCACTCCAGCCTGCGCGATGGGAGCGAGACTCCATCTCAAAAAAAAAAAAAAAAAAAAAAGAAGAAGAAGGAGCACATGTATGAGGCATCATTACCACCTGAACAGTAATTCCCACTTAACAAGTGCTTAGGCAAGCATTTTTCCCTTTTCTCTTTGGCTGCCAGGGGGTTCACCAATAAATTTAAGTTTGAAATACAGCAACTTGATTGAAATAATTGCTGCTTCTATTTATGGAGTGTTTCATGCACTGTTCTGCTTTCCATTTGACATCACCTCATTTAACTCTCCTAAGGACCTTGAGAGGTAGATGACACCTTCATCCCTCACATGAGGAAACAGAGGCTCAGGGATGTGAAATGACTTGCACAAAGTTACTCAGCTTGCTTATCCACTCTGGAATTGAAGACCAGGAGTGCCTGACTCCAGAGTCTGTCCATTCTTTTTTACACTGACACTTGATACTCACATTCTTTTCTTTCCTTTTTTTTTTTTTTGAGACAGAGTTTCACTCTTGTTGCCCATGATGGAGTGCAGTGGCACAATCCTGGCTCACTGCAACCTCCGCTTCCCGGGTTCAAATGATTCTCCTGCCTCAGCCCCCTGAGTAGCTGGGATTATAGGCGCCCGCCACCACGCCCAGCTAATTTTTGTACTTTTAGTGGAGATGGGGTTTCACCATGTTGGTCAGGCTGGTCTTGAACTCCTGACCTCAAGTGATCCACCCACCTCAGCCTCCCAAAGTGCTGGGATTACAGGCGTCAGCCACTGCGCCTGGCTGATGCTCCCATTCTTAAAGCAAGAGACCTCCCTTCTCTGGCCTCCATTTCGTTATTCACAAATTGGGGACACTAATATCTATATCATTGTATCAATGTGACAATGGACAAAGTATGGCAAAAGCAAAGGTACAATGCAGATACAAAGGCTGCATAAAGAATGACTGGGACTTGAACTCAGGTCGCCTGACTCCCTAACAAGTGCTCCTTCCCAACACCAGGCCACCTCTCCTGGTACAGAAGGCCGGTCAGCCAGGTCCACTAGCCTCTGACTATGTTACCACCCACTGGCCGAGGATCTATGGAGAGGACAGAGCTTCCTTCCTCCTTCTCCCAGCTGTGGTGCTGGGCCCAAGGCCTCTGGGTGGGTGGCGGATGGCATGCGTACCTTACAGCGGCAGGCCTCGCCGGAGGTCCCCACGCTGCCACGCTCATCACAGCGCACAATCTCCTGGTCTGGGACACAAAGTGGGTGTTGGCAGGGCAGGTGGGAATGGGATAGACACAGTTTAGGCAGAGGAACGGCGGCTTTCTAAGGATCATGAGCTGGGGCAGGGAGGGAGGGTACCTGGTGTACAGCCCAGGTTGGGTTGGGAGGTGGGTGTCGGGGGTGGTGGCAGCCATACTCACTGACAGGCCTGCACTTCCCGCCGGGCTGGATGGGGTTGCCCTCGTATCCGGGGGCACAGCTAGGGGAAAAAGGGGGCCCCCGTCAGTGGCACTTCCATGACCCCACTCAGGAGCCCCCTTTCTGCAGCCCCCAAGGCTCTCCCTCACCTCTCACAGCGGCGGCCGGTGTAGCCTGGGGCACAGGCGTCACATGTGGCTTGGCCATCCGTGTCTAGGAAGCAAGTGTCTGAGAATCTGTGGGTATCAAGTAGACAGGGGCAGGGCTGCGGTCAGGCTTTCTCCTCCCACCCTGGGAAATGACTGCTGTCCACACAGACACAGTGTGCCATGAGGCATGACACCATCTTCCTGCCCGGCACAGCAACTGTGGGAAGTCAGGGGGCTCATTATACAGACAAGGAAACAGAGGCCTAGAGAGGTCAAGGAGCACGGGATAACTTAGTGACCAGGCGGACATCTGAATCCAAGTCTCCCGCCTCCCTGCCCAGAGTATTCTCCCGGCCTGCTGCACGGCCCCCAGCCAAACCCCCCCACCCGGAGCCGGGGCTGACCTGCGGGAGGCATCGATGTATGGGCAAGGGCAGGGCCGGCAGGCAGTGGCCGTGGCCTTCGTGGCATCCCCAAAGAAGCCAGCCTTGCACTTGTTGCACTGTGGCCCCTCCGTGTTGTGCTGGCAATTCTAGGAGAAGGAAGAGGGTATGGCTCAACTTCTAGAGCAGAACTGGGCCAGATGCTGTGGGGGGCCTTGGAGGCTGTCTGGCTCAGCCTCCCCATCACGCTGGAGGCACGGCTTTGCAGACAGGGGACCATCGACTGCAACCACTTATAGACGATGGGGAGCTCATCACCTCACACGGCAGCCTGTCCCATAGATGATTCCAAATGCCTGCTTTTTATCGACCTAAACCTGCCACCCTCTTCCAATCTGCACCCACTGGCCAGTTCTACTCCCCAGAGTCTGTTTCTTCTGCCCGACACCTTTGCAGGGATTTGGAGATGACAATGCTGCCCTGCTTGAGTCTTTTCTTTTGTCAGCGCCACAATCCCAGCTCTCGCCACTATTCCTAAGAAATAAGGTATCACCCTAAGGGCTCTTCCCCCTAGGGCTGCCCTCTGCAGGTCATGCTTCTTCATTTGACACTCTCCAGGATTAGTCTGATGAGGGTGGGGGAGAGGAGGGCCATCGCCTCCCTTGTCTGGACGCTATATCTCTGGGGTTTGTTGTTGTTGTTTTGAGACAAGAGCCTCGCTCTGTTGTCCAGGTTGGAGTACAGTGGCACAGTCTCGGCTCACTGTAACCTCCACCTCAAGTGATTCTCCCGCCTCAGCCTCCTCAGTAGCTGGGATTACAGGCGTGCGCCACCACACCCAGCTAATTTTCTTATTTTTAGTACAGACGGGGTTTCACCATGTTGGCCAGGTTGGTGGCGAACTCCTGACCTCAAGTGATCCACCCATCTCAGCTTCCCAAAGTGCTGGGATTTCAGGCATGAGCCACCACGCCCAGCCTCTATCTCTGTTATTGCATCCAGAGGTCATGATAGTCCATCTGGCAGTCATGACACTCATTCTGGAGGCTTGTGCTGAGCTCATGAACACAGGGAGTCTCGCACCTTGTCCTTGCTCCTATTTTAGTGTCCAAGTGCCAGCTGGCTCTACTCACCAGGCAGTGGCCATACACAGGGTCACAGGAGCTGGCATGGCCATTGCAATTGCAGCCAGAGCAGGTACCCAGGTAGGGCCCACCAGGCACCCGAGTGAAGTGGGCATCACAGCTCTCGCAGGACAAGCCAGAATAGCCAATGGGGCATCTGTGGGGACAGGACCGAGAGAGTCGCTGCAAGGACTGTGAGGCCCTGCCGTTTCTCCTCTATCCTTGCCAGGGCCTCTGTGGTTCCCAGCCCTGCCGGCTCAGGCACCTGCACTCCTCCACACTGTGGGCACGGCCATGGCTGGTGGCGTGGGTCACAGTAGTATCCATGGCGATGTCGCTCAGCCCCACGCTGGCCATCTTGGTGTTGTACACGGTCTGGATGAGCACGGCCTCCAGGCTCTGCAGCACCTGCAGCAGCTCCGCGCGCTGCACCGGCCGGCCAGACTCATGGACCCAGTGCTCCTGGGTACGGGTGAAGGTGGCAGGGGTCACACATCAGCACCTACTCAGCCTAAATCCCCCTTTGCTCCCAGCCCTAAGGGCTCAGGCACCACCTACCTCAGAGAACTGGACCTGGCGCTGGTTCAGAGCACCAGGTTGGGTGGGCGTGTGGCCTCGGGAGAGGAGGCGGTACCCGGCACCCACGAGGACCACGTCCGGCCGCTGCACTGGCTCCAGCATGCCACGGGCCAGTTCGTAGCGCACGTTGTAACGCAGGGAGCCACCATAGGAATCCACCTGGCACAACAGGGTGGATCAGGGCGGGCAGCTGTGGGCACACTTGACACCCATCGTGCCTACAAGGTGCCTACAGTCTTCCAGCTCCTCCCTCACTGTGCCTACCTGAGACTCACTGTGTGCCAGGCACTGAGCTAGGTATAGGGAACCTGAGATGGGTGAGACTCAGGCTCTGACTCTAGGGTGTTTGGTCCATGGCAGGGTGTGGAAACATGCAGTGCACAGGGTGCCCAGGGAAGCCAGTGCGGAGGCACAGAACCCAACCCAGGCATGGGGGAGCGGTCAGGGAGGGCTCCTGGGAGGACAGAAGGCCAGCTCTTCTTCCCAAGCCAGCAGTGCCAGGGAGAGGTCCTGCCCTGAATGGCTGAGCCACTGCCACAGGGGGCTGCATCGGGGCACAGCAACACCTTTCCCCCCAAGTCTGCCTCGCTGTCCACCAACTGCAGAGGGAGCAGAGCCCACGGGGATTCTTTCTCCACCCAGGGCGGCAGCCCAGGCCTCTCACCTTGTTGCCCAGGAACTGCTCAGGGAGAGCCCAGAAGGAGTCGTGGACGAGGAAGCGGCGGGACAGGTCGACTAGCTGGAACTCGTGCAGGGCTGGGTCGATCTGCAGCTGCGTGGAGGAGAGGGGTGGCATGCTGGGCTGTGCAGGCATCACCACATTCACACCTGCGGGTGGCAAGAGAGAGGCTAAGGGCTGCAGCCTGGGCCTGCCTGATACACCCACCTTGAGGGGCAGCAACCCAGAAAAAGATGGGAAAGTTCTAGGGGAAATTTGATTTCAAGAAAACTTCGATCTCTCTTCCAAAGTGAAGAAAATGCAGGTTTTGGCCAGGTGCGGTGGCTCACGTCCGTAATGCCAGCACTTTGGGAGGCTGAGGCGGGCAGATCACTTGAGGCCAGGAGTTCATGACCAGCCTGGCCAACATGGTGAAAATAATAATAAAAAAAAAAATTAGCCAGGCATGGTGGCGCACACCTGTAGTCCCAGCTACTCAGGAGGCTGAGACAGCAGAATCACTTGAACCTGGGAGGCAGAGGCTGCAGCGAGCTGAGATCGTGCCACTGCACTCCAACCTGGTCCACAGAACAAGACTCTGTCTCAAAAAAAGAAAAGAAAAAAGAAAATGCAGTTCTTTTCCTCCTTCCCAAATACTGGAGCAGCATTTCCCGAAGCATGCTCTGAGAAAGGAAAGTCGATGCCATGGAATGATGGCTGGGGAACCATTTGGGAACCATAGGGTCAAAGAAAGGTCCAGGGGGTTCTTTGCAGCCAGACTTCTCCGGGCCTTTCTTGCTAAGAGACCCACAGACTTTCAGCGCTGGAACAACCCTGCAGGCAGGAGAGCTACACAGGGCTGAGGAACAGGCGCTCAAGTCCAGGTGTGTTGTAAGCCTGGGCAAGGGCCTTAGTTTCCTCATCTGTAAGATAGTGCTTAAAGTAGCCTGCCTCCTAGAGGTATAAGCTAAAATGAGAAAACTGACATAAAATGGCTAGCTCTTATTGTTGCTGTTGTTATGACGGGTCATCCAGTCCAACCCTCTCCTATGTACACACACATACGCACAGTACCCCACACGGGAATTCCCTTGACTGCATCCCCCCAGATCGCTAGGACAGCTCCACCCTAGAGAACTTTCGGTGGAGTGAAAATATCCTGTACCTACACTCTTCATTATGGTAACTATTAGGTTGGTACAAAAGTAATTGCTGATTTTGCCATTAAAAGTAATGGTGCTTTCCAACTTGGACCCGGCAGAATGGCTCCCACAAAGAAGGGTGGCGAGAAGAAAAAGGGCTGTTCTGCCATCAACGAGGTGGTGACCTGAGATTACACCATCAACATTCACAAGCACATCCATGGAGTGGGCTTCAAGAAGCATGCCCCTCGGGCACTCAAAGAGATTCGGAAATTTGCCACGAAGGAGATGGGAACTCCAGATGTGCGCATTGATACCAGGCTCAACAAAGCTGTCTGGGCCAAAGGAATAAGGAATGTCCCATACCGAATCCGTGTGCGGCTGTCCAGAAAACGTAATGAGGATGAAGATTCACCAAATAAGCTCTATACTTTGGTTACCTACGTACCTGTTACCACTTTCAAAAATCTACAGACAGTCAATGAGGATGAGAACTAATCGCTGATCGTCAAATACATCAAATAAAGTTACAAAATTGAAAAAAAAAAAAGTAATGGTACTAGCCACACGTGGCCACCGAGCACTGGAGACGTGTGTAGTGCTGCTCAGGAATGAATCGTTGTATTTCAGTTTAAAGAGCCACACATGGTCAGTGACTGCCACATTAGGTGCAACTGTCATGAATGGGGATCGTACAACCTCCAAAGACCGTCCCTCCCAGCTCTGGACAACTTTGACTCTTAGCAAGTTCTTCCTTACATGGAGTCCACATCTGTCTGCCAATAGGTTCTCCCGCTCATCCTGAATTAACCCCCTGCAACCACAGGGGGGTCCAGCTCCTCACCCACAGAACGACCAAGCACAGCCCCGGGTCTAGGTTACTCTATCCTCTTTCCTGCCTGCTTTCCGGGGATATCTTCAGGCTTCCTCCCTCCTGGTCACCATCCACACACAGGCCACCTGCTCACCATGGAATTCCCACCACTCCCTCCCCTGGACTATCCAGATTCCAATCAGACAGCCCTGGGTTCAGCTCCCCCTCTAAACTGCTGTGGGAACCCAGGCATGGAAGTTCCACAACCTCTCAGAGCCCTGGGGCTCTCATCTTAAAACTGTGAAATCAGTCCTGACCTTGCAAGGGTTATTGGCAGTTCAATGACTGTCAGGTCAAGCCACAGGGCCAACTGCCTGCTCACCAAATGGTGGCCATGGCCATTAGCATTCTAAACATGCTGGGGAACAACTTTGGGAAGTAACTAAGTTTTGTTTTGTTTTTAGGGATGGGGTCTCATTCTGTTGTCCAGGCTGGAGTGCAATGGCGTGATCATAGCTCACTGCAGCCTCAAACTCCTAGGCTCAACAGATCCTTCTGGCTCAGCCTCTCAAGTAGCTGGGACTACAGGCGCAAGCCACCATGCCCGGCTAGATTTTTCATTTTTAATTATTTGTAGAGATGCGGTCTCACTATGTTACCCAGGCTGGTCTTGAACTCCTGGCCACAAGCAAGCCTCCCTCCCAGCCTCCCAAAGTACTTGGATGACAGGCATAAGCCACCATGCCTGGCCAGGTAACTAAGTCTTATACAAGTCATTTTTAGGTTCCTCAACCAACAAAAGGGCATAAAATGTGTTGAGTGCTTTGGAGCTAACTCTCTACATGCATTTAATCCTCTGCAATGAAGAAGTGAGGGCTGCTTGATGCCAGGTGGGACACGACAGAGCCGGGACCTGAGCCCAAGTCCAGGCAGTGCCCGGGCTCATGCTCTCAGCCATGCTGCCATTCTGCCTCTCAGAGCCAGAAAGAATTGAGTCCAGCCGCCTGCCTCTATCTTTGGGAAAATAGGCCCAAGGAAGCCAAGAGACTTGCCCAAAGACACAGCGGCAGTAAGTGGTGCAGCTGGAGGCCACCCTCAGGCTAAGGAGATGCCAAAGCCTGGGCTCCTATACTCTGGGTACACTGGCACCTCTGCCTCTCAGAATGAGGACAATGACTGTGACATTAGCAAATACCTCCTGGGTGCTGACCATGGGCTGAGCACAATTCCGAGAGGCTTATATACGCGACTCCACTAAGTCCTTACCAACCCCTGGGAGGTAGTTATTATTCCACCCCCCGACTTTATAGATGAGAAAGCAGACACGAGATAGTGGGTAACTTGACCCAGGACACAGGTGGACAGCGTCCACGTCAGGATCTGAAAGGAGGAAGCTGGCTCCAGAGCCCGTCCTCTCCGTAACCTGAAGCAGGTAGGTAGCAAGAGGGGATTTGGCTTTTCCTAAACATGGTGGTTTTCCCCCCGAAATGCTTTTTTGACAGGGCTCAGTGTTTCTTCAGTGACTCGTATTCCTTCCCGAAACCTGGCCCCCTCTGTCTGCATCTATCCTCTGTGCCCACTGGAGCCTGGTACCCACCTCCCACCTCCCGCAGCGCTCACCCGCCCGCCAACGCACCCTTGAAGTCATCGGGTTGGTCAAAGCGCAGCCTGATCTGGTCCCGGAAGCGGCGGCTGCTCTGGCACACGCTGGTGATGCCAAAGCAGAAGCAGGGCAGGCAGGAGGCGCTGTGCTCCAGGTAGAAGTGGCCGTCAGGGCAGGGGCCTGCTGGGCGGCACGGGAGGGGGCTGCAGCCAGCTGTGGCGGGCAGCCCAGCTCTGCCCCCACACCCAGTGACACCTGGCCTCCGGCAGTACCTCGCTGTGGGACGAGCTCAAGGACACCGTCAGGAATGCCAAACACCATGCCCCGGGCGTTCATGGCCTCACAGGTGTAGGCACCCTGGTCTGACTCCTTCACGTCACGGATGGTCAGTGTGCCACGGCCCCCCTCGCTGGTCACTGTCACCCTGTTGGCCCCAAGACAAGCGGTAGGATCTGGCCTAGGGCTCTGGACCAGCTGTCCCCCATTCCCACCCCACCACCCGGGCCCAGAGCCACACCTGGGATGAGAGGGGATGTGGCCCCAGTTGAGCCTCCAATTGATGATGGGGGTGGGGACGCCAATGGCCACGCAGGTGAAGGTCACTGTCTGGCCCCGGGAAGCCTGGATGGACTCCTGAGGAGGCGTCACCACCTGGGGGGGCACTGAGGAGACCAGGGCAGGGGTGAGGGCAAAGGAAGGAGGAGCGGAGGGAGCGCTCCGAGGGGCTAGGAGGGAGAAGAGTGGAGGTTGAGGCTGTGGACAGAAGCCCCCAGAACCCAGCCCAGGGCCCACATCTCGATCCCAGCTCCCTGCTCACTGCAGCCAAACTCGTCGCTCCGGTCGGGACAGTCACTCTCCTCGTCACAGTGGAAGCTGGCTGGGATGCACACGTTGGTAGAGACGCATCGGAACTGTGTGGGCCCACACACCTCTTCAGGGCGCTTGGTGGCTGGGGACAAAGCCAGGTGGTTCCCAACAGCCCACCCCTGTCCATCCTCCCTGGGCATCACCGGAGTCACTCTCTCATTTTGCCCACATAACCCCCAGTGGCCCTCACCATGCCTAGTCCCTGCTGCACAACACTGTCCACCTCACAGCCAGCATGATGCGGCCACCAGCTGTCATTGAACCACTCATCACATTACTCAGCCCCCACCCCTCACTCCACCTGCATTCCCCATGCCAGTTATGGCTGGCACATCACTGTCACAACCACAGTGTCACCTAGCCACACTCAGAGTCACAGAAGCGCTATCTTGTACACATGGACAAGACCCACGTCAAAGGCACAACCAGTGGGGCTGGCATCTCTGGGCGCCAGCAATGCTCCACACATCCTTCTCTACCAGAAAGGCCTGGCAAGGCGCCTGGCACAGCATGGTCCCCTGTGGGGCTCGACAGTCTGCGCTCCCACTGACAGGCCCTCAATGGAGTGGCCAGAAGCTGGAGGTGGCCTGGGACAAGGGCTGGGCCCCACTAGGCCTCTCTAGTGGCTGGTGACCAATATTCTTCCTCAGGGAGATGGAGCTTGAGAGAGACACAGACACAGACAGAGAAGTCACAGCCATGCAGGAGGAGCGGAAGCCGCGCATCCACAGAGCAGGTGCGAGAGGAGACCAGGAGGTAGCTGTGGAGGCAGCTCAGGCGCTTCTGTTCCCCGCACTCTCAGGAGCCCATGAGGCCATTCAACCTTCACATTCTCTGGCTCTCTGCTGTCCACAAGGACCTGTCCTTCCTTTGACTTCCCCAGCAGAGGTCCCTGGAAAGGGCCTTCCAACTAAAGCCCCCAATTACGTTCTCTCTCCCAAGGAGCTGGTGCTGACAGGCAAGCTTAGAGCCACAGAAAGGCATTCTCAAACTCTGCCGGTCTGTGGCATGATGCAGCCTCTCCCCAGGGCTTGCTGTGGAGTGGGCAGGGGAAGGAAGGCAAGGAGAAGTTGGACAAGCTCACGGTGGGAACATGGACACGCACCCAGACACACCAACAGGACCACAGCGAAGTGCCTGAAGATTATCCTCAATCTCGCACTAACAAGCATCAGGCTTCTCATGGGACAGGACATACTGGAAACCACCTGATGTGGTCTCTGCCTCTCCAGCCTCCCCCTCCTATTTAACTATCAGGACGCCCATAATGTCCACAACGTGAACTGGAAAGATGGATACCATAAGGGTGGGGCAGTGGGAGGCTGGAAGGACGGATGGGAGGGAAGAAGGATGACAGGTGGATGGGTGGAGAGATGGATGAAGGGCTGGGTGGATGGATAATGGGCGCATACGTGGGTGCATGGGTGGCTGGGGAGTTGGACAGATGGATGGGTAAGGCTCTGACTCGCATACATAAGCCAAGGACCCATCACCAAGGGACCTTGGGACATAGAACCCTCCTAGTCATTCATCTGACACACATACAAAACAAAGAGAAGTTTCATGGTAACAAAAATAAAGGAAAGAAATGAAGAGACAAGAACCACAGGCGGGCTAACTACACAGCTTCACCAAAGGCCAGCTCAGGGCCAAGAGGCCTTACAGCTCTGGTCAGAAAGAAACCTTGGAGGGTGTCTCCAGGGCCTTCCGCACTCAGCCAGGGAGAGCAAACAAACAGTCTTGGGGGACTGGGGAGGGTGGAAAGCAGAGGTGCAGGGTAGGGGTGGGGCAGGAGTGGAAGGCGGGGCAGGAGTGGAAGACGGGGCAGGAGCAAGCGACCTGGGCAGGGCGGAGGCCTCCGCTGGACCCTCGGATACTCACGGCAGTTGGCTTCGTCAGTTCGGTCCTCACAGTCAAAATCACCATCACAGCGCCACAGCTTGAGGGCACAATGTCCATTCCCACAGGGGAACTCATTGGGCTCACAGGGTGGTGGGGGTCCTAGGAGACAGGGCAGGGGTCAGCAGCATCCTCCTGGGCCAGCTTCCCGCTCCCCGCACCCACCTGCACCCCTGCCAGTGCGCACCACAGTCCAGCTCATCGCTGCCGTCCTCGCAGTCCTCCTGTCCGTCGCAGAGGTAGTCTCCGGGGATGCAGTGACCACTGCGGCATGCGGCCTCCTGGGGCCCACAGGGCAGGGGCCTGACGGAACCGGGAAGCAGGGGCTGAGGAGCGTGGGTGACTGGTGGCTGTCGCATGATGGCTGTCTCCGGCCGCAGCGGTAAAGGTGTCGTCTCCACCAGGAGAGAGACTGTGGGGCTGATCCCCAGGACCAGTTCCTCTGTGGACAGATTCCGCTTGGCATTTGGCAGAAGCAGGTGGCTCCTCACCTGCTTCTTGTCCCCAACCCTCCCCAGGCCCACCCTGTACTCCCCAACACCACTCTCTGCCACCCCCTGCCCAGCTCTGTCATCACCCTTCCTATGCCCCTATCCTCTGCCTGCACCAAACCCTCATAGTCCTCGATGGGCTCCAAGACCCAGGTGTAGCACCCTGGCCCTCCCCTGGCGCCCAAACCACTTGTGGCCTCAGACATCCCCTCACCGCAATTGAGTTCATCAGACATGTCCCTGCAGTCGGGTCGCCGGTCACAGCGATACTCCAGGGCCACACACTCATTGTAGCTGTGGCAGGCAAACTCAGCCTCCGTGCAGGCTCTTGGGAACTGGGGCACTGCGGGTGGAAGGAAGCAGACTGGAGTCAGAGGTGGCAGGAGGGAGGTGCGGGAAGCTGTAGGGAACGCAGAGGTGCTGCAGGGCTGGAGCGGGCTTCAGGACCCTTTGTCAGGCAGCTTGGTTTCTGGCAGGCACAGTGAGGGCAACGAGCACATACTAGACACACTCACAGCACGCGTGGGGCATGGGACAAGTGGCAGTGGCCTCCCCCATCTCTAACACAGACCCCACAGGCAGTTGACATGCCACACGCATGCAACCAGCACACCACACACATGCAGGCCACAGCCTGGCCCAGTGAGGACAAAGAAGGAGGGAAGAGAGTGCCCAGTTGTCTTGGGCTGTGCTCAGTCAGCCATCTCACCCACACCCTTCTTTCCCCTCCATCCCTTTTTTATTTAATTTTTTTGAAACAGAGTCTCGCTCTGTCGCCCAGGCTGGAGTGTAGTGGCGCGATCTCGGCTCACTGCAAGCTCTGCCTCCCGGGTTCACACCATTCTCCAGCCTCAGCCTCCCAAGTAGCTGGGACTACAGGCGCCCGCCACCTCGCCCAGCTAATTTTCTGTATTTTTAGTAGATGGGGTTTCACCGTGTTAGCCAGAATGGTCTCGATCTCCTGACCTCGTGATCCACCCGCCTTGGCCTCCCAAAGTGCTGGGATTACAGGTGTGAGCCACCGCACCCGGCCCATCCTTTAAAAAAAATTTTTTTTTCTCTCTTTTTTATTTTTTTAGAGACAGGGTCTTGCTATGTTGCCCAAGCTGGTCTGGAACTCCTTGCCTCAAGCAATCCTCCCATCTTGGCCTCCCAAAGTGCTGGGGTTATAGGCGTGAACCCCCACGCCCGGCCTCCTCTCCAACCTTAACTTCTCTAGGAACCTGGCTGGGCCTGGGCCTGGCTTACACTCTCACCTGGTGTCACTGCGACCGCCACAGCGGCCGGCGGGGGTGGGGGGGTCTGTGCTGGAAAGGAAGATGTGGTCAGTGGCTGTTCCACCTGGGAGCCGGGAGCTGAGGGCTGCAGGGCTGGGCCAGGTCATTCCACCACCCCTAGCCAGGAGGACTCATTGAAAAGTGAGAGGAGGGCTGGACCCCCAGCAGTCTTTAGACCTGGGCCTGATGATGCAGAAGAGCAAGCTTGATCTCGGGGTGCAATAATTAAGGGTTTTTGTTTGTTTGTTTTGTTTTAGAGGCAGGGTTTTGCTCTGTCACCCAGGCTGGGGTACAGTGGCATGATCCTGGCTCACTGCAGCCTCAAACTCCTGGGCTCCTGCCTCAGCCTCCTGAGTAGCTAGGACTACAGGCGTGCACCACCACGCTTGGCTTAATTGAGGTGCAGAACAAGGGAGGTGATGGTTTCACTATTTTTTCCTCATTGGGCTAGGGTGGAGTTTGTTCCATTCTGAGTTCCACTGAGTCAGGGTCTTCCCAGAGAGAGGGAACTGAGATGGAGACAGGGCTGAGAACCACAGCCTGTGAGGGATGAACTAGGGCTGTTCGGTCTAGAGAAAAAAAAAACCAAAAAACTCAGGAGGTTAAAACAGGAGACCAAGGGCACAGTAGAAGGAAATCTGGGCTGACCCAGAGTACAAAGGTCAGGATTCTGCACCTAACAGCTGTGTGGTTTGGACCAGTTTCCTAGTCTCTCTGTGCCTCAGTTTCTCCTGCTTCTCTCATCACAGGTTCTGGCAAGACTGTCATAGACGCTGAGTTTGTTTGAAATCCTCGCCTTTTCACTATCTGCCTATCTGATTCTGGACAAATTCAGATTTTCCTTTCTGGGCCTCAGTTCCCACGTCTCTGAAACAGGAGGAATAACATCTCCTTCAAAGGAATTGCTGTGAAGACTGACCCAGAGGAAGGAAATAAAGGCAGTCAGGGCTCAGTAAACAGTTGCTGGTTATTATTAAGTACTAATGTGTTTTGGACTTGTACGTACAGGATAAATAAAGGCCTGACTACCTATTGTCAATGTGCAGAGGTCTAGAAGGAAGGAGCAGAACTTGGGTCTAATGGGCATGTGCTAGAGGAAACAGTCTGCACTCTACCAAGCCCAGACTGTATAAGGATCGATGGGGCAGACTCAGGAGGGTAGTGAGCTCCCTGTTTCTAGTGGTGTGCAAGCCCAAGTTGGGAGCCCATGGTGGAGACACTGAAAGGGGACCCCACGAGTCTGGAGGAGGCAACCCCAGACACCAGGATAGGCTCACCTGTGCCCAGGCGTCGGAACTGGAATCCCCGGGGAGAGGTGATGTAGGAGGCCATGGAGCCACTGGAGATGACCCTGAGCAGCACCTCCTGAATCTGAGCCCCGTCTGCATTCCCTTCCGAGCCCACATCCAGCTCCACAAAAACCCAGCCGTCCAGCTCCCTGGGGGTGGAGATGGGCAGGAGACGAGGGTCAGAGAGACGCCTGTGTTCTCAGCTACTCCATGAGGCTCCTGCCCCGACGCTCAGGCCCTGTTCCAGGACAGCCTGTACCCAAAGAAGGGCAACTAAAGGTCCCAATGATCCCCCCACCAATTCCTGAATTTCCACCCATAGCGACTCATCCCATAGGCCTTTCTGCGGTGCCAGGCTTCCTTCTCATCCTCATCAGCCCCCTCCAGGTTACCCACTCAAGTCCCCCAGCAACCCCCAGGGGGCCCCTTCTCACTTGATGAACACCACACTGACAACCTGGTCTCCGGGAATTTTCAAGTACTCCGACTCCAGCTGGGGAGGGACACAGTGCCATCAGCCCCAGAGGCCTTCACCCCATCCTCGGTCCTGCCCCACCACACCCACGAGCTTCCCGAACCCCCTTCACCTCACCGTGTCTACCACAGCCTCGGACACCTCTCGGAATTCTCTGGAGCCTGCGTCCTCCAGCTGAGGGCTGTACTCGATGGAGCGAGTGAAATTCACCAGGGCTCGGAAATAAACTGGAAAATCAAAGGAGGATCATTTTGAGAGCTCCGGCCTGGCATGTAGTGGCCTTAGGCAGTTGGAGCATTCAGACAGAGTTGGGGGGATAGCCCCGGGAGGCCTCCCTTAAGACTGACACCTGTGTGCCCACAGCTATGCCCAGCACTGCCTGTAGGTATACATGCTCAAGGGTCAATGTCAAAGCCCCAACTTGACTGAGGGGCTTTAACTAACAGGGGAAATGGCCTGATCCAGAAACCACGTGTGAGTGCAGAAGAGGAGACCCCCGAAGTTCAGAGGAAGGCTGGACAAGAAGGGGTGGCTCCCAGAGGGGGCTGGCCTGGCACAGGGATTACCTGTGTGTGAATGGGAAAGGCTCTGCCAGCCTTCCTTGGCCAGTTCCTAGTCATTCCTCAGGACCTGGCTCAGCCATTGTCTCCTGATCTTCCTGATCTGCCCTGGCTGGGGTAGAGACCGTTCCCCTGGGCTCTCACAGTACCCTGCTTTCCCTAGCAGAGCACCTTCCACCGTGTACTGTGTAGATTCTGCCAGGTTTCACATCACAGTAACAATCGTGCGTTCTAAGGCCAGCCACGCCTCAGGCACTGACCTCGGCTCTGAGTTTCTGTTTCCTAATGGGGATATTGACTGCATGCACCACCTGCGTGGCTGCGAGGAGTGCACGATGCTGTGTTCACATGCACCAGGCTGTTATACTCAGATGCAGTGCCTGGCACACAGCAAAGCACCTGAGAATCAAAGCTGCTGTCATCCTCTCTACCACCAGACTCTAAGCTTGATGAGGGGGAACCTGGGATTTCATTCACGACCGCATCCCTAGTGCTTGCCGAGTGCCTGGCACACAGCGGATTCCTCGAAAGTGATGGCTGAACAAATTCATCTCAGACTGGCGTGATACACATGCATCTCTTGTGTTTTTTTAGGCAGGGTCTTGCTCTGTCACCCAGGCTGGAGTGCGGTAGCACAATCACAGCTCACAGCAGCCTCAACCTACAAGGCTCAAGCTATCCTCCCACTGCAGCCTCCTGAGTAGCTGGGATTACAGGTGCATGCCACCATGCCCATCTAATTTTTTGACTTTTGATAGAGATGGGGTCTTGCTATGTTGCCCAGGCTGGTCTCAAACTCCTGCGCTCAAGCAATCCTCTCTCTATGGCCTCCCAAAGTACATCTATCGTTTCTTAAGCACCTACTATATACTAGACATTTTATACTCATTATGTTTCACAATGTTTGTGAATTCATGTATGTGATAAAAATGAATGAATAAGAGTGACAAATGAGTCATATACAAGCTAAGCATCCCTAATCCAAAAATCTGAAATCCGGTGTGTAGGTGGCAGAGCAGGGAGTGGCACTGTCTGTGCTACTGCCAGGCCCATCCTCCTCCCGCTTTACTCTGTCTGTCAGGCCCGCAGGTGCATAGGACGTTCTTGCTCTGTGGCTCAGGTGAAGAAAGCCCTGGCGCTGCCTGCCCTGAACCGCTGGGCCGGGCTCCTGGGTGCCGGGTGGGTGGGGCTCTGTGGGCTGGAGTGTGGGGGCCATGGCTCAGCTACAGAGGCCCCTTGTGAGCCCGCACAGAGGCCCATTGAGAGTCCCCCCACCCAAGCCCCTGGCCTCAGCCCCATGGCCCAGGGCGGGTGAGGAGGCCGGGCCTCTGCCCAGGAATGTGTCCGCTCCTGGGGAAGGGGGCTGGAGCTCCACAAAGCCCCTTTCTACTAGGGCCTGGGAAGGACACAGGCCCTCCAGCCTGACCCCACCCCCCTTCGTTCTTCGAGACCAAGGGCAGGTCCAGGCGAACACCCTCCGTCTCTCACCCTGCAGCTGGTGCCTGAGCACTGGGGCAGAAGGTGAGGCCACCTCTGTTTTAAGAACCAGTCCCCGGGCTGGGCACGGTGGCTCACGCCTGTAATCCCAGCACTTTGGGAGGCCAAGGCGGGCAGATCACTTGAGGTCAGGAGTTCGAGACCAGCCTGGCCGACATGGTGAAAATACAAAAATTAACCACGCGTGGTAGTGCGTGCCTGTAATCCCAGCTACTTAGGAGGCCGAGGCAGGAGGATTGCTTGAACCAGGGACGCAGAGGTTGCAGTGAGCCGAGATTGTGCCACTGCACTGCCTTCCAGCCTGGGTGACAGAGTGAGACTCCATCCAAAAAAAAAAAAAAAAAAGAACCAGCCTCCAGAGCCAAGGACATTGGTGCAGCCAGCAGGGGCGAGGGTGCCTTGGAATAGGGGTGCTCTCTGGCCAGTCCTCTCCTTCCTCTTACCCTATCTGGTGAGTTCCCTCGGAGCCAGAGGCTGGGAGAGGGAGGCAGCTGCTCTGCACTCAGGGTGGAAGTGGGAGCTGCACTCCTGACCAGCCCTGGCCCCGGAGGAGGCTACTCACCAACTCCTGATTCCCATCCCTGCCCAACAGAACTCCCTGCAACACACCCAGGCCCCTGAACTCCAGTCCTGGGTCCCTGTGGATCCCTCGGGTGGGCCCAGGATTGGCCTGTGCCGGGGCAGACACAAGTGGCCTCTGGAATGCAGGGCCTGGTTCCCTACAGGGCTGTTGCACCCAACTCTGCCCGACCGGCACCCCATGGGGAAGAACGCCAGGGTCCCAGTCCACTGCATTTAGATCTGTGGGCCCAGGGTGGGCCTGGCTGTGTCCTGGGCAGGGGCAGTGGCTGGCCTGGCCCCTGGACTCCGCAGGGAGGTGCCTCTGAGCCTCTTGTGTGACTCGTAGCAAAGTGCAGGTTGGGGAGGAAGAGAATAGGAAGAAAGGAGAGAAAAGGAAGAGTGGGGAGAGAGGATGGGGAGGGAGGCAGAGGGAGAGCAGCACTCCCACCTGGCCCAGGCCTGGGTCACTTACTGAGAGGGGACTCCTCATCAGGCTCGGAGACCATCATGCCAGCCACGGGCGGGCGGCCCAGGGGCGGCCCTGAGCCTGCAGAGTAGAGACAGAGAAGGAGGCAAGGAAGGGAGACGAGACGGAGAGAAGCAGAGAGAGGCAGAGACGATGAAAGAGAGAGGGAGACACAAAGAGACAGAAAGATAGAGACAGAGACACAGAAAGTGAGGGTGGGGAGAATGAGAGAGAAAAGGCAAGACCAAGGTGAAGAAAAAGGCAGTGGGGAAAAAAAAAAAGAAAAGAACAGGCAGAGGGGAGAGAGGGACAGACAGGGGGCGACAGAGGCAGAGATGGTGAGCCAGAGAGAGGGAGAAGAACAGGATGAGGCAGAGGGAGGAGGTGCAGAGACAGACACCCAAGGAGTGGGGAAGAGGGCCCAGGACAGGGCGGACAGGGGACACACACAGACATGCAGACAAGGGTCAGAGCAGGACACATGGGCATGGGGGAAGACAGAAAGAGACAGGTCAGAAGATGGAAAGAAACTGGGGGAGGAGAGGTGGGAAGGGGTCCTAGGGAGGGGAGGCTATCAGGGATGGGTGTTGACACACAGGGGGCTGGAGCTGAGCCAGAGAGCCACAGCCATGCCCGGGGGAGGAGGGGAAGAGCCATCTCAAGGGCTGGAGTCCAGGGTCTGGGACTGGGCCAGAGCCTAGGCATGGCCCCATGACGGTCAGGATGGCCCTGGCTCATGGGCGCAGTGGGGGCGCTGCCCTTGGTCAAGGCTGAGCGGGCGCCCTGGGACCCTGGGATCAGGAAGTCATACCTGCTGCCTCCCTGACTGCCGTTCAGCCCAGCTGCCTGGACCTGCCCCAAGGGCAGCTGGCAGGAGCCAGGGTTTGGGCCTGGAGGGTCTGAGGCCCCACCTGTTTCCACTTGTGAGGAAAGGCACCTACCCTGGTCTTGGGCCCCTCCAGCTGTTGTGCCCTGTTCCCCACCTCTTCCCCTCTGGCCTCGCCTGCCCTCACAGCTGCTTCTCAGGGAGGGCAGGTGGGCTGGCCAGGACTGCCCAGCTGGGGCAGGGGCTGGAGATGGTTCATGAATGGACAGGGTGGACTCAGAGGCAAGCCCGGCTTGGCCAGAGGCAGCTCCAGGGACACATTAGCATAGGCCATTGCAGGATGGGACATGGTTTGTGTGCCTGGAACCCACCTGACACTCCCTCTCCCAAGCCCCGCCCAGTTCCCAGGCATCCTGCAGCCTCGTGGAGACCTACACGAGGAAAACCTTCAGGCGGAGCCCAAGTCCAGGCTCTGGGAGGTCACAGTCAGGACCAGGTTACCCAGGGACCCACCCTCCTGTCTACACTGACCCAGTTAGGATGCCACCCGCTGGCATTTGAAGGCCCCTGATATGTCAGCTAAAGGGAGGTGACTCCACCCCTGAAGTAGGCCCAGGCCAGATTTGGCCAAGGCCTACCTAGGGTGAAGGCAGTCCTGGATACCATGGGGTGGCCCAGTGGTTGGTCTGACCTAAGCACCTGCTCCATCCTTGGCCCTGGTCATAGACTGTCCCAGGAGCTGCCTCCCAGAGAGGGCGGTAGGAACCATAAAGAGCCACGGGGCCTTGTCCTCGGGTAGGTCCTTCTCCACCCAGTATCCCAGAGTGGAAGGAAGTGGGGACTATGAGCCCCCATCCCAGTGCTGGGCCAGTCTGACCAGGGTGGGGGCTGACTCTCCTCCCTCCAAGAGCCCAGCCTTGCCTCCCTAAGCTGGGAACCCTTGCTTCCCAGCAGGTGACTCGCTGTCACTGAGAAGCAGCCCAGGAATCTGCATTTCTCACGAGCTCCTGGAAGTTCTAAAGCACACTCCTGAATGCACATCCCATGGGCACAGCCTAGAAGTCCACAGGCCAGCACTTAGGAGGCAGGGTTCTCTCCCAAGCCTAGGGTCAGGCTCACTCTGAGCCCTGCCCGCCCTGCTGGATGCCTGAATGCGTGATTCCACAGAGCCCCTCTGCTCTGCTTGTCTTTGCCTGGGACCCCCAGCTCTGTGCCACCAGGAGAGCTCTGGGGAAGGACTCAACAGTTGAGCTGCCCTGGGAGGTGAGAACATTGCTTTGAATGTGGAACAGCTGACTGGCTCTCAGCCCCCAGCAGAACTGGGCTTTATCTGCCCATTGCCCTGATACCTGTGCCTGTGGCATGGGCAAGCACAGGACCTGGCCACACCAGCCTTGCAGGGACCTCCCAATCAGTCTGCACAACTGTCACTCCGCAGGTTAAGAGATCACTCCCACTTCTCCTTGCTTTGTACCCCAGGGGCAGGCCCAAGGAGCCCTCGAGGCCCTCAGCCCAGGAGACTGGCTCTGGGGCTTCCCTGGGGGGCAGGAGGGAGACCTGCGGGAGGCCCGCAGCAACTTACCCATCTGGAAGTCCCCGCTGCCCAGGTCCCCACTGCCCAGGTCGTCTATAAGCAAAAAAGAGACGTAATCAGCAACAACAAATATTTGTTGAGTACTTACTGTGTGTCAGGCACTGTTCTGGGCACCTAGCATACAGTGGGGCAGCGTTGAGGAAGCACAGAATGGTCAATCACCCTCCTCCCCGATGCCTAGGGAGGGGGCCTGTGAAAGTCGGCTTGGAAGCCTCCATCACAGAGCGTGTGGGCCAGCTGGGCTCGATGGCTCAAGCACTTTGGGAGGCTGAGGCGGGTGGATCACTTGAGGTTAGGAGTTCAAGACCAGCCTGGCCAACATGGTGAAACCCCATCTCTACTAAAAATACAAAAATTAGCCGGGTGTGGTGCCACCCGCCTGTAGTCCCACCTACTCAGGAGGCTGATGTAGAATTGCTTGAACCCTGGAGGCAAAGGCTGCAGTGAGCTGAGACTGCACCACTGCACTCCAGCCTGGGCGGCAGACTGAGACTCCATCTCAAAAAACAAAACAAAACAAAAAAAATAAAAAAGTAAAATAAAATAAAAGAGAGAGAGAGAGAGAGAGAGAGAGAAGATGTGGGCTGATGCCCCAAACTCCAGGGACTCAAATTATCTGTCCAGTGGCTGGGGTGGGAACGGGCAGATCAGACTAGCCTCCAGGTGAGAACAAGGAGGTGGGGTACAGGATGCGTGATCGTCCTGCACGCTGCATTGCCAGCCATCTGCCTGGTAGGTCCTGACAGTCCCAGGCTGTAGAATGATGACCAGCCCAGGGCCACACAGGTTGTAAGTGGAGGATGCTGGGGTCATGGGGACCAGGGCTCAGGACACACACAGCCCATCTCTTGAGGAACCACCTTGTGGAACTTCATGGGGCCTCTTTAAAGACCAGTGGGAAGAAGCACAGTCTCACCCCCCACCCCTCTGCTCCCAGCCTCGGATCCTTGGCTCACCTCCGGAGGTGCTGTCAGCCAGCATGTCCTCATCATCAGAAAGGTACGAATGTGTCCAGCGCATTTGGCTTGCTGTGACGGTCTCCGTGTCCTCAGGCAGAGATAAGCCATCGTACGCGCTCAGCCCGTGGGTCACCTGTAAGCGAACGACAGAGCCGATTGAGTCACTCTGTCCAGCTCCCACTGAGCCCCACGGTCCTTCCCCTCACTTCCAGGGGGACCCAGAGTCCCACCCCCAGGCCCCCTAGTGGTTAAATTTGACTTAGTATGGCTCAGTGAGCCAGGCTGGGGCTGAACTCATTTTTGACTCAGTTTCCCCAAGCCCCATTAGCCCCTGGAGGCTTCAGAGCCCAAGCCTGTAAATTCTGAATGAATCCTCAAATAAAACAGACAATAAAATGTAAATCACTTTAGTAAGTAAAGACTCCTTTTCCTTGGGAGAAGGCAAGGGACACCTAGGACATGAGTGAGTGGATGGGGGGATGCGGGCGGGTAAAGGGGTGACCTCAGCCAGCGCAGATTGGGGGCACAGGCAGGTGGAAGGATGGCCAGGGTCAGCATGGGTGGGGACACAGGCAGAAGTCGAGGGCGAGCTGCTCAAAGCTGTTGCCTCCCCAGGCAGCTCCTCCCCAGGCTGTTTGGCTCCTCTTCCTGCCTCCCTCTGGCCTGCCCGTCTCCAGGCTGCAGGGAACACATTCCACTGTGTTGGAGAATTAGCTTTGGCACATGCAGCCACACTGACAGGCTCATCTCTGCGCCCAGCAGCGCGGAGGCAGAGCCCAGCATCTGGGCTGAATGGGGACAGGCGTGGTGTCAACTCCACGTGACCTCAGGCTGCAGCTGAGCCCAGGATAAGCTCTACCTTGGGGCCTGTGCTATGTGGGCCGGAGCAGAAGGGCCCCAGCGGCCGTAACACCTGCCTTCTCAGGTGTGGGTCCGGGCAATGAGTGCCTCTTTCCCCCTAGACAAGATCTGGATGTTTCCAAAGCAGTTTTACCAAATAACTTAGAGGAAAACAAACCCAGGGGAGCCCAAGGGAACCCCGGGAACCCTGTGGCCCACAAGTGTGCAGATTCATGATGGCTGGACCCCAGATTCTATAAACACAAGTATGCACAGACTGGTAATGGCCTGGCCTGAGGGCCTCAGGCCCTGCCCTGGCCTTAAGCCAGAAGGAAATGGTCTTGCTTTTGAAAACCAAACCCACAAGGGCTAGACAAGGTAGTGAGGTCCAAGCCAGAGCAAAGGCCAAAGAGGAGAAAAAAACAAAGAGCTAGCCAGGCCCCCTTCCCTCCCCAACCCCACAGCTCCCACAGTCCATGTCCCTCACGCCTCTGGCATTTCTCACGCCGGGCCCTCTGCTGGAATGCCCTTCCTCTCTTTGTTTCTCAGGCGAACTCCAATGCATCCTCCGAAATCAGCTCAAATACCACCTCCTCCACCTACTCAGGAATAAGGAGGAACAAACGACTGATTGATACGCGTGGATCTGATAGAAGCCAGACACAAAAGACTACAAACTATACGGTTCCATTTATATGAACCCTTGGGGGTGAAAGTCTAATCCATAGTGACAGAAAGATCAGTAGTCACTTGGGACCAAGGGCAGGCTGGGGGTGGCTGGGAAGGGGGCACAAGAGAACCTTCTGGGGTGATGGTTCACTGGACATACACATCTCATTACTGACTGCACCCTGAAAATGGGTATATTTTGTTGTGTGTATTTATGCCTCAATAAGGATGACGGGAAACTCTCTTTGTCCTAACTCCTTGCTGTTCACAGTGACCTCAACCCCCAGTCTGGTTCTGGGCCCTCCTGGGCTCACAAGGTTATTGTCTGTACCTCCATTGGAATGGAAGCACCTTGAAGGCAAGGGCTGTGATGAATTCATCTCCACCTTCTCTGCACCCCGTGCTCAATAAATACTTGAATGAATCAATGAATAAATGAATGGACAAAAATGTCATCACCTACGCATTTCAGTCACTCCTTGAAGCTGACTTGCTTTGGGGAGGCACTACCTACCTCTAGGCAATCTAAAAGCATCTCCTGTCCTAGGCTGTGAGTTCCCTGGATGGGGGAGTGGCTGGGTGCCATTTTTTCATCTGCATTGTCCACATCTTATTCCTGCTTTGGCCTAAAGCCCTTGCCCCCAACAATCCACCGGCAAACGTTGCCTCCTGTTCCTTCTCCTCTCCCTGCCCTCTCCCTGTGCATAAGCACCCATCCCTGTCCTCCTGAGTGCTGGCCTGTGGACTTCTAGGCTGTGTCAGTGGGATGTGCATTCAGGAGTGTGCTTTAGAACCTCCGGGAGCTGGTGAGAAATGCAGATTCCTGGGCTCCTTCTCAGAGACAGTGAGTCAGGTTCTTCCATCCCAGGAGGGTGGTTATAATTTTGCATGTCCAGGGGATTCCCACAGCCACTGGTTAAGAACCATAAGACCAGCCCCTGCCAGGGGTTCTGCCTCCTTCCCTGGGTGGGGTACAGGGCAGTGTTCCCTCTGGCTGGAGCAGGCCTGACTGACCCAACACGGGCATGAGGCTGGGGCTGGTGCAGGGGCACTGACTCTGGATAGAGGAGATTTGAGGGGTCCTCCCAACCTGGTGGGGGGCTCCGTCAATGCCAATCCCCCTCCCATTGCAACCAAGGTTACGAGGGCATGCCTGGAGCACTGAGACTCCCGGCATCTCCTAGACAACTGCCGTCTAGAAAGGCAAACCGAGTGGTGAGTCATGTGCAAGGTCCACAGCTTTTCCCAGGGAGCAGGGAGCTGGTCAGGAGGTGGTGGCAGGGGTGGCCTTGGGACCAGACAGGAAATAGCAAAGTGAGATTCAACATGGAAAGAAAGCCAGGAACACACATCTGCAGGGAGAGGGGAAAGAGAGGCCAGAGCACGTCGGGACTTGGACAGAAGGACCCCCACACTCCACCACAGGACCCCAGAGCACGGACCCCTCCATCTGCCAGTCTGCTCTTGCTTGCAGCCCCCACCCCAGGGTCTGAGGATCCAGGGTCAGATCAGGGCCCATAGCAAGGAATAAGTCAGCAAGAGCAGAGGCTTCATCTGTAAAAAGCTAAAGATCAAAAGGTTCCAGCAGCTGTATTTCACATCTGCGAGAGGAGATGGAACCAGACAGGAAAGAGGCTCCCAGAAAGAGCCAAAAGGAACTTGAGACTTGACCATAGAAGGACCTTGGACCCAGAACGGGAAAGCCCAGGATCTGCTTGAGGAATAATAACAGCTAACATTTATTGGGCACTTACTAGGCACCAGGCACTTCTAAACCAGGTTATAGGTCTTACGGGGTTCCACTGAGAAGGGGGGCAAAGAGAGCAGAGAAAGGTTACCTGGTGAAACTGGCATGTGGCAGGGCTGAGATTCGAACCCTGGTGGTCGGGCTCCAATACCTAAGCAGCTGCCACTGTGCTATCCCACCTCTGTGACCAGGGGTGTGCAATGAGGCAGATACGAGATCACTGGGAGTCACTCTTGCAAAGCCTCTCTGCCACACTGCACGTCACTTTGTAATGCATTTCCTCAGCCTAGTATCACCTGAGTTGACAGTGACCCTTGGAGGTGGCTGAGGAGGTATGAATGCTCCCCTTTCCCAGTGAGTCCCGGGAGACGCATCTGCTCAGATCGCAGGTGAGGAGCTGGCATCCCACCCCAAGCCTTCTGCTCACCAGGAAATGAGGCAGGGCTGGACCTCTGGGTTGACCATGAGGCCTAAGCAGACAGCAATATCAGGGAGCCCAGGGTTGGCCAGTCCCTATCCCCAACCCGACCAGCTCTCAGGACGGCCCCATGGGATGCCTGAGCTGGCAGTAGCCTGGGGCCATGCAGCATGTGCCTCAGGTCCCAAGGAGGGCCATTAGCGGCTCCAAGGTCAGAGGCAGAAATAGAACCCAGGTTTCCTGCCCTCCAGCCCGTCTCCGGCTGTGAGGGAGCCCGGCTTCCTCCCAGAGGAACCCAGCACTTCAGACATGTGTTGGAGCCAGACGGGGAGCCGGAGAGGAGGGGTCTAGGGGGCAGACCTCAGCCAGAAAGGAAGGAGCTAAGCAGAGAGGGGGATTTTCCAGACCCTCCAGTTCCTGGGGGGTGCAGGCAGCTGACTCAACCGGGCCCAGGCCAGAGAACTGTTCTAACAGGCTGAGAACAATTGCTTAGGGCCGGGATGCAGGCAGGGCGGCCCCCAGTGGGCAGGCATTCCTTGAACACAGGCGGGACTGTAGGCAAAGGCTTCTGGGAGGCACCTAATCCCAGAGGTGGGCTACGTCCAGGCCCTCCTAGTGAGAACGAGGGTCACATGGAACTCCAGGTCCAAGTTGTGTCCTTGGGGACAATGAATGCAGGCTGGATCCTCCTCTCCTGGCCTGGGTGAGGATAAAGAGGCAGACAAGGCTGGCTAGGAAAGGACTCAGCACTGAGGAGAAAACCACAAGAGTGGGGCACAGAGCGGAGAGAAGGTGGGGGAGGTACAGATACGGAGAGCTGGTACAGATTACTTGAGGCCAGGAGTTCGAGACCAGCCTGGCCAACATGGCGAAACCCCGTCTCTACTAAAAATACAAAAATTAGCCCGGCGTGGTGGTGCATGCCTATAGTCCCAACTACTCAGGAGGCTGAGGTAGGAGAATTGCTTGAACCCGGGAGGCAGAGGTTGCAGTGAACCGAGATCACACCACTGCACTCCAGCCTGGGCGACAGAGCAAGACTCTCAAAAAAAAGTTTATAGCAAGCTCACTTGGTGCCAAGCCCTGACCTGAACTGACATGAAGCTATTCAGAGTGTGTACACTCCACTCAGCAGCAAGAGTCCTGTGTTTCACTGCAGCATTATTACTGTTGTTTGATCATGGGATGTGACCCCCAGACTCCAGTGGGGATGTCACATCCTGGCTGGGTACATGCTCTATGTCACCTTCCTCAAACTTGAAAAATTCTGAATTCCAAAACACATCTGACTCTGAGGCTTTCGGTCAAGGAACTGTGAGCTTGTGTTATTATTATTTCCATTTTCTGGATGAAGAAACTGAGGCTCAGAGAGGATTGTCTCGGTAAATGGGATCTAGCAGGTAAGGCATTTAGTGAGGTGTTTACTTATACAATAAGTGCTTAATAAGTACTAGAATTA